GATAGTAATTAATAACGCTGCTTGTGACCCTAGTCATAGCCCTGGAGGAATTGCAACTTGAGTGAGGCCAGATAGGAGAGGGAGTGGAACATAGAGCTGAACTCCCAGGCAAAGGAAGTTCCAACCCAGCCTTTAGATTCCTCTGATAAGTAGAATCTGAGGTGCTGTTGATACGCCAAGGAAACAGCCTCCTGTAGGCAAAGGGGGGGGGGGGGCGGTCAGGAATAGGGCCATTCCCAGGACCCTTGGAGAGGAAACTGCATCCAAGAGGGGATGCCTTTGGTTGCGGCTGTGGAGAGTAAAGCCAGCCCTGGCAGGCCTGCCTAAGGCCGCTTGTTGGCCACAGCACAGATCAGAAGGGAGCCAGAGTTCTCATTTCCAACAAGCTGACTGTGCTTTTTTTTCCCCCCTATTTGGGTCACACCCGGCGATGCACAGAGGTTACTCCTGGCTCATGCACTCAGGAATTCTTCCTGGCAGTGCTCAGAGAACCATACGGGATGCTGGGAGTCGAACCCGGGTCACTGCATGTAAGACAAATGCCCTACCCGCTGTGCTATCACTCCAGTCCCTGAGTATGCTTTTAGTGATCACAGTAAACCCAAATGGTGTCCTAACTTAGCAATATCCTAACTCAGTTAAGATCTTCTGATAACTACCATAAGATGAGGCACTCAATGTCTTTATTAGATTAAAACCTAAAAAGTAAGGCCTAAAGCAAATTATTTTTTTCTTCAATTAAAAAAAAGTATTATAGTTAAGGTAATGTGTTTACAATAGTATTGCCATTTATAGTCTTGGTATACAGTTACCTTGGGGCGTTGGGTGGGGGGGTTGTCACACACCAGCGAAGCTCAGGGATTACTCCCAGCTCTGCACCCTATGGGATGCTGTAGATCTCTCCCTCGACTGCATGCTGTCTCTCTGGCCCTCACGGTTCCCTGCCTTTATGTATGTGACCGCAATCTATTTCGGTTCCTGTCATGGATCAGTGGGGGGATTAGACAGATGTGATTTGAATCAGGTGGACCAGGAACTCGCTGGGAAGTGAAGGCATCTTTCTAGGCCACAGTAGTCAAGGATGGGCCACAGCATAGACATCAAAGAGGTGGGAGCACAAAGGAACTCTTTGTTAGAAGGCCAGAGTGATCCGAGTGTCCACTGACCTCAAGGCCCGGCCCCTTATCTGAACTGGGGCAGGAGGCGGCTGCAGACCTAGTTTCCCAGCTCCTGCCTGTGCTGAGGTGACTGGGCTGGGTTCCCACTGAGGTCATTCCTTCCCCTGCCCTTATCTGTTGCTTCCTACAAAGCACATCCCCACCGGGCTCAGGGCAGGCATACGCCTGGCAAGCCCCACGTGACCTCCCAAGCATCAGTTAGATGCAGCCCCAGAGGCCTTCAAGCATCACAGGCGTGGCCCCAGAGGCCCTGGGGGTGGGAGCTTCTGCCAGGATGACTCTGGTGGTCCCTGGCACAGTGGGGCCTGAGCAGCAATGCGTCCCTAAACCCCCTTGCATTGAACCACCTCCCCGTTGGCCAAATATTGCCACGAGGGCCCCGCACAAGCCCACTGCTTAGGAAGCCACTGGCTTTCCTGAGAACTAGAAGGTTCCTCCAGTTCAGTTCTTCCCAAAGCAGCCTCGGTGTCCTCATGAGCTCATCCGCTAAGGAGAAGGGAATCCAGGGGCCAGCGCAATGGGGACTCTGCTGCCATGCTGGATAGACCTTGGGTCCACTGCTCGCCATGGGGGCACCCAATCTGTTACTCCATCCTCAGCCCCACAGGAAGGAAGAAGATACACCCTGAGACCCCAAATACAGCACCTATTCAAGGCTGGGGAGATGACTCAAGTGCAGGCTTCGCCCTGGGGTCCCCAGCACTGCATGGACCCCTGAGCACAGACAGCATCAGGAAAGACCCTTCTCCCCATCACACTGTGGGGTGTGCCTCCCTCTAAACAAAACCATTCAAGGGCCAGGGATGTCACCTAAGTGGTAGAGTGCTCACTTACATGTGTGAGGCCCTGGGTTCAATCCCCAACACCACAAAAACTAAACAACAAAACTCTACTCGAAGCCTGACTGAAGAGTATCCCAGGAGCTGGAGCAATAGAACAGCAGGGAAGGAATTTACCTCACACAGAAGCCACCCCAGGCTGAATCTTTGGCCCCACATATGGTCCCTCAAGCCCGCCAGGAGTGGCCCCTGAGCACAGAGTCGGTGAGCCAGTAACTCACTCTTAAGTGAAGCCATCTTTCTCAGCCCACCGTAGTCAAGGATGGGTCATGGGGTAGAGCCAGGAGTAAGCCCTGAGCACTGCCAGGAGTGATCCCTGAGTGCAGAGCAGGAGTAAGCCCTGAGCACAGCTGGGTGTGGCCCAAACCCCTTCGCCCCAATAAAGAGTATCCTAAGGTGCCAAGAGTTCCTCCCTTTGGGGTAGAGAAAGACTCAGCAGCTGCTATTTCTTTTTTTTTTTAACTAGAGGACAGGCAAACTCCTGGGCAACTCAGGATAAGTCTGAGTGTGGCATCCAAATGCCACATCACAGCCTCCACACCGGATGCAAACACTCCTGAGGGATAGGAACTCAGGGAAACGGCTTATGGGATTCCTTATTTCTCTTTGCCACTGGAGAAATAAAACCGAATTGTTCTCTGTTCCTCCTCCAGATGAAAAGCTCCTTAAGTGCTTCCCATTCATCCTTCCTGGTAACTGAGGCCTGTTTCAGAGTGATGCATATCAACAGCATCCTGGTCTCCGCCCCATGCCCACCCCTGCCCCCACCTCTGGCCCCCTAGGGCGTGGATGGTGTTGATGGTGCCCTTGGGGTGTTGATGGTGCCCTTGGGGATAATCCACAGAGCTCAGGGCGGCAGCCTCAAGGGGCGGGGTGACCTGCAGCTCACGGCTGACAAGCAGGCTGGGAAAGTGATGCCCTTACGTAACTGTCTGGGGGCTCAGATGGCCTAGGCAGCGGAGGTGAAGGCAAGGCGGAGTTGGATTAGACAGTAGGGCGGGAAGTCCCTGGTAGGCGACCAGGGGAGCAGAGGACAGTGCATCTGGATGGAGACCACAGCCAGGTCTGCTCGGCATGCAGCCTTTTCCTCTGACCAGCCTCCCCCTCGGCCACACCTGCACTCCCAGGGCCAGGCCAGTGGCAAGGCAAGCAGAGCCTTGAGTCTAAGGGAGGAGCCGAGAAATCAGATACCTGCATCGTGGCTGAATCCTCCGCCTTTACCAATCCCTTAATCTTCCACATTTCAAAGGGAAAGAGGATTCTTCTCTCCAAATCTGACCAAAAAAAGGAGTTGGTCAGGATTCCTTCTGCCATGCTCCCAGCAGTCTCTTCTTATCTGAGTCTGCACCGGCACTGGGGGAATATGCTGGAAGGATCCAGCTAGAGCTCCTCCTTGGTGCATACGTGCATATGCAGCCTGAAACCCTGGGAGAGCAAATTTGGCTGGGCAGGGAGGCAGGGACCAGGCAGGGACCTGGCCTGAGAGGGGAAGGGATCAGCCCAGGGGGGCCCTCGCCAAGGAGACCAGGCAGGAGCCCAGTGGCTCAGCAAGACCCCAGTCTGCACAGGGTCTGCCCCGCCACCTGCCCCAAGCTGCCTATCGCTCCTTCTGCACTTAGAGACGAAGCTGGTAGCCTATTCCCAGCTCCTGACCCACAGCTCCTACCTCTCTCTGCGAGGAACAGGAAGTGGGGACCTTTTTCAACCCAGCTGCACCCTCTTACATTAAATATTTATCTTGGAGTTCAGGTCAGAGCCTTTGAGAGTAAGAAGCTCCCAGCTGGTGAGGGGGTATGACCAGGATTCCTGGAGTTGGAAGACCTTCAGCTTCACCACCTTTGGAGAACAAGGAAGAATATGAAAGAAATGTGGCCTACCCTAGTCCCGAGGATCCCGGCAGGTGGGGAAAACGGGAGACCAGGGAAATGGGCATCCTGAGGGCAGCTCTGGGGTGGGTCTCTAAGCATCTGAGCTTTGCGGGTAGAGTCTGGAGGGAGAGGCACCCACCTTCCCTCAGGTAGCCCCCAGCGCCTGCGCTGCTCTCCCAGCTGTCTTTTCTGAGCTTAGCAGGGCTCAGAAACCGTCCTCAGTTTTGAGAATCAGGTTCTCGAAAGGGGGCAGGGAGGTGGCTACTTAGCCAGCGCTACAACAGCCCTTGCAAAGATGCTTCCTAACAAACTCTGAGTCTCCATCTCATAGAATGGCCCCTCACTGAAGTCCCTGAATCTGCTTCCAGGTCACCCCACAACTTCAGGAGGCTCTGACCTTCCCACCCCTTCCCTCCTGCTTTTGCAAAGGATGCCACTTCAGGCTGCCCTTCTCACCCTACTGACTGAGGAAGAGCTTATAGCCCTTGGTGCTATGAACAAGCATTTGGCGGGCAGGGCACCAGGTGCCACCCCGAGGCAGGCAACGATGTTTTCATGTTTTAGAAGTGATCATTCCCCAAATGAATCTGAAGTTGCTCAATAGCCAGCCTTTGGCTGTGGGGCTGGTTTGGAACTTAGCAGGGCTCAGAAACCGTCCTGAGCCGTCCAGACCCACTTGAGCACCCACTCTCTAGAACACCTGTGGGGTTAGGGGTAAAAAGGGAGGGGGACCAAGGCCACCAGCTCAGTGGCCTATGGGCGCAGGCCCTCGGCAGCTGTGTCAGAGCCTCCGGAAGAGCGGAAAAGCACCAGATCAAAACAAACACGGTGTATGGGAACACTAAGACCCCGCTAACCCTCTCCTGCCAAAGGGACCGCACCCTCATCCTCTGCAGGGGTGCGGCACGCCCAGGGGGTTCCGATTTCCTCAAGGGGATGTCCCCAGCGGAGCTGGCACGAGTGGGAAGCACGCTGACCAGTGTGTGTGTGTGTGTGTGTGTGTGTCCCCGTGCGTGTGTGTTTGTGTGAGCGCGTGTGTCCGTGTGTGTGTGTGAGCGTGTCTGTGCGCCTGTGTGTTAGGGGCGGCGGGCTCCGACTCGGCCTTATCTGGCGCCGCGGGTTTGCGCCCCGTCTGGTCTCTGGCCTCGGCTCCAGCCTCCCGGCCGGGCTAATCAGCGCTGCCCTGGGTCCTGGCTCGGCGGCGCGGCCGCTCCCGCTGGAAGTGTCGCTGGAAACTCTGAGTGGCGCTCCCCGCCCCGACGCCAGCCCTGCGGGGGAGGGGGCCGGCCAGGCAGCTGGGAAAGCGGCGCGGGCTCCCCGGGGACCCTCGGCCGCCCCTCCCGGCGCCGCGGCCCGGCCGGCCCGCCCCCTCGGCGGGGGACAGCGGCACCCCCGCGCCCCCAGCGCGCTCCACGCCCAGCGCCGGCCAGCCCCGCCCCCAGCCCGGCCCGCAGTCCGGCTCCGAGGGGGACGGACTCCACGGCGTCCGCGCGCCCCTCAGCCCCCGCGGTCCCCCGTTTCCTCCTCGCGCCCCATCCTGCGCGTGTCCGGGCCGGGTCACGAGGACGGACGCCCTGTCCCCGCTTTTGGTGCCTCCCCGCGCCAGGCCGTCACCGCGCCAGGCACGAGCGCGCGGAGATGCCCGGGCGCTCCAGCTCGCCCGCAGCCCGTGCCACCTGCTCGCCGGGGAAGGTAGGTGGGGTGGGAGAGGGACCCGCGCCCAGCGCCTCGCGAGGGGTCCTCCCCGCAAACTCCGGGTAGGAAAGAGATGCGAAATCTGCCATCAGTCCTAAACAGGGAAGGCGACCTTCAGAGCGCCCGGCCCCGTGCGCACCGACCAGTGCTTGGGAAACGCTTGGGAAAGCGTGTGGGCTAGGAGACCCCCAAGGTCGGGGACCAGAAGGGGCCCGCCCACCAGGCAGAGCTGCTGCGGCTCCCTAAGGCTGCAAAGGTTTTCAACGGGGCTCCCTGAGATCCCGGAGAACTCCAGGGAATTCCTGCAGCCTCACAACTGCCAGATGGGAGAGGTCCCGTAATGTCAGGCTGGGCGTGGGGATCTTCCATCCCTGCCAGCCCTGGGGGGGCAGACCCTGCAGGTAGCAGTTTGTTTCCAGGACAGAGTGGACCCCAGCACCCTCATGAGTGATTCCTGCTCCCCATCCTCCTGGAGGGGGCAGCTCCTTGCCCAGGACTCCAGGAAGGATCCTGGCCAGTGGCGGGCGAGCTGCTGATTCTGCCGCTGGCCAGTAAGGCAGGGGTGCTGCTAGGAACCCGCCTGCCCCAGGCCTCCACCCTCCACTGCCCCCTGCCTCGGTTTCCCTGCACGGGCAGGAAGAGCAGCAGGAAGTGGGGTGTGCCTGCGTGTTTGGGTAGGCATCCTAATCAGATCCAGCTGGTACATGGCCCCTCCTCCAGCCTCTGCCTTCCACTCCCCCCACTGCCTTCCAGGGGCAGGAGAAAGCCTAAAGGGATCCCCTCTGCCACCAGACAGGGGGAGGGGGGAGCAGGGGTTGGGCTGCCCCAGCCGCTCAGCCTCCAGCACCCCAAGGTCTGAGCTGAACAACCCCCCTCCTTATGTCCCTTCATCCTTTCTGGTCCCCGTGATCCTTGTGCCTCTCACATGACTGCCCACTGCACACCGCCTGGCTGCCCGGGCTGGGACCCCTTCGTCCCACGCCGCTCACATGACCCCTCCCCACTGTGGCCCCATCATCGTCACATCCTCAGCACCTCACTGTCATATGCCCAGCCCTGTGGGGAAGCCTACTGGGCAGACGCAGAGAGGGCACATCCCCAGGAGGAGACGGGGCTGGCTCTGTGCGGGTGCGGGCGCAGGGGACGGGTTCTCGGGGGACACATGTGCTATTGGGCAGCCCCAACCCTCCATCTCTGCAGCCCGGGACTAACACCTGCACGGGGCAGGGTGCCTACTGGCCAGGTACACCTGTACTGCAGGGAGGCCCAAGACCACCTTGGAGGGGTGGGAGACAGGGGGTGGGGGGCTTGTTTGCCAGAGAGCAGCTCCAGGGCATCACCCTTGGCTCCCAGAGCGGCGGCTCTGCCAGGGAGTGCCTCTGACTCCCCCTCCGAGGAGCCTTGGCCCAGCTGGGCTGTGGGCGGGTGGCCTTGCTGGCCAGGCCTCTTCCGAGCCAAGCCCAAGTAACCCCTGGTGCCCGCCAGCAGGCAAACTGGGGGAGGCAGAGGAACTGAAACAAGGTCCCATGTGCCCAGCCCTCCTGCCAGCTGCCCCAGTTCCTCGGCCTGCCTTCTGGGGGAGCTGCGGCATGAAGAGCCCCAGGGGGGCTGGCCAGCAGGCCCGCATGCCCAAGGCTTTGTCCAGCAGGCCCGCTCCTGGCCAGCCTCCCCACCCCCGCCCCCTGCCTGGGGCCTGACAAGCAGCTCATTGTGCCTGGAGCTGCACGGGCAGCCTGAAGGCGGTGCCCACAGCGGCCGCTTCCTGGGTCCTCAGCGCCCACCCTGCTGGCCGGCCACCCCCCCCCCCCCGGCCCCCAGCAGGGAAGGTGGAGCCCAGGACCCAGCGGGGCTTCCCTTCCTTCCCTCTTCCCCACAGGGGAGACGAGGAGGAGCCCCCAAGCCTTGACCCCAGCATGCAGGCTTCCTCCTGCACCCTCCCGGCTGGCCTCAGTCTGGACGATTTCATTCCCCGCCACCTCCGGAACCGCACGGCGTCCTCCTCCGGGGGGACAAGGGTGAGTGAGTGTGTGCGGGGGAAGGCTGCCCGGGCGGGCCCCCAGATGGAGACCTCCCAGGAAGCAGTGGGACAGGAAAGAGGACAGGGATGCAGAGAGCTCAGGGGGGCTGCACTGTTGGTGCGGAAAGTGTCAGGCTGATGACCCCCCACCCCGCGGGCGGATGCAGGCTGAGTCTGGCCTTGCTGGCTGGACTCCCACCCTTCTGCAGAAACTTCTGGGCCTGAGCTGCTGCTCCTGGCCCCTCCCCACAGGTGCCCGTGATCCGGAATGGGGGCTCCAACACCCTTAATTTCCAGTTCCACGACCCTGCGCCCAGGACCGTGTGCAATGGGCATTACCCCCCGAGGAGAGAAGCTCCCCGACACTCAGGTGAGTCTGAGCTGGGTCCCCGCAGGGCACGGAGGGGTCTGAATGGCTGAGCCTACCCTCCATCCCCACCAGGCTGTGTTGGACCAGAGGGGCTGGGCACTCTGCCTCTGCCTGGTGCTGTGGCCACCTACTGCAGCAGGCAACTGGAGTGAGGGCAGGGAAACAGAGGAGAGCGGGACGAACACTGGGCGAGGCCCAAGGGCAGCTCTGGGCTGGACCCACTAGCCTGGCAGCATTTTGGACAGGGCATGAGAGCTGCCATTCCCGGGCCCCGAGGAGTTCATGAGGTCCACAGGTCCTGGGACCTTCTGGGCAGCATCCCTTAATGAACATTCCCTCAAGGGCAGATGCTGTGCCAGAGCGTTTACTTACTTGGCAAAAAATTAATTGAGCAGAGTACACAGGACTCTGTGCGACATCTCACGGAGGGCCGCTGTAACTGGGCAGGGGAAGGTGACATCAGCAGCATCTCCCTGTTGAGGAACCTGAAGCCAAGATCACCACACACACACACATACACACACACACACACACACACACGCACGCACGCACACGCTTTCACACACACACAGTTGCGCACATGGGTATGCACACTCATACACACAGGCACACACACACAGGTGCCACACACACAAGGCATGCACACTCATATATGCACACAGGCACACGCTCACATCCTTCTGCTCCCTCCCCTCTGTCTTGTGACCAAATTTTCTGGGGAAGTAACTGTGTCCACGGGTCAAGGGCATTTGGCCCAGGCATGGCCCGAGACTACAGAACTGCCGAGTCTTTGCTATGGACAAGGCCAGGTCTGAATTCACTCTGCCCCCCTCCAAAGCAACCATCTTTCGTGCCATTCCCTTCTGGGACACCCCAGCATTCTCTCACGTAATGATTCCCAGCCCGTACTCTGCAGACTCTCAGGACAGCCCGAGAAAGCAGCAGGGTGGGGAACAGCTTTCTCAAGACAAAATCCATTTTTATTCACCCGGACTCAAAAACAAACAGAGGCCTGTGGTCCTGCTGGGGAACCGGAGGTTTATAGAATCTGCGTCATCAACTCAAACAAACAAGGAAATGTTGAAACTTTTGGACCCAGAGGGATCAATGTTCTGGATTGCCAGGGCCTGAGCAAGTTCAGGTGGGCCCTGCCCTCGGCTAATGTTACCCCTCACGTTCTCCACAGACTCCGCCTGGTATCAGACCTGGCCAGGCCCTGGGAACCGGGCCCCGGGGAGTCAAAAGACCCCCAACCCCCAGCATGCCCAGAACTGGTCAGCCACATGGACCAAGGACAGCAAGCGTCAGGACAAGCGCTGGGTCAAGTATGAGGGGATCGGGCCGGTGGACGAGAGCGGCATGCCCATTGCCCCCCGATCTGTGAGTCCAGGGCCGCGGGGGGCGGGGCGATGCTGAGCACCACTTCTATGAAAGTGGCAGAGGGGTTGGGTGGGGGAGGGGAATAAAGGCTGTCCCCAAACCATTCCAGACTGTAGCAGGGTTGCAACCCTGAGGGCCTCCGGGCCCTTGAAGTTAAAGGCTCAAGTGGATGGTGGATAAAGGGGAATCTAGAAGGCCCCCACAGTCTCAAGGGAGGGAACCACTCTGCAGGGCTGGACCTGGCAGAGGCCGCCTCTAATTTTCCCAGCCCCAGAGCCTGACTGTGTCTGATATGGAAGGAGGTGCCAGACCCTGTGGTCCCACCCCTTGACTCCTGCCTCTGGGTCCATCCCTCACTCCCCCACCCTCTGGCCCCCCCTTCTATAACTTGGTCATGCCCCCTCCTACGTCATAGGAAGTGGGGCTGTGAAATACCATCCCCCTATACTATTTATTGTACTTCACTGTTGCTGCTATTTGTTTTTTGTTGCTTTGGGGCCCCAGCCAGCAGTGCTGGGGGTCATGGGGGAGCTATTCCCGGCTCTGTGATGAGATTCAGCCCAGGCGCTGGGGGGGGGGGGCGGAGTCGGGGAGGGGGGTGATGGGGAAACAGCAAGGAGCCACATATAGAATTGAGACCTTTTGCATGCAAACAAAGCATGCCATTAGCCCAAGAACCATCTCCCCAGCCCTGCATTAGGCCTTTGTTGCATAGAAACACAGGTTCTTTGTAGAAATGTTCAAGGAAAAAAAAAGAAAGAAAGAAAGAAAGAAAGAAAGAAAGAAAGGAAAAAGCAAAGAGTGGAGATGGGGGCCATGGTACAGTGGGTAGAACATTTGTTCGCCTAGCCCGTGGCCAGCCTGGGTTCATCTCCCAGCACCCTGCGTGGTCTCCTGAGCACCGATGGGTGTCACCCCACAAAGCACAGAGAATGTAGACCGCCCCAGATCTCACAGCTAACGGCTCATTGCAGATGGAGATCTTTTCATTTGTATATTTCCACTGTGTTGTGCTGCACGAAGTTGATGTTATTCCCATCAGCACCACAGCCCAGCCCATGGGGCTTCAAAGAGGCCAGAGAAAGACTCAGTGAGGAGACCCTGATACTGGGCCTGACCTGAACTTCTGCTTTTGCTGTTCCCAGAGCGTCGACAGCCCTAGGGACTGGTACCGGAGAATGTTCCAGCAGATTCATCGGAAAATGCCGGGTGAGCCCATTCCTGGATCCCTTTTCTGCTGGACTGCGCTGGCAGTGGGGTTGGAAACGGAGCTCACCTTCTCGGGGGAGTCCATCTACCTAGCACAGGTTGTCCCATGAGGGGGGCCCCTAAAGCTGGCCTGTCTAGGGGCCCCCTCAGGAGGAGGGACCCTGAGACAGAGCTCGCCTTCCTCCAGGCTGTCCCAGCACCTCTGCTCAGCCCTGAGTTGTGACAGCGCTGTCCTAGGTGGGGAAGAGAAAGCAGAACCGAGAGCAGTGGCTGTTGCCGGAGGCCTGGTGTGCTTGAAAGGCCTGAGGCTGCCTCCTGCTGGGGCCCGCTGGCAAGGTCAAGGCCGGCGGGAGGAGAGGAGTTCGCCAGCAGAGGGCGCATGAGACCTGGGGGCAGAAGCTGGAGTAGCAAGAGAAAATGCAGTGGGGGAGGGGAGGCACATCACAGCAAGTGGGACTGGGTTCCTGAGGGCCTTAGAGCCACTCCCAGACACGCTGTGACAGGTGCTGACGGAGGCTCAGTGACTCCTGGCAAGTTTAGGGACTGAGGCCTTCAGCCTCCCACACCAGGAAGCACAGTCCATGCGAGCAGTTAAGATACACATCTTTAGTTTGGGGGTGAGCCTCACATGGAAACTCAAAGTGACTGGACAGGGGGGAAGGGGTGGGGGGGGCGGTTCTCAAGTGGTGTTCAGGGGTTTGAACCGAAGAGACAGTACAGTGGGGAGGGAGCTTGCTTTGCACAGGTTGGATCTCTGGTGTCCCATATGGGCCCCTGAGCACCACCAGGAGTGATTCCTGAGTGCAGAGCCAGGAGTGACTCTGAGCATCACCAAGGTATAGTCCCCAAACAAAACTAAAACTAATTAATAATAAATTAATAATAATAATAATGCTCGAGCGGGCCCAGTAACATCTCCATTTTGAGACTTGTTGTTACTGTGTTTGGCATATCGAATACGTCACGGGTAGTTTGCCAGGCTTTGCCGTGCGGGCGAGATACTCTCGGTAGCTTGCCAGGCTCTCCGAGAGGGTCAGAGGAATCAAACCTGGCTCGGCCAGGCTGGCTGCATACAAGGCCAACACCCTACCGCTGTGCTATCACTCCAGTCCCTACCGCTGTGCTATCACTCCACTGGAGCGATAGCACAGCGGGTAGGGCGTTTGCCTTGCATGCAGCCAACATGGCCGACCCAAGTTCGATTCCTCCACCCCTCTCGGAGAGCCCGGCAAGCTACCGAGAGTATCTCGCCTGCACGGCAAAGCCTGGAAAGCTACCCATGACTTATTCGATATGCCAAACACAGTAACAACAAAGTCTCCAATGGAGACGTTACTGGGCCCGCTCGAGCAAATCGAAGATCAACGGGAGGGCCTTTACTTTACGTACTTAATAATAATGATAAGCATAAGGGCCCTTTCCAAAGATTCCCAGCTATCTAGGACCCAAGGATGTGGTGCTGCTTGGGGTGCCAGCAATGATCAGGGCCATCGTGCAATGTTTGGGGCCACCAGGGCTGTACCTGGTGACATGCAAGGGACCACGTGCAGCCAGGGTCTGCCACATGCAAGTGCCTGCATCCCTGCTCTCTCTCTCTCTCCCTCTCTCTCTGTGTCTGTCTGTCTCTCTCTCTCTCTGTCTCTGTGTCTGTCTCTCTCTCTCTCTCTCTCTCTCTCTGACTCCATTCAAGGTATTCTGATTTAGGCCTCAGGGATTCAGGTTGTGGGTTCCCCGATAGCTGGCTTTCTGGTGAGCAGCGTGCCTAGCCAGGTCAGCTAGGGGGCTGGAGAGGCAGAGGCCCAGGGACTGAGCCTGGAGGCCTCGTATGGTCAGAGGTACTGAGATGAGCAGGACAAAGAGAAGGTGGTTGAAGGACCCACCACGGTCTACTCAAAGCTGGGTGCAGAGGGAATTTCCCACAGGGAGAGGCCCATCCTGACAAAAGCTGCTGAGACATCGTTAGAAACTGACCACAGAGGACATGGTCATCCCTGATGCCCTCACTAGCCTCTTGAGAGAGGTGTGGGCAGACATGGCAAGGCTTGGGGAGAAGGGGAATTAGGGACAGCAGGGGTCCTTTTTTTTTTTCTTGTTTACTTTCGTGCTTGGGCTGGAGCGATAGCACAATGGTAGGGCATTTGCCTTGCGCGCAGCCAGCCTGACTGAGCCGGGTTCGATTCCTCTGCCCCTCTTGGAGAGCCCGGAAAGCTGCCGAGAGTATCTTGCCCACACGGCAAAGCCAGGCAGGCTACCTGTGACGTATTCAATATGCCAAACACAGTAACAATTGTCACAATGGAGATGTTACTGGGCCCGCTCAAGCAAATCAACGAACAACGGGAGGACAGTGACAGTGACAGTGACTTTCATGCTTATGTTTCAGTCATACAATGATCGAGTACCCATCCCTCCACCAGTGCCCATTCTCCACCACCAATGTTTCCAGTATCCCTCCCACCACCCCCACCCCAGAGATGTGACCAGAGATGCGAAAAAGTAGAGTAGAAACAACATCTGCATTCGGATGTTCATTGCAGCACTGTTTACCATAGCCATCTGGAAAAAGCAGGGGGTCCTTAACTCACTGCAAAGAACGAGCATCTAGGAGCGGCAGGAAGGCTGGGGCCCCCTGGAGGCATCGTGGTGGTTAGCGGGAGCTGCCCCGGGCATCAGACAGGCTGGCTGGTCAGTTGCTTGCACCAGGAGGCCCCAAGAAGGCAATGCATGGGGCGTGGAGCTGTGAGGAGTCTGAGCTGAGGGGAAGTGCAGGCAGAGAGAGGGCAGAGGAGGAAGAGGGGCGTGCTGCCAGGCGGCCAGTGAGGGCAGGGCTGCGAAGGTCAGGGCGAGGGTGAGTGTGGGAACAGGAGAGGACGCTCTGGGCAAGGCCACTGCCAGGTCTGCTGGCTGAGCTGGTTCTGGCCCCAGATCTGCCAGAGGCATTTCGAGTCCTCCTGAGAACTGCCCTCCTCATTCCTTTCCTCCCTCGGGACATTCTTGGGGCCCTGACTCAACCCCAGGCAGGGGGAGGCTGGGGAGCACCCTTCCCTGACCGGGTCCTTTCTGTTCCCTAGACCTGCAGCTGGACTGGACTTTTGAGGAGGGACCCAAAGGTGAGGGGGTGCAGGCGGCCCTCCCCAACTCTATACCTGCCTCTCCTCCTCCCCACGGCCATGCCAGGCTTTGGGGCTGCCCAGGTGGGTTCGTTCGACTTGCGTTTTCACAAACCCACTTTTGGTGAACTCAACCCCACCGCTGGAGGCAGCACTGGTCTACTAGTGGACCACTGGCCCTAGTGGCCAAGGGGCGGGGGTTTCTCTTCCCTCATCTGTCATATGGGGGCTAGGGGCACCTTCTCTGAGTGTTGTGAAGAGTTGGTAAAGCCTGTGCAAAGCCCACATTGAGTGATCCGGGCACTCCCCACCCCCACAAGCCACTCAGGCCTGCAGGTCTGTGGGTGCCAGGTCCTTCAGGGGGTGCCCAGATCCCCTCTTCCCCAGCGCTTTCCTCCTCCCACTTCTGTTGGTCTTCTTCCACCCTCAGCTGCCTCCTCCAACGCGGCTTCTGCGGAACTCAGGCATCCTGGCCTCCAGCAGAAACCGGCCTGCAGGCCAGGCCCAACCTCCCTGAGCGGGTGAGCCCTGGGGGGAAAGGACCTGGGGTGTGGGGGCAGCCTGCTGGTTTCCTCCAGGGGACTGGCACCCCCTGGTGGCCACAGCTCTGACAACCTCGGCTCGGGTCGCCCAGGTCCGCCTATCAGCCCCACGGCCCCAGCCTCAGGAGGGTGGGCTGCACCCCTTCTTGCTCAGGAACAGCCATGATACGCTCAGACTCAGAGCTCACATGGGGCGGGGTTCAGGGGCACATCCGCTTGGAAGCCCAAGAGAAAACCCAAGTTGGTTTTTTTGTTTGTTTGTTTTATTTGGGGGTCACACCCAACAGTGCTCTGGGGTCACTCCCAGCTCTGTGCTCAGGAATTAATTCCTGGCGGTATTCAGGGGACCATATGGGATGCCAGGGATAGAACCCAGGTTGGCTACGTGCAAGGCAAACACCCTCCCGGCTCCAGCCCTGAAGTTTCCTCACAGCCCTGGGGCAGAGGGAGTGGGACACGGGTGAGAGAGCAGCGGCGCCCGGAGCCCAGGAGGGCATGACTCGCACAGAGACTGTGACTTGCCCCTGGGTGGACCAAGCTCAGCAGCACCGTCTCACAGGCCGGTGGCCCTACAGGTCACTATTAAAGAACCTAACTAGGCTCAAGGTTTGGAACCCAGAGTTCGGGTTCAGGCAAATGGGGGACCACTGGTCATGTGACCTGGGGCAATCTAGGCCAGCTGCACCCAGTATTCCCAGCTGTGGAGGGGGGTCGTGTGGCATGTGACACACTCCTCGCTCGCTGTGACTGCTCACCTTATTGCCAGAACCAACACCTTATTGCCAGAACCGGTCATAAGGACAGTTCCCCCCTTGGTCCTCCCCTCTCACCCTGTCCTTGAAAAGCTTCCTCAATGGCTTTTGCTAGGAATGTTCATTTTTTTTTCTTTTTTTGGGTCACACCTGGCAATGCACGGGGGTTACTTCTGGCTCTGCACTCAGGAGTTACTCCTGGAGGTGCTCGGGGAGCCCTATGGGATGCTGGGAATTGAACCCGGGTTGGCCACAAGCCAGGTAAACGCCTTACTCGCTGTGCTGTCGCTCCAGCCCCAGGAATGTTAATCTTGACAGAGGCTGGACATCTTAGCGAGAGCGAGCATGGCACAGGACAGAGGCCACAGCTGCTGAGGCCCCCAGGAACAGCCCGCCTCTTTCCTGGCCTTAGCTTCTCCAGAGTGCAGTAGGACCCCATGGGTGAGACCACCTGCCTCAGAGCCACATAGCTTCTGGGCCCCGGCTGAGCACCTTGGGGAGCACTCACTGCCAGAAAGGGGTGCTGCTCGGGGCAGAGGATGGGCCTTCTCCGGGATCCCTACACCTGTCCTTGCAACATGCCCTTGGGAAGGTGGGGGTCATAGGCATTGAAATTGAGGCTCAAGAGATCAGACTTGCCCGGTCACTGTGAGGAGTGGAGCAGCCCCAGGCACTTGGAGCTCATAGTTTCCCCCCTTCCTGAGCCAGAGAACTAGTAAAGGAAAGTGCGTTTGCCTTGCACAAGGTCCACCCAGGGCCCCACATGCTCCGGCACCCCATACAGTCCCCTGAGCACTAAGTGCAGAGCCAGGAGAGAACCTTGCCCCCATAAAAGATAGCCTGGAACAGGTGGGGAGCGGTGCCTCCCCCCAGACTGTGGGGCTCATACATGCCTCAGTTTCCCTAAAACGAAGCTGAAGAGATGAACTTCTGGTTCTTTAGAAAAAGCTGGGACTCCTCTGAAGAGTTTCCTCAAAGCACTTTCAACTCTAACTCCGGAGTGTCCCCATCTCTGCTCCAGACCCCGACCCAGGTAACTTGCCCAGAGGCGGTACCCACTGCCCTCTGGTGTCCTTGTCCAGCCTTGGTGCCACATGACAGCCCTGTGGCCAGGGGCTGCTCTGTGCCACGAAGAGAGCCCCGAGTGCTTAGGTGGGCACGGTGGGACATGTGAGTGGGGCAGACCTCAGGGTTATCTGAGCTGGCGGGCACCCCAGAACCCCTGTACCCAAGTTGGTGCCCACCACACCCGTGCAGGCACCCAGGGGCCGAGAAAAGGCGGACAGTGTCTGGACAGAAGATTCCTGGAACCAGTTTCTGCAAGAGCTAGAAACGGGGCAGAAGGTGAGCGGCTGCACCCCAGCTTCTGCTTTGGGAATGTGAGGTCACCCCCTGACTAGCCCTTCCCTCCCTTAGCCCAAGAAACCTCTGGTGGATGATGCTGTTGAGAAGCCCCCCCAGCCCATCGAGGTGAGTGTCACCGAGCAAGCACGGTTGGGGGACAGCTGAGGGTGATGAGCAGTAGGCACAGTTACCAAAGACACGGCCTGGACCGAAATTTGCATGATCCTCTCTGCCCCCTACTGACTGCATCCGGCTGCCCCATCCCTGAGGACATTCATGTCTGGCGTGTGGTGGCACAGACACGGGGTGTTGGCCCTGGAGCAGAGGAGGGGGTCAGTGGGGGCTGGAATGGTTGGGGATTATTCCTGACTAGATGGGAAGAGTTAGAGGGAGTTATTAAGTCAGAGAGGAACAGCAGGGGCAAAGACTGGAGGAGTGTGTATGTGTGTGTGTGTGTGTGTGTGTGTGTGCATATGTGGCTGTAGGGGTCCTGTGGGTGCATACATGTGTGTTTCTGTATCTGTATGCACGCGTGTATATATGTGTGTACATGTTTGTGTATTTGTGTGTGACTTTCTGTTTGTCTGTGACAGTGTATTTGTGTGTGACTTTCTGTTTGTCTGTGACAGTGTACCTATGTGTGTATGTGACTGAGTGTGTATGTGAAGTGTGTGTTTGTGCGTGCGTGTATGTGTGTGTGTCTAAGTACCCTCTGGGGTGGACAGTGGGCTGGGTAGGAGACAAATGATCGCCCCGGGGCCCCGGGCCGGGAGTCGGGAGGCCGAGGCGGCGTGTCCGCGGGCACTGGCCCGAGCGAGCGAGCGTGCGTGTGTCCGCTGGACCTGTCCGGTGAGCTTTGGCCGACGCCCCCACTGCCCCGCCCCCAGGTCCTGCTGGAGCGGGAGCTCGCCAAGCTGAGCGCCGAGCTGGACAAGGACCTGCGGGCCATTGAGACCCGGCTGCCGTCCCCCAGGGTTCAAGTACGTGGGGCGCCCTTCCCACCGCGGCCCTCACCCCGCGGAGATCCCGAGCGCTACGTGGGCTCCGGGCGCCCCCGCACCCCGGGCTGGGCCTCCGCCCTCTTCCGCCCGCGCGGGCGCCGCTAGGACCCCGCGGCCGCGCTCCCTGCCCCGCCGCCAACTTTCCGGAGGCGGCGCCGCCTGACCGCGCCCGTCTCCGGCTCCTTCTCCCCGCAGAGCGCGCGGGCGCCCCGACGCCCCCGGGAGCCGCGGGAGCCGCGGGAGCCGCGGGTCGCGGCGCGGTAAGTGAGGGCCGGCCGGGGACCCCGCGCCTCGCGTCCCCCGCGCGCGCCCCTCCGCCCCCCGCGCCCCGCGCTCGCCGCTGGTTCCCCGCGCACGGCCCGCGCCCCTGCGCCCCCCGCGCGCGTCCCGCTCTCCCGGCTCGTCCCCCGCGCAAGCCCCGCGCCCCTGCGCCCCTGCGCCTCTCGCGCGCGTCCCGCTCTCCCGGCTCGTCCCCCGCGCACGCCCCGCGCCCCCAGCGCACTCAGCGCCCCTGAGGCCGCCGGACCTCCCAAATGGGTACAAGGGCCCCGGGGAGCAGGCAGAGGCGGGAGTGGGGGGTCTGGGAGGGGGTCTGGGATTCTGGGGGTGAGCAGCTCCCTCCTTCTGTCCCCACCAGCCCGGCCTCAGCCTGGAGCTCCAGTGCCCCGAATGCACTTTACCAGGGCTCCTCCCGGCCCCTGAGCCCCCACAGAATGGCGGAAACGGGGAGCCCCTTCCTGGGCCGGAGGGACTTTGTCTACCCCTCCTCAGTCCAAGGTGAGCACCGGCCCCAGCCCGAGCGCGCGCTGCCCCGACGCCCACCACCGGCAAACTGCAGCCCGCGCTGCCGGGCGCCCCGGGGTGGCGGGAAGGTCCCGGAGCGCACGGCGCACGCCCCTTGCACCCCGCTGTCCCCTGGGGGACCGGTGACCCTCCCGGACTGAGCTGGTGCTTCTCCGCAGACCCCGGGGCCCCCGACCGAGGGCGCAGCCCTGCCAGGAAGGAAGAGAAGGTAAGGAGCTGGGCGCGGGGTCCGGGTGAAGCAGGGCAGCGGCTGTGCCCGTGGCCTGCCCCGCCAGCCGTGCCACCTGTCTGACGCCGCCCCTTCTCCCCTGCCAGAGGAGGGCCGCCAGGCTCAAGTTTGACTTCCAGGCACTGTCCCCCAAGTAAGTGCCCCTCACCTCCTGCGTGGTGTGTCCTGGGGATGGGGGTGGGCCCGAGTCGGTGTCTTCTCTTCTCGGGGGTGGGGGGGGGAGGCGCTGGATAGGAAACAGGATTGGGGGACCCCAGCTGGCTGCCTGTCGCCTCTGCCCAGCTGGCTGCCTGTCGCCTCTGCCCCCAGGGAGCTGACCCTGAAGAAGGGTGACATTGTCTACATCCACAAGGAGGTGGATAGGAACTGGCTGGAGGGAGAACATCACGGTCGGCTGGGCATCTTCCCTGCCAACTACGTGGAGGTGAGTGGGCAGAGGGGTGGGGGTGGCAGAAGTCTCTGCCCCAGAGATCCTGTTCTCCATCTCTGCCGCCGAAGCCCTGGGCAGAGATCACAGTCCCCTTCTGCCTTGGGCTGGCCAGTGCTGCACTTGGACTCAGGAAATGTTTGTCCGGTGAGGAGGGACTGGGGAGGGACTGGAGGGGGGGGGAGTTGTAGGGGGTGCTGTCAGCAGCTGAGGGCAGGGCCCAGGGGCCGCCAGCCTGGTGGTGTGGCCACCTTGGGCTCACACCCCAGCTCTCTGAGGTTGCCTTTGGGCAGAACCTTCTTGGCAGGTGGTAAGTGCAGTGTGTGCCGTTGACATTTCCACACAGGTCACACGGGAAGGGTCAGATTTCCCCTCATGGTGTCTTGCAGGGAGGCGAGCGGTCAAGTAGAACATGCAGACTCTGAAGTTAGGGTTTCTGATTTCCAGAGACATCTTGGGGGTTCGATCAATCAACTGCGAGAGCTCTGGCACTGGTGTGTGTGTGTGTCTTCGCTGCAGTGCCCAGGCCTAACCTCAGCTGTGCTGGGGGCCGTGTGCCTGCCAGGGATCCATCCCAGGGCGTCCCACATCAAAGCTTCTGCGGGACCCCTGAGCCACCACCTCCCTGACCATTCACTTGGAATTCCTTCAGACACACCCGTGCTGGGGAGGGCTGTGACTCGGCCAGAGGGCACGTCCTCTGCATGTGAGGCTGCGGGTTCAAGCCCCAGCGATGCACACACACACACACACAAACCCCGCGGCGGAGCCGCATCACAAGCTACCGTGCCTTCCTCTTGTGTCCTGTCACTGTTGTCCCTGGTCTCTTCTCTCACCAGCTGTGTTTTCTGTGATTCTGGCTAGAGTGTCTGAATTATTTTTTCATTTTTTATCGATTTGCTCGAGCGGGCCCAGTAACGTCTCCATTGGAGACTTTGTTGTTACTGTGTCTGGCATATCGAATACTCTCAGTAGCTTGCCGGGCTCTCCGAGAGGGGCGGAGGAATCGAACTCGGGTCGGCCATGTTGGCTGCGTGCAAGGCAAACGCCCTACCCGCTGTGCTATCGCTCAATAATTTTATTTATTGAATCACCGTGAGAGCAGTTACAAAGCTTTTGGGTTTAAGTCTCGGTCATACAATGAAACACCTGTACCTTCACCAGTGCCCATCCTCCACCCCCCAAAACCCCAGTATACCCCCATCCCACACTCTCCCCCTGCCTGTGGGGCAGATGATTTCCAAATTATAGTCTGTGTGAATTTTTCTATGTCTTTTCAAAGACTCGAATTTAGGATGTCATTCACTTCCCCCTTATTTTTGCTTTCAATTCTGTTGACCTCTGCTCCTTTTTAATGTCTTTATTTCTGTTTCCTTCTGTTTGTTTCTCTCTGGTTTCTTAGGAGAGTAGTTTCAGTGTTTCTCCACCTTTTTTTTCTGACCACGGCCTCCTTCTTGTGTTCACCCCTCACCCTATCCTACAGGTGACCCCTTAGTCTTGTGCCCCATTTACACAGTTTTCACTGTGGCCCCCTTGGAATATCCTGGGGGCACGCACAGAGCCATAACGACTCCCAACTGAGAAATTCTGGTTAAAAAAATTTTTTAAATTTTCTTATTGAATCACAGTTACAGGGTTGTTTATGATTGAGTTTGAGTTATAGAATGTTTAATTCTGTTTTAAATTACTGGTAAAATCTTTTCCCCTAGAGGAAGTATTAATGCTATAATTTTTTTTTAATTTTTTGCTTTTTGGGTCACACTCGGCATTGCAGAGGGGTTACTCCTGGCTCATGCACTCAGGAATTACTCCTGACAGTGCTCAGGGGACTATATGGGTTGCTGGGAATCGAACCCAGGTCGGCTGCGTGCAAGGCAAATGCCCTACCTGCTTTGCTATCGCTCCAGCCCCTATAACTTTCCCTCGAAGCACTGTTCTAACCATATCCTTCAGATACTGATGTTTCAAGTATATTTTTTTCCCATTCAAATCAAGCCCTTTCTCTGCTTTTCCCTCTTGGGAGACCTTCCAAGAAAATTCCAAGAGAAAGATCCGGAGTTCCAGGGGCCTCTCCCAGTGATACTGGACAGTTGGGCTAGTGGTTGACTGCAAAGACAGGAGGAAGCTGCTGTGGATTACCTGGGCCCCCCTGGGCAGTGGTCCAGAGACCTTGAGAATGAGCCCAGCAGTGCTCGGGGGACCATGTGGTACCAGGGATCACACTGAGGTCAGCCTTATGCAAGGCATGAGCCTTAACTCCTGTACTATCTCTCTGGCTGCAAATCAAGCTGATTTTCTCATTTCCTTGTGACTTCCCCTCTGGGCCATTGTTGGGCTGTTGCACTCAGGCTCTAGGCCTGATAGGCATCAGTAGACTTCCCTTCCCCTTGGGATAATCTCTTCTGGTCCTGAGGTTCCACAAAGTCTGTGCTCTGTTCCACTTGGCAATTGTTGACATCTTAGTGTGAAATAGACTGTTAGCATCTTGGTTCTTGTGAGTGCTGAAGTGGGAGCGTGGGTGGGGACCCGAGCGGGTGGCAGGGGAGGGTGAGAGGGCACATGGCTTTCAGCAGTGGAGACCCCAGTGCCGTGGGTGCAGGTGCCCACTCCTGCGTCGAACTCCTCAGATCCCGGCTCCACTCAACTCCCCTGGACTGACTCTGTCTTGGTGCTGCCATTGGCTGCTCGGGCAGTGCCCAAGCCTCATTCCATTGGTGGGAATTCCTCCCTCACCCCCTTAGAGAAACCAGTCCTCGGCCGAGTCTAGTGTTTGTCCTGTCTGCGGTGGGCAGCTCCTAGGCATCCCCTTCCTGGGGCGCCTCCTCCTCTTGCAGCCCCAGGTCTGGAGGATTCCTCGTCAGGACTTTCTCCCCTTAGGTGCTGCCTGCTGGGGAGGTCCCCAAGCCCATCAAGCCCCCCACCTACCAGTTGCTGGAGTATGGAGAAGCCGTGGCCCTGTACAACTTCAAGGGGGACCTGGACGTGGAGTTGTCCTTCCGCAAGGTGGGCGAGACCAGCTAGGGCGTGGGGGCCAGGGGGGTGGTGCTGGTAATGTGTGAACACCTCCAGGGTACCTTCTTTGCCCAGGATGTCAACTTCGTCCCACCTCACCCATCTCTTTGACTGTGCTGCCCTTAATGTCCCCAGTTGAAAGTGCTCATCTTGGAGCTGTGGAGATGTAGCATGAGAAACGCAGGAGGGGCCGGAGAGACAGTATAGCGGGGAGGGCGTTTGCCTTGCACGTGGCCAACCTGGGTTGAATCCCTGACATCCCGTATGGTCCCCCGAGCACTGCTAGGAGTTATTCCTGAGTGCAGAGTCAGGAGTAACCCCTGAGCATCACTGTGATGCTCATCAGTGTGACCCAAAAAGTGGGAAGAAGGAAGAGAAGAGAGGGAGGGAGGGAGGGAGGGAGGGAGGGAGGGAGGGAAGGGGGGGAAGGAAGGAATGAAGGAAGGAAGGGAGGGATGGGGGAGGGAGGGCGGGCAACTGGATTTTTTTTTTTTATATTTTTTGGCTTTTTGGGTCACACCCAGTGATGCACGGGGGTTACTCCTGGCTCTGCACTCAGGAATTACCCCTGGCAGTGCTCAGGGGACCATATGGGATGTTGGGAATTGAACTTGGGTCCACCGCGTGCAAGGCAAACGCCCTACCCACTGTGCTAGCTATCAGTCCAGCCCCTGGACTGTTTTAAGCCGAGAGTCAGTGGGCTTGAGGGTCACAGAGACACGTGGAGCAAACAGCGGGAATATCCACAGCCTTCACCCACAGGAAGGCCACCCTGTGCAGCACTGGCAGTTTGGGTATATGTGCATGTGTGTGTACACATAGGGGTGGTTGGTAAAAAGTGCTTTTCCCTTAGTCGCGGTTTCTGTTGCCCGGTTCTCACGTCGGTAGAGAGTGACAGGCTCTGCAGGCAGTTCCGAGGCAGCGGCAGGGGCCGCGGGGCCATGCAAGGGCAGCTGTGGCCACAGCCCTGGCGGTGAGAGACTTGCGAGTCTGTCCTCGTCCTTCTCGAAGCCGGGCACCTAAGCCAGAGTGACTAGCATTAAGGTTGTAGGTGTACTGAAACATGGTTTTTTCTATAGATTATGGTCAAGAACGTTTGAAAGTTTGAAAATCACCTTAGAAAGTCGGGAATGGTAGGGGCAGAGAGATAGAACAGTGGGAAGGGTGCTTGCTGTGCAAGTGGTTGATCACGGTTCTATCCCTGGCACCCCAGATGGTCTCCTGAGCCCCAGCAGGAGTGATCCTTGAGTGCAGAGCTAGGAGTAAGTCCTTAAGTGCCCGGCTTCGAGAAGGACGAGGCTACACTGTGAGGTGTGGGCCAAAAACAGAGAGAGGGAGAGAGAGAGAGAAAGAGAGAGAAAGAGAAAGGGGGGACAGGGAGAGGAAGAAAGAAGATGGGAAGGAGGGAGAGAGAGAATGCAAAACTAGGGACATTGGTGGGGGTAGTGGACACTGGTGAAGGGATTGGTGTTAGAACACTGGATGCCTGAAACTCAATCATGAACAACTTTGTTCTGTAACTCACAAAGTTTTGTAACTTTGTGATTCAATGATTCTGTGAAAAGGAAGGAAGGAGAGGAGAAGAGAGAGTGAGAATGAGAGAGGAGAGGGTAGAGGAGAGAGAGAGAGAGAGAGAGAGAGAGAGAGAGAGAGAGAGGAGAGAAAGAAAGTGGGGATTTTGGGTAGAAACCATAAACTGGTCTGAGAAATGAGCCCAGGAGACAAGCCCAGCAGTGCCTCCCCCCCACCCCCAAGCCTGTGAACTCGGGGACACAGCAGTGCTCTCAGGGCTCTGTGGGGACAGAGAAAGGACTGGCCATGGCAAAGGTGGCCAGTGCTTCTCCCAAGTCCGCATCAGGGTTGCCTCCACCCGACAGGAGAGAAACCAAGGCTCAGAGCAGCAAAGCCCCATGCCCATGGCCACAGAGCATGGCCTGGGTAGGGTCAGTGTGGACTTGGAGCTGTTATACACGGACAGCCCCCATGGGAGAGAGTTCTCTGGATGCCCCGGGCTTGCCCCTGGGGCTCGGGAGAGACTCAGCGCTGAGGAGTGTGGGCAGACGGCCGTGCCCGCTTCCTCTCCCGTCCGGCTGTGCCCGGGGAAGAGGTCGCCCCGAGTGGGCAGAGTGCTCACAGGCAGCCTGGGCTGGCCCTCACCCCCCTCCTGGGCAGGTGCCCCTGCTGGTCCCACACTCACTCACGCCACCGCCTCCCCACCCCCACCCGCAGGGCGAGCGCATCTGCCTGACGCGGAAGGTGAACGAGAACTGGTACGAGGGCCGCATCTCGGGCACCAGCCGCCAGGGCATCTTCCCTGCCAGCTACGTGCAGGTGAACCGGGAGCCGCGCCTGCGGCTGTGCGACGACGGCCCCCAGCTGCCCGTGTCCCCCCTGCCCGCCTCCTCCCGCGTGGCCCGCCACCCCGGCTCCCCCGTAACACCGCACACTCCAGTCGACCCCACGGACTGGGGGGGCCGGACCTCCCCCCGCCGCACCGGCTTCACCTTCCCTCCGCATGACCTCCGAGCCCAGACCCAGGTGAGGTGACTGCCTCCGGGTACCCCTTCCTAGGAGCCGGGGAGGCCTCCCCTTCCCCTGAGTGTCGGACTCTTTCCCTGCTTGACATACCTGAGGGCTGAGTATGTGGACCCAACCCTCCAGTTGGAGCTGTGTCCCGGGGAGATTGGGGAGCAGCCATCCAGTGCCGGGGAGGGTCACCCCCAAACCAGCTGAGGCCTCCTGAGCCCCACGCCCTGCTCAGGAGCAGGGTGGTTCTGCATTCAGCGGCTGACCCTGGCCGGCTGTGTGGCCTTGGGCAGGTGGTTCGCCCTTTCTGTTGCGTGGGTTTTCTCCTCTCTAAAAAGGGGGCCCCAGGGGCTGGAGCGATAGCACAGCGGGTAGGGCGTTTGCCTTGCATGCGGCCAACCCGGGTTTGATTCCTAGCATCCCATATGGTCCCCTGAGCACCACCAGGAGTAATTCCTCAGTGCAAAGCCAGGAGTGAACCCTGTGCATCACTAGGTGTGACCCCAAAAGCAAAAAATAAATAATAATAATAATAATAATGATAAAAAGGGGTGGGGATGGAGCGATAGCACAGTAGGTAGGGCGTTTGCCTTGCATGCAGCCAACCTGGGTTCGATCCCTGGCATCCCATATGGTCCCCTGAGCACCGCCAGGGGTAATTCCTGAGTTCAGAGCCAGGAGTAACCCCTGAACATCGCCGGGTACTATAAAAGCAAAATAATAATAATAATAATAATAATAATAATAATAATAATAATAAGGGGCACCCATTCCCACCGACCACGCTGCCGGGAGTGGAACTGCAGTGTCTAGAAGCTCTGGGTTGAAAGACGCTCATGGGCCCACACATGTGGCCCCGTCCACTCCACCCATCATGCACGGCGACAGTGGGGTGCAGCTGGACAGCTGGCTTCACTTCTCCCCTCCTCTTCTTCCTGTAGATGCCCCAGAGTCTCAGCACCCCGGCCTCCACTGTGACCCAGCCTGGAGGCTCCACTCGGTCCGTGGACCTGGGGACTTCCCCGCCCAGCACCACTCAGATACACTGGACCCCGTGAGTACTGTTGGGGGGTGCTGGTTGGGGGCAAGGGGGCTGCCCCGGATGCAGTGCTAATGGCACAGACCCACCGTCTCACCTCCCCCAGCTGGACTCGACAGACCCGGCCACCAGGTGGTTCCACCCTCACACCCCCTGGGAGAGGTGCCGGAGCACAGATGGCTGTGTCAGCCTGGGGCCCGGGGCCACGCTATGCCCTGCCTGTGGCTTTGCAGGCAGGGCAGGCTGGCCAGGAAAGCCCCCGCCAGGCAGCCCCCCCATTCCCCTACATCTTGGCCAGGGACCTGAGAGCGCCGACACGTGGGTGCCAACACCCCATGCCAGGGAGGGCACGGAGGGCAGGGCGGGACCCCAGGTTGCCACCATGACGTCTCCGCAGGTACCGGGCCATGTACCAGTATAGGCCCCAGAATGAGGACGAGTTGGAGCTGCGTGAGGGCGACCGGGTGGATGTCATGCAGCAGTGTGACGACGGCTGGTTCGTGGGTGCGTGGGCTCCCTGGGGGGAGGGGGCGGCTCGGCCGAGACCCCGCATACCAGCCTGGGGTCCACCTCAGGCACTGCTGAGGGCTGTGGCCTGGGGTCCCTGATAGAGCTCGTGTCACACATATAGCTACCTGCACCCCCCACACACACAGAGGTCTCTGCAGCCTGGGAGCAGAGGGGAGGGGACCCCCTTCCAGAGGGCTAAGGATGGGGTCCCATGCCCTAGTTGAGTGCCCTCCCCTGCCACTGGACCAGAACAGAAAAGTTGGGGCTGTCCCGTCTTGCATGGAAAGGACCCCCAGCCCGGCTGGCTGTCTCCTCAGAGGACTGAGTCCCTCGCTCCCCTCAGCTTCTGATGAGCTCGGGTGCATTCAGGGCCGTATGGCTGTAGACTACCCTGGGCTTCCGGGGACAGGAACAGGGCTGTCCTCAGAGACCAGCGCTGCAGGTCCCGCCCCTGCAGTGTGGGGCAGAGGCCGGCCCCTCCCAGCCAAGCCCAGACACACCTGCCTTAAGAGGCCCTCACCTGTCCAGCCAGTGCCCCTGCGAGAGCCGGGTTGTTAGGCGCAGTCTGGGTTTACTCTGCGTGTTCCTGCTTCTGAGTATTTTTACAACCGTGAATAAAGTCTCACCAGTTTTTACAGACAAGACGGAAGGAGCATGTCGGGGGCAGGAGCCGTGAGTCCTGAACAGGAAAGGTCCCGATGCTCCGTGGCTCCCGAGTGGACAGGCTGTGTCCCAGGGACCCCAGGGGCTGGAGCAATAGCACAGCGGGGAGGACGTTTGCCTTGCATGCAGCCAACCCAGGTTCGATTCCCAGCATCCCACATGGTCCCCTGAGTACCGCCAGAAGTAATTCCTGAGTGCAGAGCCAGGAGTAACCCCTGTGCATCGCCGGGTATGACCAAAATAAAAAGCAAACCAAAACAATAAAAAAATTAATCAGGGGACTCCAAACTTACTTAGCCTACTGCCCCCTGTTTTGTTTTGTTTTGTTTATTTTTTTGGGGGGGGAGCACACCCGGTGATCCTCAGAGCTTACTTCTGGCTCCACATCCACACTCAGGAATCACTTCTGGTGGTGCTCAGAGGACCTTGTGAGGTGACAGGGACCAAACCTGTTTGGCCACATACAAGGCAGGCGCCCTGACCACTGCACCATCTCTCTGGCCCAATTTGCCTTTATTCAAATGAACAAGTGTCCCACACTTGAATGAAACAGTACCGTAGACAGTACAGGTCAGGGAAGGCTCTCTGGAGGAAGAATTTGAAAGAGGAAAAGTGGGGTGTGGGGCGGCCGGGGGCATGTCAGCCAGGCCTGGGGACAGGATGCTAGCCTGCCCCAGAGGAAAGACACAGGACTCTTATTTCAATCTGTATTCCTGTGTCTTCTGTAGCAGAGATCGGAGGTTTCGCCCCCCACCTCCACCCCTAAGAGCTCAGTGCTTTGGACTTCAGCATTCCTGGTCCCATCTCTAAAATGAGGGTGTCACAGAATTTAGGCTGTGTGAGTCATCCTCCTGCTTCCATGCTTTCCCAAGGAAGGGCGGGGTTATTCCGAGCTGTGTGCAAAATTGCAGGCAGTTGGTAAACTCAGCAGATCCACGCATCAGTGATCCAGTGTAGGAAGCGTTGCCCATCTACGTTTCTGCCACTAGAGGGAGCAGGAATGAGGAAAGCCAATCCTCCCTGGGACTGGCATTCCACCCGCAGTTCTGCGCTTGGCCAGCAGGGGGAAGCCGCCTCCCCCCTCCGTCCCCTTATCCTCACAGTCTTGCAAGGGTGAGGGAGGCACTCATTTCTCTCATTCCTCTTTCAGGGGTCTCCCGGAGGACCCAGAAGTTTGGGACATTCCCTGGAAACTACGTAGCCCCAGTCTGAGCCGTCTCCGTGGCAGCCCAGAGCCCAGCCAGGATGGGGTGGGGGAGGAGCAGCACTTCTGGGAGGGCGCGAGCCCCCCTCCGGCCCCTCCCTCCCCAGGACCGAGCTGCTGGCATCTACAAACAACCCCAGCGACGTTGCCCGAGCCCCCGGGACCGATTCTCACCCACAGCTCACAAGCATTCCTCTGACAGTCCTTTTATTTCCTCCCCTCCCCGGCGCCCCAAATACAGAGGTCTGCTTTGAAGTGGAGACAGTTTCCAGGCCTTATTGAGACCAGACCCCCGCGTCCCCAGCCCACCCTGCTCTGGCGTTTCCTCTAACAGGGACCGGCTCCCAGCTTCACCCCCATGGGGTTCCTCTAACGAGAACCAGCTTCCTAACCTCACAGACCAAAGGCCGCCTGTGCCTGAGGGGTCCCCCCCTTCTCTCCAGTTCACCTCTGCCTCCTTGCCTGCCTGTTTCCGGCTGGCCTGGGGGTGCAGCGGGGGGTTGGAGGTAGACTCGATGCCTTCTCAGCCTGGAGGCAGAGCCCTGCTTCCTCGAGGCTGCCCGCCTGGGCCTGCACCCTGGGAATGCCCGGGGAAGGGGCCGCCTGGAGGACTGACCTCTCCAGAGGTTTGCAGGTGCCACCGCCCACCTCCCCAGCTTTTCCCAGGCCCCGGAGCAACTCTGGAAGGGATTGTGAAATAAATTTGGACACCAGGAACCTTGCCTTGCAGTGCTTTCCGTTGGGGTGGGAGAGGGCTGCCTCCCAGCAGGCTGTGCTGGAAATCAGATGGAGTGTGTGTGGCTGGTGTGTGCGTGGGGCTGGTGTGTGTGGCTGGTGTGGATGTGACTGGCATGTGCATGGGGATGGCTGTGTGGGTGTGACAGGACGTGTGTGTGTCGCTGGTGTGCATGTGGCTGGTGTGTGTGTGTGGCTGGCTGTATGTGTGTGGTGTACATGGGGCTGGTGTGTGTAGCTGGTGTGTGGGGGGACTGGTGTGTGGCTGGTGTGCGTGTGGCTGCTGTGTGCGTGGCAGGCTATATGTGTGTGGCTGGCGTGTGTGGCGTGTGTGTGTGGCTGGTGTGCGTGTGGCATGTGTGTGTGGCGTGTGTATGTGGCTGGTGTGTGTGTGTGGCAGGCTATATGTGTGTGTGTGGCCAGTGTGTGTGGTGTGTGCGTGGGGCTGGCGTGTGGAGGCCAGAGCACCACTGCCTTGGCTGCAGTCTGAGCCTGAGAAGCCCCGCAGGATGACTGTCTGGCCAGCAGTACGAGAGGAGGGGACGTGCGACCCGGGGCCAGGCTGAGTGCGAGGACAGGCGGGGGGGAGGGGGGGCGCTGGCTGCAGCCCTGCCACAGGGCGGTGCTGGAGGGACTGTGATTGCTGGGCTGGCGGCGTTTCTGGCTGCTCTGTCCCGAATATTTTCCTTCCTCGGTGCCACACAGAGTCCTTGTGCTTGTTTACTTTCGGCTCCGAGCTCGGGTTTTCAGCGATGGAGTGGGGGAGGCTGGGAGTGGTAGGGCACCGCGAGCCAAAGAGACTCCTCACCCGGGCCACAGGGTGCTGGGCTTGGTGGTTCTCGTAGGACCAGTGAGCCAGTCTGGGCATGACTGCTCCTTCCCTGGTATGGCAGGCAACGGGGACTCCACACGTGCGCCTACGGAAGCCTCGCAGCAGGCAGGCTGGCATCCTCGCGCAGGAGAGACCGAGCCGAGAATAGGATGCGTTACAGCTGGCATCCAGGCTGAAGGGACGGTACGATGGGTAGGGGGCTGGCCTCTGAGTCAATCCCCGGAGACACACAGGGTGCCTCGAGCCCCACCCAGAGTGACCCCTGAGCACAGAGCCAGGAGTAAGCCCTGACCACTGCCAGGTGGGCCCCTACTACCTGGTAAAAAAGCTGAGATTGGGCCCAATGGCTTGCTACCTCTTGGCATGAAGCCCCAGCCGTTCCTGCCCAGAGCCACTGAGGAAGGTCAGGCACCATGAGGCCCGCACAGCCCAGACTCCTCACGTCCTCCCTGGGGCTCTGTCCCCGGGCCTGCCATAGGGGGTTGGTGGTTCCCGCAGGGTGAGGCCGCCTCTTGCCTTCAGGATGGAGGTGCAGGGCCGTGAGAGCGAGGCTGTCCCTGGCAGGTTCCTCGTGCCTGGGCATGGCCTGGGCCCTGGTGGCGGTTCAACAGCAGAAAGAAGAGGACCTTGTTCCTGCCGCTGACCTGTCCAGCTTAGTCCTCAGCGTGGCAGGACCCAGCCCAGTAGGAGTGGCCACTTCCCAGATCCTGCTGCTGACCTGTCCAGCTCAGTCCCCAGCGCAGTCAGAGTTGTCAGGACCTAGCCCAGTGGGAGTGGCCACTTCCCAGTAGCCACTGACCCGCTCCTGCTCCCCATCCCAGCAGGATGCCAAGACCCCTGGTCCCCGGCGGCCTCCTCAGTGCTCAGTGCCCAGCAAGCCCACCCACTCCCCTGCGCTCAGGGGCCCCTCCTGAGCCTTGACCTAGTGTGAAGGGGGGGGTGAAGGCAGAATTGAGGGGGGAGCAGAGGTGCTCAGGGGTGCTCCAGGGTCAGAGGACCAGGAGGGCCTCAGGATCGCAGGCTTTGGCGTGTCAGAGAGGGCAGGGGAGTGGCGGGCCCGGCCCGGCCTCCCTCTGTCTCCTTTCCTCCGTTCCCCCACCCTGGGAATCAGCAGCGTGCCGTGAGATATGCGGGTACACACCCCAGCTGCGCCCGCACACGCACATCTTCCTGACAAGGGAGCAACGGCAGATGCACGGAGCAGCCCCACCACAGAGGAGGGGCCGTGAAGGGGCAGATTCTGTTAGCAAACATTCCCCGGGACACTGTCCCGTGTGCCGGGACCTGGGTGGGGGGGCTGGGGCGCCAACCCAGCGGGCCTGCCCTGGTCGGGTGGGCGTTGGAGACACCGGTCCACTTTGGAGGACATCGGGAAACTGAGGAACTCTGCAGAGCTCATAGGAGGCAGGGCGACCACCTGGGGCTGAGCCCGGTTCCGGGACCAAAGTGGGGGTGGGGGGAGAAGCTCCCAGGCAGGGAGGTGGCACAGGTGTGGCCTCGGCAGGTGGGTAGTGGCTGAGTTGGGAAGGCAGCGGGCGCCCCGCCTGAGGAGCTGAGAGCCGAGAGCCGAGCCCGAGGCCGGGAAGGAATGACTCACACCTGGGGCGGCCAGGGGACAGCGCTGCTCACAGGTGTGCAGCCTGGAAGCCTCTATCTGCCTCAGCAGCGCCAAGGCCCGGGTGCGTCCTGAGCTCCTGGATGCCAGGTGAGGCCTGGGACCCGCCCCCCCATCCCCGGGGGTGCTCTCAGCCGTCCTCTCCTGATCCCCAGAGGCCGGGGAAGGCAGAGAGCGGAGGACATGGTGGGAGGGGGGGGGGGGGAAGGGGGAAACGGTGGATGTTGGGACTGGGAGGGGCCCAGGTGAGGGAGAGCAGAGTGGGGGGTCAGGGCAGTCAGGAGGGGGGCAAGGTGTCCTGTCTAGAAGGGTGAAGAGCCTGGGCGTTGCTCCTTAGCCTGGACCTGGCAGAAATCCACACAGGGGATGGCTGCGGGAGCACTGGGTAGGCTGCCACCACCACCTCCAGGCAGCCTGTCGGGCTTGGCCTTCAGGAGGAGGACCAAGTCGGCAGAGGGCAGCCTGTGGCCGGGGATTTGCGGGCGCCTAGCACGCGACCCCAAGGAGGCAGGAGGACCGCGAACATCCACGGAGCCTGCCCTTCCTGGGAGCTGAGCGGGCGACAGTACCGGGGTGCTCGGAGTCCTTCCCGGCACGCGGTGAGGGCAGGGGGGGCGGAGGAGGTCGGACCCCCGGGGGCGTCCGGGCGCGTTCCCCCCGGGGGGCGCGCGGGCCAGGTGGCCGCGCCGGGGCAGGGCTGCGCGGAGGAGGCGGCTTCCCGGGCCGCGGCGGCGGCGGGGGCGGCCCCGGGATCACATGGGCGGAGGCAGGTCCCGGAGCCCCGGGCGGGCTCTCCCCAGAGTCGGGCAGACGGCGGCGGGAGCGGCGGCGCATCTCGCCCGCGCGCCTTCCCGGCCCCTCGGTGCGCGGCGCGGGCCCGGGACAGGTGAGCGGCCCACCTGCACGGCGGCGCGCCGGGGCGCGCGGTCCTTGGCTGCGGCCGCGCCCCGCGCCCGTCGCGGCGCTCGCAACACCCCGGGTCTTCGGCACTTTGCCCTCGAGCGGGAAGGCGCAGGAACTGGGCGAGCCGGGCCGACGGGCCGACCGGCCGACGTGCCGGGCACCTCCCGCGGCCGCCGCGCGGAGTCCACTCTCGGCTCAAAGGTCTCCACGCGCGCGGGGGTGGGGAGACGCGCGCTGCGCCCGGGCAAGGAGGGGGCGCCGAGTGGGGGCGCGCCCCCCTCCAGGCCGGCCGTGACGCGGGGCGCCTCTTGGACGGCTTCAGGGGCTGCCTCGGGGGAGGGTGCTGGACAGGGTGGTGGCCTGGCACCGTGGCTTCCTGCCGGGCTTGGCCCCTGCTCCAGATCTAGAGGCGCAGGAAGTCCCGCCGGCCCGGGGGCTGCAGGCGCTCCGCCTTGCCCAGTGCAGGGGCTCAGGGCTGCAGGGCCCCAGCTGCGGCAGTAGGCAGGTCCGTCTGGCCAGCGCCCGTGGATGCCCAGCCGGGCAGAGCAGCCCTCCTTTCGCCAGCGTCCTGAGAGCGCAGCAGTGCCCAGAGAGGGAAACGCCAGTCTTGCCTCTGTGGACCCCAAGACAGGGCCAGGGGTGGGGGACAGGCAGCTCGGTTGCTCACTTACTCCCCCACCCCCAACAACCGGTCTCTACCGTCCTCGGTCGCCCTTTTTTGGCTGTCACTGGGGCTCCCAGGGCCCTGCCCTCTCGGGGTGGGGAGGAAGTACCGTGTGTGCTGTGGGTTTCGGGGACAGGAAGCAGAACGAGTGGGACTTAGCCCTGATGGTGGAGGAGGGGGAGGAGACACTCAGAGTTTCCACCCTGGTGAGCCCTCTCTCCGGTGAGTGGGTCCCTGCACCCCAGCAGCTGCCCCCAGGAGCCCCTTGGCTTAAGACGTCAAGGGGGTGCTCGTAATCACAGCTGTCCAGGGGGTGTGTGGGGAAGTGAAACTGGGGGTGAGAGAAGGGCTCAGTTACTTCCTCCACACCCCCGTCCGACCCCCTCAGATTCTGCTCCATCCCTCTCACTCTTCTTTTTTACCTTCTGCCTCTCCCCTGCCACCTCTCAGCCTCCCTGGGGACCCAGGGGACAGGCGTTGCCTCTCAGCTATGGCTCGGACAGTGGACGTGGTTGGCCCGGCGCCCTGGGGCTTCCGGATCTCGGGGGGCAGAGATTTCCACACCCCCATCATGGTGACCAAGGTAAGGGCCGCTGCCAGGAGGCCGATGGGACCCCAGACTGGGGGGCCCCTCTTGGGGGTGGGTGGCCGAGAACCAGGCGTCCTGGGGGGCCTTTGGGAGCAGGGCCTCTCCTTCCTCCTCTGTCACAGCCCACACGGGTGGGCAACCGTTTGGGTGGTTTCTAGAACGTGAGCCTTGACCCAGACGGGAGCCAGGCCAGCTCGCAGAGCTCCCGGCTGAGATCGCTATCCAGAAGTATTTCAGAGCTCAGCTCCTGAATTCTGTCATTACACGTTCTCGGGGAGGCCCCTGCGAGAATGTGTATGTGTATGTGTTTGTGTGTGTGTGTGGGGGGCGGTTTGGCTTTGGGAGGGGATTGGCTGATTGGCTGCACCGATACTGTATGGGGCAGGGGTGGGGGTTGGAGGGCGTGCGGGCGGGGGGGGGGGGTGTTACAAGGGACACAGAGTCAGCCTGGTGCAAACCTGCTCTGTCTTCCCTGAACCAGGGGTGCCTCCTCACCCCCTGTCGCGTTGCCCTTCTGGTGTGTCGCCTTGTCTGGGTCACACCGCTTCAGCCCTCCTGCTCCTTGTCCCCTGCAGGTGACCGAGCGGGGGAAAGCTGAGGCCGCTGACCTCCGGCCTGGGGACATCATTGTGTCCATTAACGGGAAGAGCACGGAGGGCATGCTGCAGGCTGAGGCTCAGAGCAGGATCCGCCAGAGCCCCTCGCCCTTGCGGCTGCAGCTGGACCGGTGAGCCACGCCTGCCTGCTTCTCCCCAGCCAGGCCACCCACCCGGTGGCCGCTGCCCTCAAGTGCCAGCTTGGCCTTTGCCAGCTTTTCAACCCAGCTAGGCCTGCGGCAGGTGGGCAGAGGGATGTCCCTGTTCCCTAAGCCCAGCTGGGCGTGCAGCTGCAGGTCGGCTGGGCTGGCATCGGCCACCTGGATGCCCGGGTTTGACTGGTTTCCGTGTGTGTGTGTGTGTGTGTGTGTGTGTGTGGGGCACAGGGCGTGGGCATGAAGTGAGCTGGAGAGGAGAGGTGTGCCCTCGGCTGCGCTCTTGTATGACCCTTGACTCCAGGGGAGGGGTGGGTTGTGGGGGGCTCACTCGCCAGAGACCCCCCCTTTCCTCTCCTTTACCCATACAGGGTTTTCATCCTGGATGCCAGGGTCAGTGGGGGGGGGGGTAGGGGGAGTGGGTACCCAGGGTGAGGTCCCTCGTGAGTCACAGGGCAGGAATCCTGGGACAGTCCTGCAGCCAGGAGCAACCTCAGAGCTGGTCTCACACCCTTGCCAGGCCCCTGCTGCAGCTGGCAGTGCCCTGACACCAGGCTCCCTTGTGACCCTGGCTCCATGCCCGCCTCACCCCTCTGTCCCCTGGTGCTGCCCCATGAGGTTGGCTCCCATGACCCTCTGGCAGCCCTGGGGCTCTTCAGGGGCTCCTACGTGCCACTTGGGCCCTGAGTGTTTGCAGGAGGGGCCCGAGGAGGAGGACAGGGTCGGGACCTCTCGGCATCTGGGAGTAGAACTCGACGTCCACGAGAGGCTGCAGCTGTGACTCTGTTCCTGCCTCCCAGTCCCTCCTGGCAGGACCAGCTGGCGGGGGCGGGGCGGGGAGGGGGGGTTGCGCCCGCCTCTCCTCCGTCCAGGCCCCTCCTGTCATTCTCGCCACCCCCAGCCCAGGGGCAGGAAGCAGTGGACTGGGCTGGAGCCAGGGCCCAGCTCTCCTCCCTCTGACCTCGCATCCCTCCCTCGGGGCTGACCTGCTGTGTGGCAGCCAAGGTTCCTGCTGATTTCCAGAAATTACCAGACAACCAGGAGTAGTGCCACGGGATCCAGACATGGCATCTCAGTGCCAGCCTCTGTCGGTTCACAGCCTCTGAGAAAGGGCTTGGCAGGGGGCCCGGGGGAGCAGCGTGGGGAAGACCCTCTTCTTGGTTACCTGGGGATTGAGGGGGCAGCTGGGCCAGCATGCTGGCCAGTCCTGATCTTTACTGCTGGACCCTTCCGGGGGAGAAGCCTGAGGAAGGCAGAGCCCCCTGAAGGCCTGCAGGGAGCCGCCCGGGGGCCCAGGCTGGTTTACAGGAGCGTGGGCAGCTGGCCCGGCCATTGTCTGGGGCTCCGGGCAGCTTCCTCTCCACTCTGCGCTGCAGTTTTTGCTGGGGTGAAAGATAAAGGATTGTGGATGTGAAATCAGCCATCCTCCCTGCACGGGCTACAAACAGATGCCGGCTGAGAGCAATGCCGGGAGCTTTTTAAACACGCACTGCAGCACTGTCCTCCCATTGTTCATCAATTTGCTCGAGCGGGCAACAGTAGCGTCTCCATTGTGAGACTTGTCGTGACTGTGTTTGGCATATCGAATATGCCATAGGGAGCTTGCCAGGCTCTGCTGTGCGGGCGGGATACTCTTGGTAGCTTACCGGGCTCTCTGAGAGGGGCGAGGAATCGAACCTGGGTCGGCCACGCGTAAGACAAATGCCCTACCCGCTGTGCTATCACACCAACCCTTTTTTTAAACACAAAAAAACATATATATTTTTAAACATGAAAAGGACAATTGCCCTCTCTGCTGAAACGAAGCCTTTCTGCACTGGGGTGGTTGTTTTTCTTTCCGAAGCGGTGAGCGCATGTGGTGGAGAGAGCTTGGTTTTGAGTTGGGTGAAGCTGGCAGGCACCCGTGACCCTCCCCTTCCCGTGGCCTGCCCCCCCAGATCCCAAGCCGTCTCTCCGGGGTGCACCAACGGGGATGGCTTTGTGGAGGCGCGCGCCACCCGCTTCCAGGTAGGTCGTCGTGTTCCGTGCCCTGGGAGGGTCCCTCGGGGCAGGGTGCTGGGCGTGGCAGTTCTGTTCCTCTGGCCCCTTTCCGCAGGGCTCTGCAAGGACCCAGGCCAGCAGCCAGTCCTCCCTGCGCTCCTCCTGCTCCAGCCCCGCCTCCCTCAGCCCCCGCACTGGAAGCCCCTTCTCCACCCCCAGCAGCCCGCAGCCAACGGCTGGAGAGGCAGTGATCGGGCGCAGGTGAGCAGTGGCGGGTACTCAATCACCAGCTCTGGGCCTGGCCTCTGGAGTCTCAGTCATCACACAGGGGATGACGACCTGAGTTTCCCTTTAGGTGCCCCATCACGGCCCCTTCCCCTCCTCACACCCACCATCTGCTCCCCCCTTTGCAGCTTCCAAAGCCTGGCGTACACCGCAGGGCCCCCAGCCGCTGAGCATGCCTCCTATGAGGGCCGCCCCAGGAGTCGCCAGGTAAGGCTCCCCGTGGGCAGGAGAGGAGACTCCCAGCTTCTGGGCCGGGTGCCGGATGGTGGTGCCCGAGGGGCGCCTCGTTCCTAGTGCGCCCCCCTCCCTGCCTTCCCCCCACGCCGCCCCTCCCCGCTGGCCGCCCCCCTCCCGAGTGTTTCTCTTGGGCCCGGCTGACATAGTTTGCTGCTGTTGTTGGGATGATTCCCTCTGGCTCTTGCGGCATCCCCTGAACACATTCCTCCCCTCCCCAGCCCCGTGCCGCCCCCAGATCCAGCACCCCCTCCGGGCCCCCCTCCTTCCTCCGTGACTCAGTGCAGAGCCAGCCCTGATGCTGCACTGAGGCCTCCGCTCACGCTGGTCCTCATCTCCGGCCCACCCCCCCTCCACCCCTTCCGACCCCGTGGCGGTCACTAGTCACTAGCAGGCTGTCTGCGGGCCTCGTCTCTCCGCTGAGAGCAGGGGTGGGATGAGCGGGCCAGGCCACCAACAGCCCCGAGCCACAGCTGCTGGGGGGCAGTGTTTGGGGGTGGGGCATGGGCAGGCTTTGGGGTGAGGGGGATGCATCCCAGCTGCTGAAGTCTTACCTCAGGGTGACTGTGCATTCCAGAAAAGCAGGGGGGAGGGTGCTGGACACGGGGGGGGGGGGGGGGGCTCTGGAGAAGGAAGAAGCAGGACTCCCTGGGGACCCACTGGGGGCCCCTCCGCTGGCCGGCCCGGCTCTGGGGGCAGAGATGGATTCGACGAGTTCCCAGCCTTTTTAAGAATTTAAATTGTATTTGTGGAGATAAGACAAACATGCAAAAACAATTTTGGAACAATTAAGTGCTAAGCAGTGTGGTCTTGATTATGAGAGCTGAAGCATGCTGGGAGGGAGCGAGTGTGGGCTCGGGGGGCCTGCCGAGGTTTCGGTAGGAATTCTGCTGGACATTGGAGGCTGGCTCAGATTTGGAGCTGAGAACAAGGAGCCTGGTGCTGGCCTAGCAAAGGCCCCGCCAGCCCTGGTGAGCTTCAGCCTGGAGTGTGTGTGGGGGGTGGGGGTGAAGGGGCGGGGAGCTCCGTGAGAGGAGCAGGCCACGACCAGCCTAGGGCCCTGCTGACGGGGTGGGGGTGGGGGCTGCCCTCTGCTCTCTTTCCCTATCATGTCCCCACTCAGGCAGGGGGAGAAGAGGTGGCTCAGGGAACAGAACGTGAGTCCTCATGCCCAACCTTGGCTGCAGACTGGACTTCCTGGGGGGGGGAGGAGGGGGTGTGGGTACCAGTCTGTGTTCTAAGGAACCATCTATATCTGACGCCCTGAGAGGTTTGAGGACCCCACTCCCCACTCATGCAAGGCAGCCCCTTCTTTTCTGTGGACCTGGTTACAGCTGCCCTCCCACCACCCACCCCCCCTGCCTGGGTCCTGGAGGCCCCTCCCTCCACTGCAAGCCTGTCCTTGTGGCTGAGCCTCTGACAATATTTATCCAGCAGTGGCCTGGTGTCCGGCACCTTCCAGGCTTGGGGAGGTGAAAAAGAAGAGACATTTCTAATGCAAGGAGGCCCACGGCCTGGTCTCCACAGGTGCTGTGGTCACGTGGCATGTTCTGGTCTCCACAGGTGCTGTGGTCTTAGGCGCTGTGTGGTCATATGGTGTGTCTTAGCCTCTGTGTGCACTATGGTCATGTGGTGTATCCTGGTCTCCACATGTGCTGTAGTCATGTGGCATGTCCTAGTGCCCATGTGTGCTGCGGTCACATGGAATGTCCTGGTGTCCATGTGTGCTGTGGTCACGTGGAATGTCCTGGTCTCCACACGTGCACTGTGGTCACGTGGCACTGTTATCACATGGAGTGTCTTAACCTCTGTGTGTGCTGTGGTCATGTGGTGAGTCCTGGTCTCCACATGTGCTGTAGTCACATGGTATGTCCTGGTCTCCACGTGTGCTGTGGTCATATGGCATGTCCTGTTCTCCACAAGGATTTCAGTCATATGGTGCAGTCATCAGGGGTCCCACAGCTCCTTCCTGGGTGTCACTGGGCGTTTCCATATGTCATTCCTATCCCAGTGCCCTTTGGCACTGTCAGGGTGGCTGGGGGCGGTGCCAGGTGGCAGTGTCACTGGGATGACACTTGGGGATATACAGCCTCCAGGCCTGCGTGCTAAGTGCTGCAGCATTGAGGTGCATGCATGGTCTTACTTCTGTACACCAGCAGCTCTGAGGAGTCCCACAGGAAAGAAATACATTGAATTTGATCAATTTCCTGAAAGTCTGACTGCAAAATTTTCACCTGGCATCTCCCCTCCCTGGCTCCACTCATTGAGTTGGTGTGTGGGGTACCAGCCTGTGTTCTAAAGAACCATCAGTATCTGAGGCCCTAGGAAATTGTAGTACCCCACCCCCCCAATGTGTACACAGACACACACACACACACACACACACAAGCATCATAGCATCACTGACTAATACATCACTGACTAATATCCCTGTGCTCCGAGAACACATTCTCAGAGGTTTTGGGCACCGCTGAGCCCTTGTCAAGCAGTTTTTCTGGATTTGGTACTACCAGGTCCCTCCTGGATCTGGTTGGGGGGAGCACCTCTCAGAGTGTAGAATGGGCATCTGCTCTCCGGGGGGTGGGAGCAGGGGTGAGTGTGTAGGAGTCTTCTCCAAACCTCACTTGGCCGTGGCCTTCTAGGTCCAGGGGGAGCTGAACCAGGGCACAGCCAGCCCTGGTGGGACCAGGTAGAAAGTGGATGCTGGTCCCTCGGCATGGGCGACTGACAGTAATGCCTCTCAGCCACTTGCTCCAGGACATGACTTGCAGAAGGAGCTTCCCCGTGGAGCTTCCCATGCGAGGCACTGGCAGGCCGATCCTGGATGCCACCTGGGCCGTAACTCCTTCCCAGGAGACCTGCTCATGGGCTCAGCCGCCTGCTGGGCCCAGGCCTGTGCTCCTGCCTGCCTGTGCCCCTTCCAGACAGGGGACCTCTGTGACCAGGCTGGTGGACGAGGGTTCCGGTCTTCTCAAACCTGCCGAGTTTCTGCTTTTCCTACAGAAATTAATCCCTGCCTTTTTGTTTTCATTTTGCCCGTCATTGGTGGATACCCTGACTGCACTTGGAGAGAGTTTGGTGTTCCAGGAGCCGAGTGATAGTATATTGGGTGGGGCATTTGCCTGGCACATAGCCGGCCTGGGTTTGATCCCCAGCACCGCATATGGTCCCTGAGCACTGCCACGAGTAGTTTTTAAGCACAGAACCAGGAGTAGGCCCTGAGCATCACCAGATTTGGTCCAACCCCCGTTTTTATTTGTTTGTTTTTAAATGTGGTATTACAGGAATCTCTGTTCTCAGCTTGCTGGAGCATCTCTGAGGTGCCCCATTCCCTTGGCTGCCTCAGGTTTCGGACCAAGGGTAGGGGCTGAAGGTGAGGACCAGAGATCTGACCAGCAATAAAGTTAAAGGACAAGATTTTTTTTTTTCTTGGCAGTGGGAGGGGAAGACCTGCTGGTGCTCAGGGTTTACTCCTGGCTCTGTGCTCAGGGCTCAATCCTGGTGGCTCAGGGGGACCAAATGGGATGCCAGGGACAAAGCTACATCACCTGCATGTAAGGCAAACCCCCTGCCCACTGTGCTATACTGTCACTCTGACCCTTGAAGGCGAGATTTCCACAGTCAGGCCAGAACGTGAGACAGAGACTTGCCCCTTGGAGGTGGTGCTGGGAACAGGGCTGGGGGCAGGATGGATCTCCCTGGTGTGAGGATTCTGGCACTCTGAGAACATAGTCCAGTGGGTAGTAGGGGAGCTCATGCTCCAGCTGTCCCTGGGCCCGTCCTTCTCCTTCCCCCTCTGATGGGGCCAGCTCATGCCTCTCTGCGGCCTCTGTTGGAGCCAGGGCGCAGGGTCAGACTTGTGGCATGATCTCAGAAGCAGTGCTCCCTTCATTCTTTCCTTGCCTATGGGTGGGTGGGGGGAAGCCCTCACACCTCCACCTGGAGGTGATGAAGGCCGGGAGCCCCCTGCTGTCAGACTTGGGAAGGAAATCTGGCGCTTGCAGCCAGAGAGGGCTCAGCCTTGAGGCTCTCCTCACCCTTCCCCTTCTCTCCCCACAGGCCGGCCTGGGCCGCGCTGGAGACTCAGCTGTGCTGGTGCTGCCAAGCCCGTGTCCATCCCCGGTGCCCAGCTCCACCAATCCCAGGCTCAGGTACCAGGTGCTGGGAGGGCCGGGAGAGGCTGGATTCCGGGGCAGGGAGCGCCAGACCGCCTCCCTAGGGCCCAAACTAGGTGTCCCTGCTTGTCCCCCTGCCCCCGTCCCCCGCGCCTGCGCCTGACGGTGGCTGCCTCCCACCCGCAGTGTGGACCTCCTGGATGAGGACTCTGAAGTCTACAAGATGCTGCAGGAGAACCGAGAGGGCCGGGCGCCCCCCCGGCAGTCCAGCTCCTTCCGGCTCTTGCAGGAAGCTCTCGAGGCCGAGGAGAGAGGTGAGACCGCGGCAGGCACAGGCAGGAAGGGGTCCAGGGACCCACCAGGACACCTGCGGGGACCTCAAGGGCCTGTGTCTAAACTGGCATTTTTTTGTTTGTTTGTTTGTTTGGGTCACACCCGGCAATGCACCGGGGTTACATCTGGCTTTGTACTCAGGAATTACTTCTGGCAGTGCTCGGGGGACCATATGGGATGCTGGGAATCGAACTCAGGTCGGCTGTGTGCAAGGCAAATGCCCTACCCGCTGTGCTATCGCTTCAGCCCCAAACTGGCATTTCTTAAATGCTCGTCTTGGAAGCAGGCCCGGTGCCAAAGGATATTAGGGTCTGGGGGGCCAGAGATATAGCACAGTGGGCATGGCGCTGGCCTCGCATGCGGCTGACCTGGGTTGAATCCCCGGCACCCTATGTGGTTCCCCAGGCCCTCCCAGAAGTGATCCCTGAGCACCAGCGGGTGTGGCCTGGAAACCAACGTAGTTGGTCAGAAGGAGAGGGCTAGATGCAGAATGATCTCACTCAGATACTCAGTGAGGTGGCAGCATAGGCCAAAGGCAACATAACGGGGTGGCTGAGTTGGTGAGGCAGGAGAGTGGCAAGGGTATTCGGGTCCGTGGAGTATGAAGGTGGGTGCGCTGGTGATGGGTGATGGGTGTGGTATTGGAACTAGGTGCATGAGAGACTGCTATTAACAGCATTGCACACCACAGAATCTCAATCAAAAAACTTAAGACACGCCTGGAGACACGGGGACTTCAGATCACCACCCTCTGTCTGGTGTGGGGAGGTGAAACCCAGTGGCCGGTGTGACCCAACCCTACGTGACCCCCAGAACCCCACCTGGCTGAACAACCTCCGAAGCCCCAACCCCTCTCAGCGGCGAGGCCCCTGCCCCCGCCTGGCACAAACCACCCCACCCTCGCGCTCTGACTCTACTCAGCATCACAACCCGTTACCCTGACCCAGCCCTGTGCGACCCCTGACCCCACCCAGCGCAACCCTCCTCCCCAGTGCCCCAACCCAGCTCAGTCCGCCCTGCCGTCTGCTCACAGAAAAAGAAAAGAAAAAAATTTACAACAAAATTAAGAGAAAGAGACAGAGACAGAGATAGAGACAGAGAGACAGAGAGAGACAGAATCAGAGACTGACCAAGGTCTGGGGATGTGGGTACACTCAAAAGGTGTGGGCTAAGACCAGGAAAATGCCAAGGAACGGAAAAGGGTGGGTAGTGGAACCCACAGGGGCTGGGCTTTAAGGAGGGCTTCCTGTAGGAAGAGGGAGTTGGCATGGCCCTGAAAGAAAGATCAGAAGGTGGCAGGGAGTACTGTGGCATGTGGGGGCAGCAGGAGGCCAGCCTTCGGGGGGGTCAGTCCCAGCCACAGCCCCGAGTGAGCGCCAGTCTGAGGGGCACCTTTGCCTTTCCGCGGGGGCAGCTGCACTTGCTCGGCAGCACAAGAGATGCTGAATTGGGTGCTGGAGGCTCCATGTGGTCAGAGGGGCTGTTAGTGGCATGGACATGGTCCCAGGCAGTGGATGATGTGTGCAGGGGTGTTAGCGAGAGCAGGAGAGGCAGGAAAAGTGTTAAGGGATGGGGGCTGATGCTCCAGCCCTCAGGTGTCTGCGTCGGGAAGTGGTGGAGGGGAGGGGGGAGGACTTCGCCCTGGGGGTCTCTGTGTCTTTGAGCAGATGGGACCAGGCTGCCCACACTGGCCAGTGCCCAGCTTGGACACAGGGAAGAAAGACCCATTGGTCGGCTGCTATCTGCACTCAGCCACTAATGCACTTATGGGGGGTGGGCTGGCCCCACCGCCCTCTCCTCCACCGCCTCCCCCCACTCCCCCAGGTTTCCTGAAGTTCCTGGGAGCACAGCTTTCCCCCACTCCCCTCCCACCTAGAGCTGCAGCGGTGGGTGTATGGGGGCATAGACACTGCCGGGGCACTGCTGGGGGGGGGGGGGCGTCTGAGGTGTCTGTTTGTCCCCACTCCCCAGGTGGCGCCCCTGCCATCCTGCCCAGCTCACTGAGCTCAACATCCTCCCTGCCTGCCCCCCGGGCACTGGCCACCCCACCCAGGCTGCTCACGTGTGAGAAATGTGGTGCCGGCATCACGTGAGTTGGTGTCCCTGGGGGAGGGGCTGTGGGGGGTTTGGGGGATGCCAGGAGAGAGCCACCGCCGCCATTGTATGCTGGTGGGAACTTTCCTGCTTGTGTTGGCTTGTGTGGGGAGGTACCTGGCTCAGTGATGGAACCCAACCCCAGCCTCCTACACTCCTCGGGAACTACCTCCTGCCAGTGCTCTGGGCCTCTTACCCCAGGGCCAGGCGAAAGCGCAGACAGTTGTGCCGCGGGGAGCACTACACAGCTTTGCTAAGGGAGCACTCTCCAGGCAGGTCAGATTTCTTAGCGGTAGCACGATCATGCAGCCACATTCTTGGAAAAACTAAAAGCCTCTCCTGCCCCTTGCCCCTTGGCCCTGCCCCTCTACTCTGGATGTACAGATCAGAGGTGACACGCTCAGTCTCACCACAGACGTGAGACTGCCACTTCTCGGGACACCAGGAAGTGGAGTTGGGGGACTTTTGTTGCTGTTTTTGGGCTACTCCCGGCAGTGCTCAGGGGTTACTCGCAGCTCTGCACTCAGGATTTACTCCTGGTGGTGTAATTATTTCTGGGACCCTATGGGATGCCGGGATCCAACCTGCAAGGCAAATGTCCTACCCACCATACTAATGCTCGAACCCCTGCAGGGCATGTTCAAGGGCAGGGCCAGGACTGTGGATGTTCCCTGTCAGAGGCCCCTGGGCCCAGAGCCTGGGCTGCACTCAGGTTTCAGGGGCTCAGGATAGAAGCACTGCCAGTGGGTCCCCCCTCAACCGCCAGACTCGGCTCCAGAGGGCAGGTGGGGCGGGAGGTGTCTGAGGAGGTTCAGGGAGCTCCCTGAGCCAGACTCCTACTCACAGTGCTCTGCTCTGCCTACCCAGGACCCAGGCCGTGCGCATTCAGGAGGGCCGGTTCCGCCACCCCGGCTGCTACACCTGCACCGACTGCGGCCTGAACCTGAGGATGCGGGGCCACTTCTGGGTGGATGACGAGCTGTACTGCGAGAAGCACGCCCGCCAGCGCTACGTGGCACCAGCCCCCCGCAGCTCGCAGGCCTGAGCCCCGCACTGTGCCAGGGCAGGCTGGCGCGGGGGGGGCCAAGGGTCGTGACGGGGGTAGTGGGCGAGCAGCTCAGCAGTAAAAGGGCAACCAGGGCAACCAGGCCCACGGGAGGCTCCAGGCTGGAGACAAGGACCAAGAAACGGGCGTGGCCAGAGGCTGACAGTGTTGTGTCAAGTTTTCAACTTAGGAGCTCTTTGAGATCTCTATGTGGTAAATAAAGTGGACGCTTCAGTGCCCTCCTCTCTCTTTCCTCTCCCGGCCCTGTCCTATCTGAACTCCCGCCTGGGGTGCAGAGACCTTTCCTGACACCTCAGACCCGCCTTGGTCTCCCTCTGCAGGTGTCTGACCAGGTGACGCCTCCACTGAAGTCAGGCCCTGCCCGTTCCCTGCTACAGGGACACCCCCTTGGAGATAGTCTAGTGCCCAGAGGACTCTGGCAGGGGGAGGGGCAGCAGGGGGACCAGCAGGCTCCTGGCACCGGCATCACCAGGCCCCCTGGATACGCCGGCGCAGACTTTACCAGCTGCTGGTCTGGCAGTGTGGGCCCCTGCTCTGCTTGGTGGTGATATTGCCACCTTGAGGGGTCTCTGGGACACTGGGCCCAGAGTGCCCCATTTGTCACGGCCTGGCAGACCCTGCCTGGCTTTGTTGCTGGATGGTTTGAAGCCAACAAAGCTGAGCTTGTGGCAGGCACCCCTGTCCTGGGCTGTGGAGGAACGCAGGGGCTGTGGTCTCTTGGGCTCTGCCTTGGGCACAAGTTATTCACCACCCCCAGAGGACATTTTGGAAAGTTATAGGGGGCTTCAGGAACACCTTGGTCCCGGTCAACCAGAGGCCTGCCACCCTTATCATTACTTTCTTTTAAAATTTGTATTATATTTTGTGTTTTTGGCTACACTCAGTGATGCTCAGGGATTACTCCTGCTCTGTACTCAGGAATTATTCCTGGTGGGCTCGGGAGACCACATGGGATTCTGGGGATTGGACCCAGGTCAGCTGTGTGCAGGGCGTCCAAGTACAGCCCTATCCACTGTACTATCGCTCCCACCCCCATCCTTATTTTCACAGGAAGAACAAAGCTGATTCCGCAGATACAGTGCAGCAGCAGATTGGGTGGGAGACTGTTGTCCCCTCAGGCACCTGTGGGTGTCATCTATACCCTGATGTAGTTATCTCACTTTGCCTGGACTCCTTCCTGCCTTGATTTTCACAGAGAGGAGCATGAGGGGCCCGAGCAATAGTACAGCAGGTAGGAAGCTTGCCTTGAATGTGGCTGGGTTCGATCCCCGGCATCCCCTATAGCCCCCTGAGCACCGCCAGAAGTGATTCCAGAGTGGAGAGTCAGGAGAAACCCCTGACCACTGTTGGGTGTGGCCCCCAAACCAAAAGTGCAAGATATGGGCTGGAGAGATAGTACAGCAGGTAGGGCAATCATTTGCATGCAGCTGGAAGGGGTAATCCCTGAGCACCACCAGGGATGGGCCAAAAACCAAAAGGGGGAAAAACAAACAAACAAACAAGTTTTTCTGGGCTGGGCACTGACAGGCCTGGAGTCCTAGTCCCATTGGGCTAGCCTCCTTGGCGCCACCTAGTGTCTGGTGTGGCTCATGTCAGGAGGACGCTTTGAAAAGATCACACCTGTCTGGTTCAGTATAGGGCTACAGGATTCTGAGAGAAGACCAAGAGATGGAAACCTTGAGAAGTGTTTCTGAGGTTCTGGGGACACCGACCACTGGAATATGAACACTTGTTGTCCAAATCCCCCACTTGGTAACCGTGCTAGGCCGGCACTGTTGGAAATGGGGACACTCGGGAAACAGGAGGGAAGCACGGAGCTGGATGGGTTCCCCAAGTATAAGTGCAGCAGCATCTCCTCAGCAGGGGAGTCAGCTGTACTCCCAGAGGCCCAGGGCTTTCAGTTCCAGAACCCTCTACAACCGGCTTGTTGTTACCTGAGATTATTAGGCAAAGGTGTTGGCCAGCTGAGAAGGCTGGGTGTGGCCTTTGATCTTTAACTCCTGCCCTCAAGCCCACCCTGAAACAGGAGTGAGCACCCATCCCTTTTGACGTGGTCTTGGGTGGGGTGGGGGATAGGAGAGTGGATTACTACTGGCTTTGTCTACAATAATGTCCTTTTTTTTTTTATAACACGTGGGAAATGGCTTCAAAGATGACAGATTCGAGTTAGGAGTGGCCAGAAGTATGTCAACTGCCATCTTTGGGGCTGGAGAGATGGTAGAGCAGCAGATAGGCTGCTTGCCTTGCACGCAGCCAGCCCAGATTTGATCTCCAAGCCCACAAGGAGTGATCCCTGAATGCAGAGCTAGGAGTGAGCCCAGAGCATCACCAGGCATGGCCCAAAAACCAATTAATAAGAATGAGAAAGTCTTCCCAAGTTGCACGTGGCTTGGTCAGTCTGTGGCAGGAAAGTGCATAAGGCTTCTTCAGGGTTTTAGGGTTATTGCTCACGTTATTTGTGTTACTTTTGGTTTGGAGGGCCTCACCCCTCAGTTGTACACAGGGGCTACTTACTCCCAGCTCAGCACTCAGGGCTCATGCCTGGTGCTGCCCAGGGGACCTTGTCATTCCAGGAACTGTGCGTGGGTCTCCCATACAAAACCTGTCCTCAGCCTGCTGGGCTTGCTCCAGTCCTAACCTTAGGTTTGGAAGTAGCTCTCTGGGGCCGGAGACAGGTGGTCTCTGGCTTCGAAATAAAGCAAGCCAGGGCTGAGTGGACAGGTGGGAGTGCTAAATGGCAGGGAGAGGACCCAGGACAAGAAGCAGGTCCCGGGCACCCGAGTCTGGGGTGTCTGCCATGCCTGGGCATTCTTCCCTTCAGCCCCAGAGGCAGCCTCCCCGCTTGGGCAGGGGGAATTAACTGTGGTCTCTCTGCTCTCCAGCCCAGCAGATGTCCCTCGGTCTTTGGCTTTGCCTTCCTCCCAGAGGCCCCGGCCTGGCCCTGTGCTCACAGGAGCGCACCTATAGGAGCAGAGGAGACGGAGGCTTGGGCCAGAGGGGCGAGTGTGCTGGGGGTCAAGCAGTGATGGAGAGCCGTGCGGTCCCCAGGCATCTCGCCACTCGCTGAGGGAGCGGCAGAGGAAGGCCAGGTGGCCACAGGTGCTGAGGGAAGGCTACCCAGGGCAGGAGAGGCTCGGTGGGAGATGGGAAGGGGGTCTATGTTTCTCCCCAGGCAACTCTGTGGGGTGAGGGGAGTCTAGGCTGGGCGTGAGCCCACACAAAGCCTTGTGCTGAGACACTGCATTCCTGCTGGCCGGGCTTCCTGTTCCACAAGCATTCCTGCCCGAGTCGCCACGGAGACCGTTTGGAATCCGCCCCACATTCTCCAAATTCAGGCCGTGATCTGGTCAGGCGCAGGTTACCTTCATCGTCCTCCCCACCCTCACTCTGGGGAGGAAGCCTCCAGGGCCGGCTGCCTTCTTCTGCCCTCTTACCCACTGCAGGGTGGGGGGCTGGGGCGGGGTCGGGCTAGAGCCACACACCCTGTGGGACTGGCACCCGCAGCACCCGCCAGGCCAGCTCTCTGGGCTGAGGAGAGGTGCTGTTCGAGGACGGGGTCTGCAAGGGACCAGGCCCAGGACGCAGGCGAGCAGCGGAAAATCCAGGTGTGAAGGGACGTGCCCCCCTCCCACGCGCGCCGCATAGCTTAGAACCAGCGGCTCCCCCAGCCCTGCGCGGGGGTCTGAGAGCCGGTGGGCAGCTACGAGGCCGCCTGCTGTGTCCCCTCTCTCCCGGGGCTTCCTGCAACCAGCCCCTGCGCCCCGCCCCCTGGCCCTCAGGTGCAAGTCTGCACGTCCGCCAGCTTCCTTATCAGCCTGCGGGCCCTGGGCTTGCCGCGGGGGGTGGTCCAGAGCCCCTTCCCTGGGAGAAGGAGGACGTCTGCGGCTTCTTTTATTCCAGAGTTTCATCAGCAACGCTTTCTGGACGATGTCGCAACGAAATAACCTGGAAATATTTCAAAGACCAACAAAAACAAATGGGGGGGGTGGAGATTATTTCGCTAAGATTTACCAATGAAAACAATTTTATTGAATTGCCGTGCACCGCAAAGTTACTCATGGTTTGAGTTTCAGGCGTGCAACGTTCCAACAGCAGTCCCACCATGGGCGACCCTTCCCCCCACCCCCAGTGCCCCCAGTCTCCCTCCCGACCCCCCAGCCTGCCTCCTTGGCGGGCGATTTTCTCCAGAAGATCTGTCTCGAGGTACACAGCCTGCCTGCCTGCCTGCCTTTCAGGACGGGGAGCCCCAGGCGCTCAAACGAAAAGGCACGGAGAAGCGTGCGCTCTGCTGGGCGCACCCAGGCCGACCCCTGGCGCGCTGGTTCACTTTTCCCAGGACTCCAAAGACCCCATTGTCCTCGACCCCAACCACCCCGCTTTGGGGTGCCGGGTGAGAAGCGGGGTGCAGCCCCACCCAGCTCGCTAGCGTGTCCCCCCCGGGCGGGCGTCCCCTCGGCGGGGAGGCCGGTCCGCTTCCCCCGGCCGGCCGGCACGTGGGGCTGCGTTTCCTTCCGCGCGCGGCCCAGCCCCGCCGCCCCCCGCCCTCCCGCTCGCTCCGGGCGGCAGGAAGAGAGATGGGCGTGAGAATCGGGGGGCGGGGGTGCCCCGCGCCCTGAGCCACAACGGCGTCCACCCCACCCCCGGACCCGAGCGCGGCCCCCGCCCCGCCGCCGTACCTGGCGCCCCTCCCCCGCGGGGAGGGTCGGACGGCCGCGCCCTGCGGGGTCGCCGCGCTCCAGCTCGGCCGCCGGCCAGGATCGCGCCGGCCGTCGGGGCCAAGGAGCCGGGCCATGCTGGGCCGGCGACGCGTCTTCACCGTGGAGCCGCTCGGCGGCCGGGGTGAGTCGTCCTGGACGGACCGGACCGCGGCGCCCCCGCGGCCCCCACCCCCACCCCCACCCCGACGCCCTCAGAAGCCGGGTCGCCCGGCTCCCTGGAGACTCGCTTTGGACGTTGAGCCGGCCGGCCACCACCTTCGTCCCGTCCTGGTCGGGGTGCCCCTGACTTCCCCTCTGGGGCTTTCCCCGCCCGGTCCCCGCCCTCCCCCACCGCGGCCCCGGGCCCTTCCCGGCGCACTCGGGGCGCGCTCGGGGCGGACAGCGCTTCCCGGAGAGAATCGGGACAGTGGGTGGGGGTGGGGTGGGGCAGATGGCAGGAGGGCACCGGGGAATGGGCCACTGGTCGCTTCTCCTCCTGCCTCTCTTCCCATTATTTCTATTTTCCTCTCTCTCTTTTTATCCCCTTTCTTTTTTCTTGGGTTTTGGGCCACACCCAGTGATGCTCGGATATTACTCAAGGTGGTGCAGGGGGGACCGTGTGAGGTGCTGGCGATTAAACTGGGGTGAGCCTCGTGCAAGGCAGATGCCTACCCACTGACCTATCACTCCTGCCCCTACTTTTCTTTTTTTTAACTCCACCAAATTTTTATTGTTTCTCAGAAAAATCAAGGTCCCGAAGAGTTGTAGCAATTAGTTTGGTGGGGCCCACCTGAAGGCAGGGTTTAATATTAGTTTTGGAGTAAGCTGCATGGGGGGGTGGGGTGGTGGTGGGTGAACATCAGGGCCAATGGGCAAGCTGAGTCCGGGGCCATAGGAGTTCCCAGGAGGCGGGAGGTGTGGTGATGCAACAGTTCCCTCTGGGAGCAGCTTCTGGAGAGATTTCATCTTGCTTCCTGATGCCACCGAAGCACAATGGACCCTGCGCTGGGGGTTCACAAACTCCTCCTTGGGGGAGCAGTTGAAGTTCTGCTGGTCCCCTGGGATGGAGGTGTAGGTCCCGTCTCCCAGAGATGCAGGCCCCCAGGAAGAACCGTCAGCTCCTCCCAAAGAAGACATCCATAGTCCCCAAGGAGCCCAAGGCTTGCTGCTAGCTGTGCTGACCAAGTCACTGATGGGAAGCTTCCCCCCTTACCCCTCCCAGAGCAGGAGACAAGGCAGTGCCCCGGCCCAGTGTCCTCTCATCACCCCAGATGCTCCGCCTCTGGCCGCGCCAGCTACCAGGAATGTTGGGGTGCTGGGGCGCCTGCCAGCCTGATGCTGACTCTCCTCGCAGATGGGACTGGTGAGGAGCTGGCGCGCGGCTGCGTGGTGCCCGGAGTCACCAGCACCTACCGACGGATCTCAGACGCTGACCAGGGTGGCTTACCTGCGTCCGGGCCGGGGGACGAGGAACTGAGAGCCCCGGGGAGGCCGGTGCCCATTCTCAAACTGGCCTCGCGCGACTCGGGTGTGGAGATGGCCCTGGGGGATAGCCTCCTGGCCACCTCTGTGGGCCTTTACCAAGACTCTTTGGACTTTGAGCCCACAGGGGGCCCCGAGTCCCCTGCCCACCTGGGCCGGCTCCGAGCTAGCCAGAAGCTGGAGCAGGTGCTGGAACGGTCCCACCAGCTCACCGCTTCCCCTGCCAGCGCGTTACGGCGACACATCCGCTCCCCGGAGCCACCACGCAAGGCCGAGTGCGAAACAGGCCTTTTGGGAGCAGGGGCACCAAAGACCCTGGAGGTAGACATGGATCCTGAAGGCGGCCTGGCAGAAGCAGCGCTGGTGAGTGCCAGCACGCAGGATGGGTGAAGGGGAGCACAAGGAGACGGCAGGCAGCCCATCCTCCCTGGACCTCTCCCAGGGTGGGGCCTGCCTGGCCCCTAAATGATGGGCTGTGTCACCGCTTCTTGCCTCACTCTGCTCCCAGCCATGGAGGTGGGCAGGTACCGGCCCCACCGGGCACCATGCCCAGCTGGGCACCGGGAGGTCAGGTGGGCGTGTTGTCCTCCTCTCTGTGGCCCTCCTGCCCCACCTGCCTGCTGCCTGCTTGGGTCTCCCCACCTCATTCTGTCCCACAGGTTGGGGCCTGCCTCCCTGGGCAGGGTCTTCGCTACCTGGAGCACCTCTGCCAGGTGCTGGAGCAGATGGCGCGGCTCCAGCAGCTCTGCCTGCAGCTGCAGCCCCAGCAGCCCACGGTGGTGAGTGAGCCCTGGGCAGGCCCTGGCCCCAGGCTGCCTCCAGGACAGCCTCAGGCCCCTGCGCTGGCCCTGAGCGCCTGTCTCTGGTGTGCAGGATTCTGAGGCTGAGGCGGCCCCTCCAGCCCCACCCTCGGTCCCCCCTGGCAGTGAAGTGCCGGAGTCCTGGGAGCTGCTCAGGCTGAAGGAAACCGCAGAGACAGGTGACAAGGGCATCTGTCTCCCTCTTTGTCCTCCCTATCTCCGGCCCCACCAGTAGATGCCCCGAGCCATGGCTCGATGGTGACTCCTGGTCCCACATAACCTGTATGACTTTTTGAAGGGGCAGCAGCCGCTTTACTGCCAGAGGTGGAAGAGGCCAGCGCCACCCCTCCCAGGCTGCTGGAGGACCCAGCAGAACCAGAGCACCCCTTTCCATCCTCCCAGGGACACAGGGTAGGTGAGGGCTGCGGGGTTGGGATGAGTGGATCCTCGCAGGGCTCTGAGGGCCAGATTCCCAGAGATGGATGGGCTTCGTCTTTGGAGTACTTTGCTTTCCTGACGGTGCTCACCCATGTCGATGGGAATTTGGTCAGGGTGTGCGATAGGGAGGAGCTCTGTGGTGATCCCCACCCCCACCCCCCATTCATTTCTCAATTGGCTCTCTTCCATGGGACCAGGTCAAGGTCCTGCTCAGACGGATCCGCTGGAGGAACTCTCGGCGCCCAGAGACCCCCACCCCACCGGACGACTGTGCCCCTGAGTAAGTGCTGGGGCCTGGCCCGGGATAGGACAGAGGGAGGAGGTTCGTACTGTGGTCTTTGTCCTTGGGAAATTGGGGGGCCATGGTATTGGAGTGGGTGGGGGAGACACAACCTGGTCTGAGTGGCACACTGAGAGGTGAGGCTGGGGACTAGACTCGGGAGGGAAGTCACGGGGAGTTAGTAGCAGAGTCAGGACTGGCCTATGGAAAGTCCTCATAGGTCTCTCCCCCATACCCCAAGCTGAATCTCAGGCCACTCTACCAGGTTTGGGGGAAAGCCAGGGATACAAGGAACCCCACAATGAGTATCCCACACGAATGATTCTCCACGTATCCATCATGAATGGTTGTCCCTGGGTAAGAACTTCCATGTCAGAATCCCTATGCGCCTTCAGTTCTGCGTACCTTGTTTCCTTTTCCTTTCCTTTCCCACAGGATTGAATCAAGGAACCTACCTGAGAGGTCACCGCGAGGGCTTCTCCGGAAGACCTTTATGCCATCATTAGTTGTTAAGAAGCAGCGAGCAAAAAACCTGTCTGTGTGCTAAGGCTCTCCTGTGCAGGGTGTGCCCTTGCCCTTTGCCCTGTTGCTGCTTCTTGTCACTGCCAGGAATCGCTGCTGTCACTGCCTGGCCTCTGTCTCTGAGCGAGGGCCGAGGCCTCCTCCCAGCCGCCTGCGTGGGAGCCCTGCTTTCCTGAGAGGCTCCGAGGGACTGCCGTTCCCAGATGCCTCCCACAAAGCCAGAAATCCCTGGGTTTAGACAATGTGAACTTATTTATCAGGCATCCATGGTGGGGTGTCTGGTGCGGTGATCTGTCTGGGCCCAGCACGTCACAGATGTGTATTTATGCAAAGTTACATTTATAGACACGTATGTGTGCGCATGCATATACAGTGAGACTCCATTGTGAAATGGCCGGACCCAACCATCTCCTGAATCATCCACTGGAAGGGATTAGTGGCCTGGGTGAGGTCACTGCAGAAGGATGTACTCACCTTCATTCCTTGGCGACTGGTCCTGGGTCCTGATGCTGTGCTTAAGAGTCTGGCCCATGGATCAGAGCTGCCGTGCTAAGGAACAGGAGGAGGTTTCCAGGCACAACGTGGAAAAAGCGAGTTATCTTCAAGGTGAATCTCAGCTGCTTTGCTCCCTACAAGCCTTTACACATCAGAGCAGGAACAGAAGCCCGTACTAGTATTTAAACCTTGACAAAGCCCCTTAACTTTTCTGAGCCCCAGCTTCCTACTTAATCTCCCAAATGGTATAACGATGCCCACCCTATCTACCTCACAGACTTGTTATGAGGGGGAAAAATGATATTAAAATGTAAAGTGCTTTGTGAATATCTTAAAATGCTTCGGGGGAGGTGTTAAATAAATGGAAAAGTGGCGAATGAGGGTTTCAGAGGGAGCATAGACTGGCCAGCTGAAGGGGGCCAGTAGATAATGGGGAACTGGGATGGCTAAGGGGGACCACACTGGCAGCTGAACAAGGCCTGGAACTGGAGCAGTTGTTTCCTAGAGGTCTGTGGGTTCCTTACCTGAGAATTAGGGCACTGCCTCCCTTCCCTGGAGGCTTGTGAAGACCAAAGGCAGGTCTCACTTTTGTCATGATAATGTCTTGCTCTCGACTCTTAGGACCCTAGCTCTTTGTTCATTGAGAAAGGGGAAGTTTCATGCCTGCAGGGGAGATGTTTGGGTGCCTTCCGTGGATGGGCAGGGCTAGGGAAAAGTCCCTTGGCTTGAGTCAGACACAGGGACCGGTCGCTGTTCAGGCATCCTCCCCTCCCTACTCAAGAGGGGGCTAGGCTCTCTAGCTGGGGAATGCCCAACGGAGGCGATGTGGGGTGGGGGGGAGGTGCCCTCGGGCGGGCCAGCTCCAGCCGCCTCGGGTCCAGGAACCAAAGCTCGGGAGCGTCCTTTCTTTCTAACGGGATCCTTTAGGCCAGGACACCGGCGAGGCCGGGCTTCCTCACGCGCATCCGATCGGGGCAGGCGCACTTCCGGCCCGTGGCGGGAGCCGGGTGGCAGGCCCGCGCGGGGCGGGGGGGGGGGGGGGGGGCAGGGCGCGGAGGGCGGGCCCATATCCGGGAGAGTGGCGGCTTCCGACCAGTGGTCGCGCTTCCGGAGAGGCGCTTCCGGCGGCGGCGGCGGCGGCGGCGGCAGCGGTGGTTCCGGGTGTCTTTGTCCCCCCGGTGTCGCGGCCCTGGCCCGCAGGTGGGTAGGGGGGAGCCCTCCCCGCCGCCCTCCGCGCCCCGTCTCCCCGGCCCGGGCCGAGAGGCGGCGCGGGGGCCCCGGGGGGTGGCGAGGATGCTCGGGGCGCGGGACGGGCCGAGCCCCCTTCGGACGGCCAGTCCGGTCTCCCTGGCAACGGCCTCGGCCCTGGGGGCGGGCGGGAGGAGGAGGAGGAGGAGGAGGAGGAGGAACCGCGCGCCGCCGTCCTCCCGCCGGGGCCTGCAGGCTGCCCGCGGCCCGGCCCGTGGCGCTCGCTGCCGCCGCCGCCGCCGCCGCCGCCCAGCCCGGGAGCCGAGACCCCGGGGCGCGCAGCCCCGCGCGCGCGTCCGAGCGGGCCCCGGCGCTTCCTCCCGGCCGCCCGCCCGGGGGGGAACAACGGGCCGGGCTTCCGGGGAGCGGGCCCCGCACCGCCCGCGCCCGGGCCCCGGCTCCTCCATTTTTCCGGGGCCTTCGCCGAGCCTCTCAGCGGCCGCGTTGGGAATGAATGGGCCGCCGCCCGGGGCGCGCCCCGAGACCCCCCGCGCAGCGCCCCAGGCCCTCGGGGGTGGCGTGGCCCGGTCCGACGAGCGCCGAGTGGCGTGAGTCCCGGATTTTGACACATGGTGGCCTCGGGCGAGTCTCAAGGTCTCTTGAACTTAAGTTTCCTTCTCCCCCTCCCCCACTGCCCCCCGCCCCGCTTTAGAAACGTGCCTGGCAGTGTTGCCCACCTCTAGGTTACGACCAGGGGGGCGGAGGGGGGAGCAGCGCAGTTTCTCCAGCCCGCCCCACGTTCTAGTTCTAGTCCCCATCCGTCACCTCCATTCATTTGCAGGACTGGTGACTCCACTTGGCTTGTTGTTAACCGCCTCTGTTTCTTCCTGGCGGTGGGATGGGGGAGGGGGGGGGGCAGATGGAAACTTTCCCTATGAACTCTTAATACATCTTTTCTGGTTGAAGGTTTTACCCTCAGACTCTGAAAGAGGACAGCATTCCCAATGTCCCAGTTTAAGCGCCAGCGGATCAACCCGCTTCCAGGGGGACGCAACTTCTCAGGTGATCATTGACTCCCTCCACCTGGCTAGGAACTTACTTGTGTTTTGGAGTTGATCTCTAAGAATAAGGGCCTTGGGGGGTGGGGGGTCCCCGGCCGAGTGCAGTTTGCGGCTTCGTAGATAAAAAGCAAAACAGGAGAGGGCCACTTTGATGGCCAGTGAAGCCCCCAGAGGACTTGCAGGAGCCACTTGCTCCTGGGGTGCACTCCAGGACCTTGGGTGCAGGTCCTGGAGGTGGCCTCTCTGTCCCCATAGGTGCGGCTTCAACCTCGCTTCTGGGTCCTCCTCCTGGTTTGCTCACTCCTCCGGTGGCCACAGACCTGTCTCAGAATGCCAGGCACCTGCAGGTAGGTTAAGCACTCTTTCTGGTGAGCTTCCGCCCTTGGGACATTCCCAGCCGCATGGATGCCTGAATGCACTCATTTGGGACACCACAGTTCTTTCTCCTGACTCCTGGCTGGGGCCAGTACCTCTGACAGGGAATTTGAAGTTCTGGTTTAAGGGAGCCCTTGAGAGTGATCCTTCAGGAACTCCCAGAAGAAACTTGTAACCTGATAATCGTCACAACCCATCCCCTCCAGTCAAGTTGGTGATGCACCCATATGCATCTGCTTCCTTCCTATGAGTCTCAGTGTAGGACTCTGAGCAGGGCTGGATAGGGATGAGGCGCCAATGGCAGAGTGCGAATCGTGTCCAGCTTGTGGCCTGTTCCTTTGATACCGCACGCCTCTCTTACAGGGTGGGGAGAAGCAGCGGGTCTTCACTGGCATTGTTACCAGCTTGCACGACTACTTTGGGGTGGTGGATGAAGAGGTCTTTTTTCAGCTAAGGTAGGCTTGGGGCTGGTCCTTTTCTGGAAATGCTTATTGGGTTCGTCATGCTGGTGGGGCATTGCTTTGCTGTTTTTAGTGCTGGGGTGAGAAATTCTGAGGACCTCACAGTGAGAGCCTGGGTGGCTTGGCCAGGGCCTCTCTCCTGACTAGCCTCTTGGCTTGTGTGCTGGCAGTGTGGTGAAGGGTCGGCTGCCCCAGCTGGGTGAGAAGGTGCTGGTGAAGGCTGCATACAACCCAGGCCAGGCAGTGCCCTGGAATGCTGTCAAGGTGCAAACGCTCTCCAACCAGGTATTCATATCTCTTTGGCATATGCGATGGAATGGGGAGGGAGGGAAGCCCCTGGCCCTAGAACCTAGGTGAGAACCTGACCTTTGTCAGAGGGGCAGGGTAGGGCTGTATCTTTCTAACCATGAGATTCCCTGAATTCCCCGGCCACTGTTCTGCAGCCCCTGCTGAAGTCCCCAGCACCTCCCCTTCTGCATGTGGCTGCCCTGGGCCAGAAGCAAGGGATTCTGGGAGCTCAGCCCCAGTTGATCTTCCAGCCTCACCGGATTCCCCCCCTCTTTCCTCAGAAGCGTGAGTACCGGTGACATGGATGTTGGGGTGTGTCTTCGTGGGGTGTTCTGATAGACTTGTTACTGCTCTCAGAAGAGATGTGGATATTTCTGTGCCTTGAAAGAAGGGGACAGTGAGCTTGGACAGGGTTTCAGGGTTTTTGAGTTACTGGCCATTTCTTCTCTGCAGCTCTGAGTCTCTTCCAAACATCCCACACACTTCATCTGAGCCACCTGAACAGATTCCCTGCTCGGGGCCCTCATGGACGACTGGATCAGGGTCGAAGGTAAGAGGATGATCAAGCAGGAATGACTTTTTATTGATTTCCTTCTAAGAGCGACATCCTTTATCACATGTTGACAGTGGCTTTCTATTTTTACAGCTGATGTTAGTCTCTTCACACTGAGATAGGCAGACCTGGAGAGATGGATACACGACTACAGGGACTTTATCAACTGCTCGGGAAGCAGGGATTTTATGTGTAGCTCATCTGTCAGACTATAATTTTTTTTTCCTTTTTGGGTCACACCCAGCAATGCTCAGGGGTTACTCCTGGCTTTGCACTCAGGAATCATTCCTGGCAGTGCTCAGGGAACCATATGGGATGCCGGGGATCGAACCCAGGTTGGCCGTGTGCAAGGCAAATGCCCTACCTGCTGTGCTATCGCTCCGGCCCCTGACTATAATTTTGAATTGTTATTTTATTCTTGGTGAATTTTGTCCTTATTGGGGGTTTAGGAAATAGCATTAACACATCCGATTCAGGGAAATATCCTTTCGATCTTCTATATATGTTTGTTTGTTTTTTTTGGTACTTGTTCTTTTTTCTTGGAGCTGCTGCTTTTGGTGCAACCAACCAACTCCCTGAACTACTTTTTAATATGTAATTTCCCCTTTTATTTCTAGTCCATAAGATTGAGATTCTAAGAATCAAAACTATCGAAAAATCATTAAAAAAGTAAACTTGCCGCACGTATTGTGTTCCTGCACATTGCGTTAGAGTGGGTAGGACCACTTGCTTCTCAGGTGCAGCTCTGTGCCTTGCCAGTACAGACTGCACCGAGGCCCAGTCGGGAGCAGGTGTGAGGGCCTGGGACGTTAGAGTGCTCCAGGAAATATTGTCTGCACACTCAGGACTGCTTTCTGGGACTCACAGATTCCTCATCTTACCTAACTCTCTCCCTAACAGTTTTTATTTCTATTCCTTAGAGTTGAGCTTAAGACTCATTCTAGCTCTGTTTGTTGGTCTTTAACTTTTGTTGGTGGTGGTGGGGGTGGGGAGCAGTGGACAATTGTTCAGGGGTTACTCCTGGCTCTGCATTCAGGAATTGCTCTTGGTGGTGCTTGGGGGACCATAGGAGATGCCAGGGATCAAACCCAGGTTGGCTGCGTGCAAGGCAATCGCCATACACTCTGGCCCCAGGTCATTAACTGTTAACTGTGGATTATAATTAGTTATTAAAATAGCATCATAATTAATTATATGCGCACAGCAAACAGAAAAGTGTGATAAACCCTTTATGTCCAGCTTCAGCATCTGCCTACCATTCTCTTTACCACCTCCGTCTACACCCTGCCTCTAGGGTTTTTTATCCCCAGCTAAAGTTTATATGGATTGAACTTTCTAAATCTTAAGTGGACAGTTTTGACAAATGGAAAATCCCATGTAGCCCTTACTCTTACTTAGATACAGAACATTTCCACTGCGCTGGGAAGCTCTCATGCATTAGTTTTCTTTTGAAATGATAACTGTACTGAGAAGAAAATAATCCTCTAGCCCCACAGTAGGTTATTTATTATAGGACAGGGCGAGAATGCTGTGGACACTTGCCAGAAGTTTAGAGAAAGTATAGGTCTGGGGCCCTACTATCTGCCTGGCAGGTCTCGGAATTCCAGCTAGCAGAAGCTTCATTGTCTGGGATTGTTTGACACAATGTTTCTATTAGAAACAGTTTCTTCCATTCCCTATGTCACTGGGAAATAGTTTAGATAGTCGCAGGCCTCTGACTTGTATTTCTGCTTTGTCTTCAGTTTCCAGGGACTTCTCATCTCTCATGTCTTGTGAGTGTATTGCAGGGATAACGTGGCCTGGCTGGGGTCAGTGGCTGCTCTCAGGTTCAAGCTCAACTTTTCAGCGTTTTCAGCTGCATGTGTTGAACCCAGTGCAACCCAGTCCTCTGTTACAAATTTTGGCCATAATACTTTACTGCCATAGCTTTTTCTTTTTCTTCTTCTTTTTACTTTTTAAGCAAGATAGTTTTTATTAAGTGTAGAAAGATGTGAAAGGAGAGAAACAGAAAAGTTTCAAGAACCTGGGCTGCTTCAGAGTGAAAAAAGCAAGAGAAGATACATAGAGACAGGCAAGTGAGATGCGTGTTCAAGGGAGAAGATGGGTTTGGAGAGCAAGTCTACTGTCCTAGCCTTAAAGACGGGATATTATCAATTAGTTGAATTTGCAGAATAGGGGAAACGGTATTAGGAAATAGGTATGATCAGGGAAGAGAGATCAACACTAATTTATAGATTAGCCATGTTAGCATTTTTCCCCCCGGATGCTATGTTACCTGACATCTTTGTATTCTGTGGGATACAGGGAACGTATCTTCAGTCTTCGGTGTACTGTGAATGCAGACAGGACTGAGGTGTAGGTGGTAGCTTCAGCTGGATGTGTCTTTCAAAAGTGCATCAGTAACCAGCACAGGTGCTGTGGTTACTGAGGTGTCTTCAGTGGCTGTTAAATTAACAGGATTCAGTGGAACATCTGGATTAATTGGAAGTTGACAGTATTTACCAAGAGTTCCCGTCAGTCACAGGCATACAATAGCTCCTCAGTCAGAAATATGGCGGCTGTGACATCCTGTAGGACAAGAGGAGAAGGCAGCTTTGGAAAGAGACTCCTTTGAATGGGGGAGATTACTTAAAGAAGCAAAAAAGAAGAGTGAGATAGTGTTAAATTCATCAACTTAGTCACGCAGGGTGTAGTAACTGCGGAAACAGCCCAGGTCTAACAGCAAAGAGCTGACGCTGCTGGTAAATAGAATCAACTCAGCTCCTACGTATGAAGAATTGACAGTTGGTTTTCTTTCTTTTGAAATATAGGAATTTTTCCTTTCATCAGTCTGGCATTTTATAATGGTCTTCATGGTTTGTCTTTTCCACTTTTTTTTTTTTTTTGGCTTTTTGGTCACACCCGGCAATGCACAGGGGTTACTCCTGGCTCTTCACTCAGGAATTACCCCTGGCGGTGCTCAGGGGACCATATGGGATGCTGGGAATCAAACCCGGGTGGGCCGCATGCAAGGCAAACGTCCTACCCACTGTGCTATTGCTCCAGCCCCTCTTCCACATTTTTTTTTTTACTTGTAGTCACACACCTTGGTTATACTATTGCAAGTAAAAATCACAAAAATGGATGAAGTGGTGTCAACTAAAAATTACAACACTATAAAAATGTGCCATTCCAGACATGTGTGGAAATGCATTCTTTTAAAATTGTAGCCTTCTTCTCCCCCGCCCCTCCCCAATTTTTGTGTTTTTGGGCCACACCTGGAAGTGCTCAGGGTGACTCCACTCCGCCTTCAGGGATCACTCCTGGCGAGTTCTTTAGACTAATGAAATGCCAGGGATGGAACTTGGGTTGGCACATGGTAGGGAAATGCCCCATCCCACTGATCTCTCTCTCTCTGGCCCTGGGAATTGTAACCTCTTTAAAAAATATTTTTTTGAAATATAGAGAATACTTTTGAAAACAACAGAAAATAATTTTAAAAAGTTATATATTGCTACTTCTCTTTCCTTTTTGGGGGGCCTCAGCATTGCTGGGTTACTCCTGGCTCTGCACTCAGGAAAAACTTCTGGTGGTGCTCTAGGTGAGGTATGGGATTCCGAGGGATTCGTATATTTCTCCAGCCCCACATATTGCTACTTTTCTATGTTCTTTTTCAGTCTTTATCCTACATATGTGCCTACTTTTATTTATTTTATTTACTGCTTTTGGGGAGGTGCTTGCACTCAGGAATTACTCCTGGCGGTGCTTGGGGGTCCATATGAGATGCCGGGGATCAAATTCAGGCATATGCCCTCCCCATTGTACTAGCGCTCTGCCTCCAGTCTGTCTACTTACTTTTATTATTTTAAAATGGTGATGGGGGCAGAGCGCTAGTACAGTGGGAAGGGCATTTGCCTTGCACACGGCCGACCCCAGTTTGATCCCTGGGATCCTATATGGTCCCCTCGAGGAGTAATTTCTGAGTGCAGAGTCAGAAACAAATCCTGAGCATTCCTGAGTATGGCCCAAAATAAAAATAAAAATTTGGTCGTGGTGGTGGGGGTGTTGGGGCCATACCTGGTAGTCCTTGGAGTCTGCTACAGGCTCTGTGCTTGGGTGGGGCTGGAGGAACCAAGAATCAAACTGGGGCTCATGCATGCAAAGCATGAGCTCTGGCTCCTGCATAATTTTACTACTGTATCTTTTATTGTTTTTGCTTTTTGGGTCACACCGCCGATGCTCAGGGCTCATTCCTGGCTCTGCACTCAGGAATTACTCCTGACGGTGCTTGGGGGACCCTATGGGATGCTGGGAATCGAGCCCAGGTCAGCCGCGTGCAAGGCAAACGCCCTATCTGCTGTGCTATGTCTCCAGCCCCTACTACTGTATCTTACAGTCCAAATTATTCATATATATTTGTTTTTATTTGGGGGCAACACCTGGTGGTTTTAGGTGCTATTCTAGCTCGGGGAGGGGCATGCTGTGCTAGGGTCCAACCTGGGGCTCCTCACAGAAGCTTGAGCTTCAGCTCTCTGAGCACTCTCCCCAGCCCAGTCATTGTTTTAATGACTGCCTGATCATGTGGTTATTTTCTATTAAAAAGAAAAACGTGTATTGCTGGATACGAATGTTTGTTTTTATTTTATTTTTTTAACTCTCAGGGTAGCACTTGTAGCACTCTCCTCCATTGTTCATCGATTTGCTCGAGCGGGCACCAGTATCGTCTCTCAACAAATTGTGAGACTTGTTATTGTTTTTGGCATATCGAATACGTCGTGGGTAGCTTGCCAGGCTTTGCCGTGTGGGTGAGATACTCTCAGTGGCTTGCTGGGCTCTCCGAGAGGGGCGGAGAAATTGAACCCGGGTCGGCCCCGTGCAAGGCAAATGTCCTACCTGCTGTGCTATCGCTCCAGCCCTGCTTCAATTTTTTTCTTTATCTTTTTTTTTTTTTAATTAACTTCCTTGGGATGACTTTTTTGTTTTTGGACCATACCTGGCAATGTTAAGGGGATCTGCATTCAGGAATTATTTCTGGCAGTGCTTGGAGGACCGTAGGGGATATGGGGATTGAACCCAGGTTGGCCATGTACAAGGCAATATGTTACTGATTGTATTATATCACTCTGGCACCTTGGGATACATTTTTGAGGATGGAATTATTAGATCAAAGGATTTGAGTATTTTTATTACTTTAATGTGCAATGTTAAGGATACGTTTTTGTTTGTAGTAAAGAACTATAAAACTAATCAGCCTGTATTTTTCATTTTTCTTTTTTTATATATGTATGTGTCTTCTTTGGGTGGGGGGGTGGCTCCCAAGTAGCACTTAGGGGTCTGTGGTTATTCCCAGCAATACTTGGCCAGTCTGGCCAGTTGGTTCAGCGCTAAACCCCACCCCAACACCGCCGTATTGCTCAGGCCCGTTAGTGCTTGGGAAGCCTCCGGGAAAACACCCAGTGATGCTCAGTGGCTGTGCGGTGCCATGTATCAAACTCAGGTCCTGGCACATTTAGGGCATATACCCCTGACTCCGAACTGCTATCTCCTGACCTCTGTGTGTCTCTTATTTAAAATATATTTTATTCTTTTTTTCCCTCGCTTAAAGATAATTTCATGTTAGCTAATTTATAAAGTCCAAAACATACGAAAAGAAAATTTATAAGTTTCATGAGGAATGTACACCCTTGGCGTTTAATTTCTTCTTTCAAGGCTTTGTTTTTTTTTTTACAAAATATATAGTGTTGGACAGTATTTTTGCTTAAGTTTTTTTCCCCCTGTGTTAATAAAAGTGTTTAAATTTCATCTTCTACAGGCATAGCACATGCACGTGCCCCTGGCTCTCTATTCCAAAATGTTGTGGGCTTAGCTTCTTTTGGGTTTGTTTATGGCCAGTCTGTGAAATCTCTATGTAACTTTGTTGTTGTTGTTGTTGTTTTTCCCCTTTCTGGTGCTGGATCGACTTCTAGTGATGACTATGACTCCAAGAAACGCAAACAGCGGGCTGGTGGTGAGCCTTGGGGTGCTAAGAAGCCAAGGCATGAGCTACCTTCTTACAGGGTCCAACTCACTCCCTACACTGTGGACAGGTGAGTGCCGGGATGCGGGTGGGTGAGACTGGGCACTGGTGTCCGAGTCTTCCTGTGTGTCTGTGTGCCGTGCGCCTGCCTGTGCCTGTGCGTCGTTCCCTCCCATCTGTCACAATGGCCGCGTGTTCCCAGTATTTGATTATGTGCTCAAACACATGCATACAGGGCTCTGTTTTTGGTTGTGGTGCTTATATACTTGGTGTGGCTTGCCAGAGACTGCACACCAGGTCTTGGTGTTGGAGATTGCTGGTGGCTGTTCTGCTGGGTGGTTACCGCTCTGCTGGGGTGGGAGCTAGGAATTCAACTCCAGCTCTCATGCCTGCGAGGCAGATGGTTGCTTTCCCACTAAGCATCTCTGAGCCCCTATTTGCCTTTTTTGAAAAAGCACAAATGAATGCCTGTTGTACATGCTGGGTTTTAGGGTGTTTTTTTTTTTCCAAATCTGGGGGTGCTCAGGGATCACTTCTGGGAGTGCTCAGGGGACCACATGGGCTGTGGGGGATGGAGTCTAGGTCAAACCAGAGTCTAGGTCAACCATGTGCAAGGGAAGCACCCTACCCACTCTACCATTTCTCTGGCTACTGAACCTACTGTTTGGTACTTTTTTTTTTACTGAACCTACTGTTTGGTACTTTTTTTTTTTTTTTTTTTTTTTGCTTTTTGGGTCACACCCGGCGATGCTCAGGGGTTACTCCTGGTTCATGCACTCAGGAATTGCTCCTGGCAGTGCTCGGGGGACCATATGGGATGTTGGAAATCAAACCTGTGTCAGCCATGTTGGCTGCGTGCAAGGCAAACGCCCTACCCACTGTGCTATTGCTCCAGCCCCTGTTTGGCATTTTTTCACTTAATATTTCTTAGGCTTTGTTTCCTACTAACATTTATTTGAAAGTTATTCGATACTTCTTTTTTGCAGCTTCAGTGTATTCCATTGAGTGGATGAATCATAATTTGACCACTTCCTCATTTCTAGTCTTTAAATTCTAAATATTGTTGAAATGGCATCTTTCTGCATACACCTTTGTGTGCAGTGCATTTTACCGAGATCCGAGATCCTTGAATGGAGTAGCTGGCACAGAGGGTCTGATTGTAAACTTGGATAGATAATTGCCAGTGCTCTCGAAGAGAAGAGAACGTATCAGTTTACAATTCTCACCAGTGGGGTGCGAAGTCACTTGTTTCCCTAGGCCTTTGTATCATCAAGCTTTTGATCTTTGTTTATCTGATAGGTGAAATGTGATAATCTGTTTTGTGTATCTTTTTTCCCCCTGTTTCCACCCCAGACTGTGATGACCCTGGGTCACACACTGGAGCACTGGTGCGGGCTGGCATTGCACTCTGGGTTGCTGGACGTGTCCACACTTTGTTGGACCAGGGATTACCCTCAGTATGTGGGGTGGTGCAGTGCGGTTGCTCTGTTCCCACCAAGCCCTGATTGGCATTTCCTCAACGAGAAGTAAGATTGAGTGTCATTTTGCTTGGTTTTATTTGTCTTTGGGCCACACCTGCCTGTACTCAGGGCTTACTCGTGGCTGTGCACTCAGGGCTCTGGAGACCATATGTGGTGCCAGAGATTGAACCCGGGTCAGCTGCGCGCAAGGCCATGTACTTTCATTCCCTGCCGAATGATCTCACCAGCCCAAGTTGACCATCTGTTTTTGCCTTTTGAAAAAATTCCTGGCTTTGCCTTTTGAAAAATTTCATTTCAGTGAAGTATTTATTGTTGTCAGTTTTCTTACTTTTCTTCAGATTTGGGATCTTTTAACATTTATTTTCACTGATTTTTACTGTTTTCATTCTGGGCCACCCAGGCAATGGTAACAGGGGCTACTCTTGGCTCAGTGCTCAGGAGTCACTGCTGATGGTGCTTGAGGGACCTTGTGGTTTCAGGGATTGAACCTGGACTTCCCACAGACAAAGAATGTGCTTAGTTCTTGAGCTGTATCTCCAGCTTTTATTTTTTATTTATTTTGTTTTTTTGGGGGGAGAAGGGGGCCACACCTGGTAGTGCTCGTGTTACTCCTGGCTCTCCATTCAGAAATTACTCCCTGCTGTGCTTTGGAGAGCACCATATGCCAGAGGTTAAACCCAGGTTGGCTGCGTGCAAGACAAGGGCCTTATCCGCTGTACTGTTTCTCCAGCCCCTCTGTTACTTTACAAAAAATTTGATTTAATTTTTTTTTTTTTAATATTAAGACAGCAACTCTTGGGGCTGGAGCGATGGTACAGCGGGTAGGGTATTTGCCTTGCACATGGCCCACCCAGGTTTGATTCCTAGCATCCTATATGATCCGCCAAGTACCGCCAGGAGTAATTCCTGAGTGCTTAATCACTTAATCACTTAACTTCCCGTTAGTCGTCGATTTGCTCGAGCGGGCGCCAGTAACGTCTCCATTTGTCCCTGTCGCGTGCTAGTGTAGCCCAATGGCATCTGTTCGCTCCGGGAATATGAAGGGCCTCAAACCGATCGTTCATGATCTTGACGAAGAAGTCTGACCATCTGGTAGGTGGGCGGCCACGTGGTCTTTTGACATCCCGTGGAATCCAGTCAGTAACAGCTCTAGTCCAACGGTCGTCTTTAAATCTCATTACGTGACCAGCCCATCTGATTTTCGACACCTTGGCATATGAGACAGCGTCCCTGATCCTTGATCGTCGACGGATGTCAGAACTCCGGATTCGTTCTCTCATTTGAGTGAAACGTGATATTCCAAGCATAGCTCTTTCTATTCTTCTTTGGGAGACCTGAATAGCGTTCTCATCTTGTTTGCGTAGGGCCCAGGTCTCTGAGGCATATGTTAATGCAGGAAGAACAGTGGAATCAAAGAGATGTGCCCGGAGCCGGAGGTTCTTCGTCCTCTTAGCTATTTCTTCGATGTTCTTGAAGGCGGTCCAAGCCGCTCTCTTCCTCCTGCGCAGCTCGGGTGCCAGGTCATTTGTCATGTTGACCTCTCGACCTAGGTACACATAGCTGTTGCATTCGGAGATGGTCGTTCCATCTCCGAACGACCATCTCCTGAGTGCAGAGCCAGGATTTACCCCTGAACATCGCTGGGTGTGACCCAGGAAGGAAGGAAGGGAGGGATGGAGGGAGGGAAGGAGGGAGGGAGGGAGAGTGAGAAAGAAAGAAAGAAAGAAAGAAAGAAAGAAAGAAAGAAGAAAGAAAAGCAACCTTTTCCTTTTTTATGATTGCAAACATTTTCCCTTTGGGGATAGAGCAAGAGTACAGCAAATAATGCTTTGCACATGGCTGATCCTGGCCCTGCATGTGGTACCTGAGCACAGAACCAAGAATAAACCCTGAGCACAATTGGATTGGCCCCAACTGCGTGTCCTCTGTCAATTCTTTAATTTTTTTCCCAGTTTGACTATGTTTTGAGCCATCACTTTCTTTTCCAGAGAATGTCCTTTCCCTGATCGTGAAATAATTTCCCCATTTAGTTCAAATCTTATGGTTTCATTTAAAAAAATTATTAGTGTTTGCTTAGTCCGATCCCTTGCTCTGTTTTGGTAGCCCCACCTGTGACTTCTTAGAACTCCAGCGCCGTTACCGCAACCTCCAGGTCCCGTCCAATTTTCTGGCCGTGCATCTGAGCTGGCTGTCAGCTTTTCCTCTGAGCCAACCCTTTTCCCTGCATCACCCAAGCCGGATCCAGGTATCTTCTGAGAAGGAGCCAGCTCCCAATACTGGTGCTGAGCCGAGTTCCGCAGACAGCGACCCCTCTTACAGTTCCAAGGTGAGTTGGGGGGAATCCTGTGGCTGTCCCGTTGCTGGCTGCCGGCAAGGTGCTGAGTGGTCTCCCTTTCCGCTGCCCTGTGCAGGTCCTGCTGCTGTCTTCCCCAGGACTGGAGGAGCTGTATCGTTGTTGCATGCTCTTTGTGGATGACATGACTGAGCCGAGGGAGACCCCAGAGCACCCTCTGAAGCAAATCAAGGTAAGAGCCGGGGTTGAGGAGACTCGGTGTGTTCACTGGCAACGTGCTTCTCCTGCTCACTGAGCTCAGTCAAATGAGACGTTTCAGAGATGAACTGCTACTTATTTTGCAAAGAGGACAGCAGGGCTCAGGGACGCTCCTGCCTGCCTGAAGGAGCATGTGGCTGGGTCCTGGTCAGGAGTGGGCCCTTGGCCTCTGGGTGACAGACTCCTCTGGCTCCCTGCATTCCACACACGTGTTGGCATGCTTCAGAGTGGGACACCCAGGTGGTTCTTCATATCCCTGTTCTCTCTTTGCAGTTTTTGCTAAGTCAGAAAGAAGATGAGGCAGTGCTGGTTGGGGGTGAGTGGTCTCCTTCTCTGGATGGCCTCGATCCCAAGGGGGACCCACAGGTGCTGGTCCGCACCGCAATCCGCTGTGCCCAAGCCCAGACGGGCATCGACCTGAGCGCCTGCACGAAGTGGTGAGTGGCCTTTCCTAGCTGCAGGCCACACAGGCCTGCTGAGGTGGCCAGAAAGCTTGGGGATGGCTCACCTTTCTTCTGTCCCAACTCCCCGCGTCTTGGGCACAAGGGCGAGAGAGAGAGAGAGAGAGAGAGAGAGAGAGAGAGAGAGAGAGAGAGTGTGTGTGTGTGTGTGTGTGTAAAAGACTCACTGACCACCACGCCTCCTCACAATATGATCTGTGTCATCTCTGTGCCCTTTGGCCCCACCTCGTTGCCTCATTCCTGGGGTAGCTACATCCCGTCTCCCTGCTGACTTACCATTCCCAAAGGACTTGGTGTCTTTTATTCTTGTGCTCTGAAAACTTGGCATGCATTACACCTCAGCAAATGCGGGTGGGAGTGGAAGCACTTGCTTGGGAATATCACGGGTGAGTGCTTCATTTTCCTTTTGTGTGAGCAGGTGGCGCTTTGCCGAGTTTCAGTACCTACAGCCAGGCCCCTCGAGGCGGCTGCAGACAGTGGTGGTGTACCTGCCGGATGTCTGGACCATCATGCCGACTCTGGAGGAGTGGGAGGCTCTGTGCCAGCAGAAAGCTGCGGAGGCAGCTGCCCCGGCCCAGGAGGTGCCAGCGGTAAGGCATAGCCTCACGAATAAACTGTCTGTGGTTGCCCCGAGCCCTGCCTGGGCCCCGCTGGCTACAGCCTTGGCTTTCGTCACAGGAAACAGAGCCTGCAGAGCAGGCCAATGCATCGGAACAGGCAGCAGATACTTCCAAACAGAATGCAGAGAATCCGGAGGCGACGGCCCAGCAGGAAATGGACACTGACCTCCCAGAGGCCCCGCCACCCCCCCTGGAGCCTGCTGTCATAGCACGCTCGGGCTGTGTCAGTCTGTCGCTCCCTTACATTGTAGAGGATCGGAGGCCCAAAGAGAGGATCTCTTTTGAGGTGGCTATAGGGCCTGGGAGGCTGGGGGGCCCCGCGGGGGTGGGGTGGGGCTCACGGTGATCCTTTTCCCTGCCAGGTGACTGTATTGGCTGAGCTGTTTCTGGAGATGCTCCAGAGGGATTTTGGCTATAGAATCTATAAGATGTTGCTGAGCCTTCCTGAAAAGGTCGTGGCCCCACCTGAACCTGAGAAGGAAGAGGTGGCGGCCAAGGAGGAAGACGCGGTCAAGGAGGCAGCCAAGGGGTCCAAGGATGAGGTACAGAGTGAGGGCACAGCTGCCGAGTCAGACGCTCCGCCGGTGAGTACCCCTGCGCCCACCTGGGCACTGGCTTCCCTTCTGCCCAACAGAAGTCGGGCGCTGCATGGTCCCAGCGTGCCCTGGTGCTTGGTGGGTCTTTTCGGCCTGCACCGCTCACTGCATGCGCTTTGTGACCCTGCTGTGTACTCGGGCGGTGCCCTGCAGCTGCTCAGGACCTGGGAGCAGGGGAGCTGCGGGGGGAAGGGAAGGAGACGCGGCCGATGTGCCACAGAGCACGAACTCTCTTCCTCTGGCTGCTGCCCTGAGGAGAGGGAAGGGGTTGTTATTACCTGGGGGTCAACTAGAACCTGCATCTCCTAATCCCTCCTTGCATATACGCTGGCAAGTCAGCATATCCCTGGGCTGTGGTTGATCCCGAGGAGACCTTGGGTGTCTGGCCGTGACCCTGGTATGCTCTTAAGTCATGTAACGCAAAGCATCAGTGATTGGCGAGATGCTGAGTGCCGAGCCTGCGTGGCGCACGGTTGATCCTCAGACATACCCATTTCTTTGTTACAGTACAGTCACTGCAGGTGACGGTGCCTTCTCATCACCCTGGTCTGCTTCCCTTAGAAGGAAGATGGGCATCTGCCCAAGCCCCCGTCTTCTGGCGGAGAGGAAGAGGAGAAAGCCCAGGGGGAGGCGTCCGAGGACCTCTGTGAGATGGCCCTTGACCCCGAGCTGCTGCTTCTGAGGGATGATGGGGAGGAGGAGTTTGGTATGTGTGTGCCCACCCAGGTCTAGCCCAGGGGCTGCCTTGGTGCTGGGGGAACCCTCTCTTCAGGAGTGTGGTCCCTACTCTTAGCTTACCTCAGACTTTCTGTAGCAGGAGCCAAGCTGGAGGATTCGGAGGTCCGGTCTGTGGCCTCAAATCAGTCGGAGATGGAGTTCTCTTCCCTTCAGGACATGGTGAGACCACTTTCCTGCCCCTCCAGTTCTCAGCTTGGTGAGAGGACTGTTTCTACCACGACTCCTGGTGCCTGACTTTCAAATTTCTAAGTTTTTATTATTATTTATGGGCCACTGTTGGTGGTGCTCAGGGGGTGCTCCAAGCCTTTATCCTCAAGGATTGCTTCAGACGATGCTGAGAGGATCTGGCGGTGTGGGGAGTGTGCCACGGTGTGCAGAGGGCCCTGGCCCTCCCTGTGGGTTTTGGTTGACAGAGAATCTGAGCGCGACATGTGGTGATGGGGCCTGTGTGTGTGTGTTGTGTGTGTGTGTGCACGCGTGCGCCCGAGTTGAGTGCGTGTGTGTGTTTGTGCGCGCGCGCATGTGCGTGCGCGTGCGTGCCCCCGAGTCAAGAGTGTCCCAAGCAGGCCTTTGTGTCCAGGCATGGTGGTATCATGTTGTTAACTGGACGGCCACCTGGCAAGAGTTGTCCAACCCTTAGCCAAGCTTGGGCCTCAGAAGGGTGGTGGACTCTCCCTATGATTCAGCCTTACAAGTCCCGTGTATCCTGGTTTCTTCGCATGTAGCCCAAGGAACTGGACCCCTCTGCTGTGCTGCCCTTGGACTGTCTTCTTGCTTTCGTCTTTTTTGATGCCAACTGGTGTGGCTACCTGCACCGGCGAGAGCTAGAGAAAATGCTTCTCACCCTTGGCCTCCGCCTCAGTGCAGAGCAGGTACTGCTGCCCGGGGCCCACCCGACACCGTGTGGGGACACCAACGCCGGGCTTGTGCACATCCGTGAATGTGTGTCTTCTCCAGGCCAAGCAGCTGGTCAGCAGGGTGGTCACCCAGAACATTTGTCAGTACCGGAGCCTTCAGTACAGCCGCCAGGAAGGCACGGACAGCGGGCTCCCCGAGGACGTGCTCTTTGGTACATACTGGCTGGGGCTGTCACCTTCCCCCAAGGACGGTGGGAGGGTGGGGCACGGGGGCACTCTCCTCCCTCAACTTCCTCCGTGTGCCTGCTAGGAAACCTGGACTTGCTACCTCCTGCTGGGAAAAGCGCCAAGCCGAGCGCCGCCCCCGTGGAGCACAAGGGCCTGGTGTCCCACAACGGCAGCTTGATCAACGTGGGGAGCCTGCTGCAGCGCGCGGAGCAGCAGGACAGCGGGCGGCTCTACCTGGAGAACAAGATCCACACGCTGGAGCTGAAGCTGGGTGAGCAGCGGGCGGCCGGGCGCCTCTGCGCGAGGGGAGCCCTACCTGGGTCGCGGGCTCCCGCCCCGCGCTCCGCCCCCGACTCAGCGGCAGGCTTTCTGGTGTTTCCCCCCAGAGGAGAGCCACAACCGCTTCTCCGCCACCGAAGTCACCAACAAGACCCTGGCGGCAGAGATGCAGGAGCTGCGCACCCGGCTGGCCGAGGCCGAGGAGACGGCCCGCACGGCAGAGCGCCAGAAGGGCCAGCTGCAGCGGCTGCTCCAGGAGTTCCGCAGACGCCTGACCCCCCTGCAGCTGGAGATGCAGCGGATGGTTGAGAAGGTGAGTCCCGGGAGAGCGGGTGGCAGCTGCTGCCAGGTTCCCTGAGCCCGTGCTCCGTCTGCCGGGGTCCTTGGTCCCTCCTCCCTGAGGCCTGATTCTTCCTACATCTGTTTCAAACAGGCTGACAGCTGGGTAGAGAAGGAGGAGCCGGCACCTAGCAACTGAGGGCTCGCGTGGGAGCTGCCAGCCTGGGAGGTCAGCGATGGAGCCTGCAGAAGTTACAGCCCTTTGGTCCCAGAGAGAATCTGGAGCAGGACTGGGAGCCATAGGCCGGGGGTGACCCCTGTGCTCAGTCTAGGGGAGGCCAGGCTGTCAGGGTGGGGGGTCTCTCTGCGACGTGGGACGGACAAGCGAGGAACCCCGGTTCCGATTACAGCTAAATACAACATCTCTGCACCCCTCGAACGTCATCCGCCCTCTACCTGGGGATTTCTCCTGGGACCCCCCTTAGTCTTATGCTGACTTCCTCCTGTCCTCTTCCAGTTTAGAATAAGACAGGGGAGGAAAAGGCTTTCGAGTATGTCCTAAGGTCTGATGCCATTAAACTGAAGAAACAGATGTGGAATCTGGCTGGGGTAAGAGCCCCTTCCTCTAGGGGGCACACGTCCTGCCAGGGCTGGAGCAGGGTCTTGGGGGAGGGCCCGCCCTCCTCCCCCACCGCTGCCCCCCAGGACCGAGGCAGGCTGGCGAGCTCTTGCTGCGGGGCTGTTTGCCAGTGAACACTGCACTCCAGCCACCCAGGCTTGCCGGAAGAAACCAGCACTGCACCCCTGGCTCCCCGTGTTCAGAATGTGGTATTGGCTCTGGCCCAGCCTGTCCCTGTTCCCCGTAATTCTCGCCTCTTTCCATGATCCGTGGTTTCAGTTTGACTTTGTATATAAAGTTGGGTTTTTTTTTTTTTGGCTTTTTGTTTTTTAAATAAACCAAAGTCAAAAACAAACCAAGTGTCCTCTGTAGCTCTTCCCTCCTCTTCCCTCCACCCGGCCTCTGTTCCTGTAGCTGGGTCCCCGCGTGCCCGGCAGGGGGCAGTGTAATCCCAAAAGTAACGGCCGCCCCACCCCTCCCCTCCCCTCCTGCTCTTATTATAGCACAATAATATATGGAAATTTTATTGAAAACTTCACTTGAAAAAATAAAATTCCAGATATTCGGGTGAGACACAAACCCACTGCTGTTGCTTTGAGGCCTGTGAATCAATCTGACGAGCTGGGTAGCAGGCTACTCACAGGAGCAGACACAGACAAATGCGGGCTCCTGTTTCCTAGGGAACCTAGCAAACTGCACCTGACCCGAGAGACAGGAGCGGGCGAGGTAGCCCATGGGGTGCTGTCAGCCGGCCGCAGAGTCCCTGAAGTAGGAAGGCAACGGGGTGAGGGGGAGGGTCCCTGGGATGGCTGTTTTGGAGGTAGACATGACCCCAGCCGGGCCCGTGGGGCCGGGACCTCGAGGGAGCTGACCGCAGGCGCACTGGAGGCGGCCGGCTAGTTCTCGTCCTGGCCAGGACATACCCTGGCTGTTTCCTTGGGGCTCGCGGCTGCGAAGGGGCAGGCCCCCACCCTGCCCGGCCGGCTGGCGTGTGTCCCAGGAGTCCCGAGCCGGGGTGCGCTCAGTCATCAGCCACAATGGAGAGGGCTCTGAGCTCGCTCAGTTTGGCTTCGTTCTCCCGTTCCCGCTGCTCGTCCGAGTGGCCGGGCTGGTCGAGCTGCTGGGTCAGGTCTCCGAAGATCTTGTGCATTTCCGAGTAGTAGACGACCTGGCGGGGAGGTAGGAGGTGTGCCACGGGGACTGCCATTCCCCCCACCCCCGGGGCTCCGCAGACCCACACACAGTGCAGGGGCACACTGCCCTCCGCCCCCACCCCCTTCACTTGGCTTCGCTGCTGCGCCGGTTCCTGGCAGGGGAGAAGTCAGCACGAAGCCACCAGGCACATCCCTGCCCAGGGCAGCAGGAGGCGAGAGCAGGCTTGGGGGGGACGGGGGGGGGGGGGGCGCCAGCACGTGGCTGGCCTCCCGTGTACTGGGCAGCTGAGCCCAACGCTGTGGGGGTGGGGGACCCTGCCCGGGCAGACTTCGTCCCCGCTGGGAGGCGACAGAGGCTTCTGTGCCCGAAGACCCGGCCGGGCTCCTGCAGGAAGAGCGAGCATGACGACGGCAGCTCCGCACCCGGCCGGCAACGCCAGCAGCGAGCCTGAGTTGGCCCAGGGTTGCTTAGAGCCAGTGCCGGAGGCTTTCCTAAGCGGGGAGGAGCCACTGCCACCTCAGTGCCCACTGCATGACTGATCGATCCAAGGGGCCCACACTAGTCCAACCCAGAAACGCCAAGAAACTTGACGCCTTGACCCACAGTGCCAGGCTGAGTTCCGGGTTTGGTGGTGGGGCTGCTTCGGCTGCTGTCCTCGGGGTCCCACGGCCGGCGGGGGTTCCGGCAGGCTCCCGGGGAGCTGTCAGCTTGGGAGGGGCGCCCCCTCCCCCCATGGTGCCAAGCGGCTGCGCGAGGCTGAGTCACCGGGAATGCTCACTTCTCCAGTGACTAATGGCAGCAGCCGCCGCAGGAGGGGGAGGCTGGTGCTGGGGCGGCGGTAAACAGCCCCGGCCTCCCTGCTGCCTGGTTACGGGGCATCCCTAGCCCCCAGACTGCTCCAGCCTCTGTGTACACCGGGGAGCTTCCTCTCGCGCAGTAGCTGGGGGGCTGGGGCAGGGACAGGGAGGGAAGGCGAGAGGGAAGGCCCTTTCCGGGGCTCCTTGGGGGAGGGGAGAGGCAGCGGGAAGGGTTCGCTCAGGACCCCAGCCTCCAGGGCAGCGCCGGCCCATTCACCGTCCACCCAGGTCAGCTCCCGGGTGCCGTCACGTGCTCTGTGCTCAGAGTGGATGCTACAGTGACAATGGCCACTGGAGGGGGCCAGCTGGGCAGGCCAAGGCAGGAGACCGGTGTGGCCACCACAGCCTGCTCACGGCTTGGACTATAGGGAGCGAGGTGGGCTGGGAGCTTGGTCTAGGCCTTGCTGTGTGCTCCCTCTCGGCCACAGGAAACACGGGGTCACCCCCTGCCCCCACCTGCCCCCCCACCCCGCGGGGCTTCTGGTGAGAAGCCTGCCCAGTCCCTCATCACCTCCAGTACCCCGGGGTGCAGCCTGGTACCACCCTGCAGCCCACAGAGCAGTGAGAACAGGGAGGGACAGAGGGAAGAGCCTAAACCAGCTGCCCCTGCCCTCCACAGGGACAACTCCCCCAGCCCCGGCCCCCCAGACAAGGGAACGGCCCCACCTGTGCGCGGATCAGGGCCTCGAAGCTGGGCTGGAAGTAGTCGAGCCGGCTGCTGTAGAACCGCGGCATCTCGTCCAGGAGCTGCTTGTTCTTCGCCTCAAAGTCATCCCGCACGGGCCGAAGCTCTTCTCGGGCCTGGAGAGGGGCAGCCCGGGGAAGTGCAGCCAGTGTTGGGTGGAGGATGGTGACACCCTTCCCCGGGGTGGCCCCCGAGTGGGGGGAAGGGGGCGCCGGCTTCTCCGGGGTATACCTGGTGCAGTTTGGCCAGCACGGGCCCCGTCTTCTCCTTCTCCTCGTACTTCTCCACCTTGGCCTGCAGCCGCCGGTAGTCCTGCAGGGCCTGCTCGCGCCGCTTCACAGCCATGTGGAGGCTGGGGAAGACGCTGCCGAACCTGCGGGCCGGGGCGATGCTGCCACACACGCCAGGGCTGGTGCCACCCCACACCCGGCACCAGCGCAGGCTGAAGTCACCCCACCACGAGGCAGCGCCTGCTGGAGGCAGAAGATCCCGGGGAGAAGCAAGCAGCAATGCCACTGCACGATACCGCATGCCGGGGCGCGGGCCTGGGCCCCCTGCCCCTGGGTCGAGCCCAAACCCAGGGCCTCATGCACACACCACAGGAGCTCCACCCTAGTGAGCTATGACCACCCCTCCCCCTACCTCTCCCTCTCACATTAGAAAACAGTTTTTTCCAAATCTTTTATAAAAATTAAAAAATACTGAAGCTGGGGCTGGAGTGATAGCAAAACGGGTAGGACTTTTGCCTTGCACGTGGCTGACCCAGGTTCGATTCCCAGCATCCCATATGGTACCCCAAGCACTGCCAGGAGTAATTCCTGAGTGCATGAGCCAGGAGTAACCCCTGCGTATCGCTGGGTGTGACCCAACAAGCAAAAAAAAAACCAAAACAAAAAAACCAACAACAAAAAACAGAGGCCAGAGAGTCGACACCACTTGACAAGGGTCACAGTTCTGCAGAGATGAGAACAGTGTCCCCAACCTCTGCCGGGACCTTGGCAGCCTCTTGGGAGGCCGCACCAAGCGACAGGCACAGCTTGCTGCTCCCTACCTGGCACAGCCCGGCACCACCTTTGCAAGGAGGGGACAAACCCCAGGGCCCCTCCCCTCACAGCACAGCACCCCTGGGGGCTTCCCAGGGGGCAGGTGTGAGGAAGGTGGCAGTGTGTCTGGGACTTGGGTCATCTTGCCCAGGGAAGGGCCATACCACCTGCCACCCAGGGCAGCACTGTGCCAGCAGCCAGCAGGGGCCACTTCGTCCCAATGCACGAGACTCACAGAGCCAGCAGCTACTACCAGCCCAGGCCTGGAGCACTGTCTCTCACACGACTCCCTGAGCTGCCAGCAGCATCCGAACAGCCAGCCCAAGTGGACGGAGCCAGCCTGGAGCACTGGTAGGGCACTCTCATGACACCAGGGCCAAGTGCCACCCATGAGCACGTTCTCGGGGAGCATGACCGTGACTCTCATTTTTTGAGCCCCATCAGCACAGAGTACCAATGGCACCGAGTTCTCTCCTGAGGATGAAGACAAACCCATCCGAGGCTTCAGTGCCCCATGCAGTGGGGCTGGATGCAAGAAGGGCCAACCCGTGAGAAAGGCCACTAAAGCCAGTCCTCTGGGCTTACGGGTCCCCAAGTGCTCCCAGCTACTAGCTGCACTAGAGCGGATGAGCCCTCCCTGACTTCTGGGGACTGTCACACAGCACCAGGTGGTATCTGACTGACGACTCTGCTGGGAGTCAGGCTGGCCGGGGGGGGGGGGGGGGGGGGGGTTGGCTATCTCCAGGATACACATGCCCTGGGGGGGGCCTGAGCAGCTGCTCTGAGGGGTCCTGGCTGCCCAGCTGAGCCCCAGTCCCTTCCTGAGGCCGGTGGCAGCAGCTGAGACGCATATGGTTCCCGCGGCAGGTGCAGCCGGGCTGAGAAGCGATCATATCCCCGCCCCCGAAGCCCGGACAGAGGCTGGCAGCACTGCCTGGAAGGAGACAGTGGCTGCTGGGTGACCCGGGACCTAGGCGAGACAGGCCAGAAGGAGGCAGCGAGCAGCAGGGTCCCGGGAGGGCCCCCATGAACGGGGAGTGGGAGTGCAGGGATGCCGTCCCCTGCTGTCCAGGGAGGAAGCAGAGGCACAGACCAGGCCAAGTTCGGAATCTCTGGGGGCTCCTGGGAGCAAGACCACCTGGCTTCGCTCTCTGACCTCCGACGAGAACCAGCTCTCCCTTTGACAGTCATGCCCTCACCAGCACCCCCAGTCACACCCTCACCAGCACTCCATCAAGCCAGGAGGCCCAGCCAGTCCACCGGTTAGAGCCAAGCCAGTTCACCAAGGAATTCCCGAGGGAAAGGGGCCAGTGTTGGGTTTGCTCATATCAAGGTGGGGAAAATGACGGCGCAGGTGAGGGCAGTCGGTTCTGAGGTGGCTACTGGAGGAGGAGCGGGGAGAGGTCTGCAGAGGGGGCAGCTGGGGCCTGGCGGGAGGGAGGCCGAGAGCAGCAGGCTGTGTGGGTCTCCCGAGTGGGTTTTGTTTTGGGGTCACTCCTGGCGGTGCTGAGGATGGAGCAGCTTCGACCCCTCCCCCGCCCAGGCCTCTGTGGCCCTTGGTGCTGCTGGGCAGTGGCACCGTGCGCGCACGTGAGCAGGGCTGTGATGTCAGGCCTGGGGGTCTCGGACACGCGTCTTCGCCCCCAGCCTCTGGCTCAGGACAGCTTGCTCCCTGCATCCCCCAGCAGGGGGCAGAAGCAGGAGTAGTGGGGGGGTGGCCAGGGTCTGGGGGAGGGGGGGATGCGCCTCGTGCCACAGCCTGGCACTCCCTGGGCTCAGGACCAAAGCCTGTTACCCAGCGGGCGTCAGGGAAGGGGCAGCTGGCAAGGCCAGGCCCAGGGAGACCCTCAGCTCCCATGGCTCCCTGGGGGGCGAGGCGGTGATTGGGGGCGCGGGGCCGGCTGGGAGGTGGGCTGCAGCGGCCGGCCTGGTGGGGGAATGCCTGCCATTCGTCAGCCTGTGCCCACACAGCCGGGATCTTCCACCCACCAGGAAAGGGAAATTGAAAGCATCCCCATCCGACATGTGAACGGGGCCCGAGTCCGGGATTAGAGGCCGGGCCCCCGGGGAAGGCTGGGGGCGGCGGGGGGCCATGTGGGGATGTTCTTCATCAGAGGACAGGAAAGCTGCAGTTTCCTGCTTCCGGTGCTGGGGTCCCCGGGAGCAGCGCTCCTGGAGAGAGGAGGCCGCTGCAGTGCCGGTCGGCCGGGGGTCGGACACGGCCTGTTGGCCGCCAGGCCTGGGGCAGGCGGCCAGCCAGCGGGGTTTGCGCCGAGGTCAGCGGATCCGCGGCGGAGATGGGGCCGCCCCCTCGGCCACACGCCCCCCTTCCTGGCAGGTGGTGGGCTGCCCGCGGTGGGAAGCGCTGGGGCTTCTCTCCATTTGGCGGCAGGAGCCACGCATCAGATTTCAAGGCCGCCTCGCTGGTTGTGAAATCGAGACAGAAGTCGGCAACCCAGCGCGGAGCGGCTGTGCCAGGCTGAGCTCTGCGAGCCGTGGGTGGCAGTCCCCGGGACCCCCGAGCCCTTCCGCCGGCCCCAGCCCCCTGCCCTGGAGACGAGGCAGGAAACTCAGCGACGCTCCGATGGGGAGACGTCTCTCCCCTTACTGCACCAACATCGGACCCCCACCAGGGTGGCGCCCTCCAGGGTTTTCTTCAACTGCCTCCCCAACCCCATCTTGGGATCCGAACAGGGAACGAGGGGCTGGAGGGTCAGACCGTGGCCCTCTGCCTGTCCCTCAGGGCCCAGTCCAGCCCTCATCAGCTGCCAGCACCAGGCCAGCGCGGGGACCACCAAGAAGAGTAATAAAGTGCAGCTGCGGGCGCGGCTGCCGAGGTCGCGGCCTGCGGGAGAGGCCGGGAAGGAGATGAAGGGGCTCCCGCCCACCTCCTCAGGGACGCAGGGATCGGCCCTCTGATCGCCGACCAGAGCCTGCCCGACTTCAAGGAGTCACCCAGCATTTTTGACCCTGACAGATCATGAGTTAGGGGCCTCCCTGGACGGGACCCCACGGCTGCACGGCAGAGATGAGAGGCTTCTGGGCTGGGCGGGCTGGCGAGAGCCCCGTGGACCCACCTTCGGGGGGGGGGGGCGGAGGGAGAGGGGTGCAGGGGCCGCCACAGAAGGGCTGGGGCATCCCACGGTCAGTCATTGGCACGCCTGGACAGTGAGGGGCTGGGTGCCAAGCGTGGCCTGTCTGGGCCCAGTGACGGTGGGTGTCACTGGCATGCCTGTGGGGTTTCCCGTCAGCCCAGGTGACTTTGGGGATAGCCTGGAAAGAGGTCTGGCCCCCACGCGGCCAGCTGACCTTCCCGGCCAGGAAGGACGGTGACTCCCGTACCAGAGGCTGCCTTCCCAGCAACCAGTACTCACTTTTTCAAGGGTTCGATCACTGTCTTCTGGATCTGGTTCACCTGCCAAAAGTAAAACCCAATGACATCATACTGAGTACGGGGTGGGGGGGTGGGGGGACACCAAAGTCTTCCTGAAAAGGGGAGGGAGGTCCTGCGCTGCTGGGGAGAGAAGGGAGATCTGTCAGGGGACGCCGAGAGCAGGACAGGAACCATGCTGGGCCAGCGCTCACCCACCAGCCACACCGTCTGCTCAGGCCAACGATGGCCGAGCTGGTGAGGATGGGCAGTTTACTGGGACTAACTAGAGGAAGCCTGAGGGGCAGCGGGAGCCTCCCAGCACAGTCACAAGCTCCTGGCCCTGGGCATCGCAGGGCTCGGGGCTGGGGGCAGGAATGGGCAGGGGGCCGGTCCTGCTTGGGACCCCACACGACACTCCGCCCGTCAGAAGCACGACCCAGGGAGGCCCAGGCCCCATCACCTTCTCCTGGTTGAAGGCGTCCATCCGCTTCATGGCGGTGTCCAGCGCTGTCACCATGCTCAGGAAGTCCTGATCTTGCTCACAGAGGGGATTGGAGAGTAAGTCCAAGGATATCTTCACAGCGGACTTGGACATGGCTGCAGAAGTCAAAGCTCAGCTGGTTGGCAACAGGATGGGCCTGAAGGGCCGCTCAGCCCCCGCTGTCCTCCCTCGGCCCAGAGCCTGCGCCAGGGCACCCCCACCCAGGGCCACGGGCCACCGCAGTGAAGGAGAATCCCAGACACCAAGAGAGGAACGAGACGCTAGTCCTCTCCTGACCTGCTGCGGCTCTGAGGAATTCTTTCAGAGCAGCTTTACCTGTGACAATGACTTAATCTTCTAAACTCTGGGCTCTAACGGAACCCATCTGGGAGAAAAGCTGTACCAGATACAGACTTGGCTCCAAGGATTTTAATTAAATCTGGAAGCTGGAAAACGTGCTGTAACACTCTCCAGGTGGGGGCTGGAGCGATAGTACTGTGAGCAGGGCATTTGCCTTGCATGTGGCTGACCTGGGTTCGATACCCAGCATCCCATACGGTCCCCCTGAGCACTGCCAGGAGTGATCCCTGAGCTCAGAGACAGGAGTAAGCCTGACCGAAAACATCAACTCCCCTCTCTCCAAAAAACCCCAAAACCAAAATCAAAAGCCCTCCCCAGGCAGCTACAAAGTGAAGGTCTCGGTGTGGGGCAGGCTGGCAGGCACGGATGGAGTGACCCTGCAGGGCGCCAGCCAAGACTCCTCCTGGCTTTGCTATTTGCGGCTGTTTTCTGTTGGAGCTACTCACTCTGCCCCAGACTACCCTGAAGAATTGGTGTGGCTGTGCTCCAAGGGACAAGGAGCAGCCAGACGGGGCAAGGCGGGGTCTAGCCCAGCCAACCCCCCCCCCCCGCCCCGTTTGAATGGCCCACAGTTCTAGGAAGCACTTCAGACTTGTTCCTTCTGGACTCTGAGACCACAGACACCATGGAACACGCACGGCCCTTCTCATCTCTCTGCCTTTCCTTTACACTTCTACTTGCAAACATGGAGACCTTAGAACTTTTTCATTTTTAAATTTAAAAAAATTTTTTTTGGGGGGAGTGGGTGTCATACCCAGAGATGCTCAGGGGTTACTCCTGGCTCTGCACTCAGCAATTATTCCTGGCTGTGCTCGGGGGACCACAGGGGATGCTGGGGATGGAACCCACGTCGGCTGCATGCAAGGCAAGCACTTTAAGTGCTGTTCTCTCTTTCCAGGCCCAGAACTTTGTTTCTTAAATTTACTTCTGGACATTGCTCAGGGGCTACTCCAAGTCTTAGTGCTCAGGGGTCACTCCTGGGGAGGATGGGGAGGCCATGTGGTGCCAAGGGACCATGTAGATGCACAGATTGACACGAGGCCTCTTGCTTGCAAAGCATGCGCTCAGCTTGGTTTTTATTTTCTGGGGGAGGGAGAGGGTGAGGGACACACTGGGTAAGTCCTCAGGGCTTACTCCTGACTCTCTATTCAAGGATCTCTCTTAGCAGGGTTTGGGGGTCCTCACAGGGTGCTGGGGATCGAAGCTGGGTCAGCTGCATGGAAAGCAAACACTGTCTCTCCTGCCCCCCGCCCCATATTATCACTAAGGTCTCACTGAGCTTGTTGAGCTCTCTCTGGCCCGTGACCTGAAAACTCACACAAGATCTAGAACTCCAAAGCTGCCAAGATCTACATCCTGGCTCTGTCAGGGACCGCACACACCCACTTCTTGTTTAAGTCTCAAACCATCCAGAAACACTTGGGATAGATGTAGTTTGTTTTTGCTTTTTTGGGGAGCCCACGCCTGGTGGCACTCTAGGTATGGTTCAGGGAGGACCAAGCAGCGCTGGGATTGAACCCAGGACTCCTGCACGCAGAGCACAGATTCCAGCTTTGTGGAGTCTCTCTCAGCTCACAATTCGCTGCATAGATGGGGTAGGTGAGGCTCCGAAGACTGAGCTCACACCAGTCACTGGGCACTATTTTCCTGGTGTCTGTTCTGCAGGGAGCAGTGTGCTGGTGGCAGAGCTGGGGGGTGCTCCTGTCAAAGGTACTCTCTGCTACCTCCTTGCCCTCTGCAAGTGCCTGGTGTGTTTAGATGGTCCTGTGTCGGAGGCTGGAAGCCACAGGGCAGCTCTGAGGCAGGACACAGACCTGGAGGCAGCTCCATTGTCTGCGACCCTGTGTGTGTGTGTGTGTGTGTGTGTGTGTGTGTGTGTGTATGTGTGTGCAGGTCTATACCATCCATAAGCAAAACACTGGAGGGGCCCCACATGCGCATGGTGGCTGTGCCAGCTTCAGTATCTCAGAGGAACACATGCTGAATGTCCTTTTCACTGTTTTCTGTCACATATCAGAGACACCATCAGTTGTAAGATGCATTCATTTTGTCTTTCTTAAGCCATGAAGGTTCTGTTGGAAGCCAGAAGGCTGTGACATGAAGGTCCAGTCCACAGAACAGGGCCCACTGCCCTGCTCCCTGCCGAGGGGGCTGAGGCCACCCACGCTGCATAAGGTGTGAGCCGAGCCCCTGCCCAACCTCCTCCAGGCTGGACCTTCCAGTCCGGAGCAGCAGGAGCAGAAGCCCAGGGATACCCCCGCCGCCCCCAGCCCCTCACCCTGCTGACAGCGCCCAGAGAGACACTGGCTGGGCTTTTCTGAGGCTTCAGGGCCACCATGGGGTCACCCAGCAAAGAGGAGGAGCTATGGGAGCAGGCTGGAGGTATAAACTCAGAAATATTCTTTAAACTTTGTGAAGTGACTCTGTGGCTGAGGAGCACATATCACATGTCACTGATTATAAAAGGGTCATGGAGATGGGGTCAGAGCCATAGTACAGTGGGGCGCTAACCTCGCAAGCAGCTGACCTGGGTTCAATCCCCCAGCATCCCTTATGGTCCCCTGAGCACCACCATAGACAGGAGTAGCCCATGAGCATCACTGAGTGTGACACTCCCCACCCTCTCCCGCCAAAAAAAAAAAGGGTCATGGAGAGTACAACTAAAAATAAGAATCCTGGGCCAGGGACATGGCTCAGTGGTAAAGCTCATGCCTTGCATTCATGACGTTCTGGATTTGCTACAAGATGGGGGAAAAAAAAAGAATCTGGAAATTAACTAGAAACATCTCTTCTTGGGGCTAGAGTGACAGAACAGCAGGAAGGGCATTTGCCAACCCAGGTTCAATCCCCAGCATCCCATATGGTCCCTGGAGCACTACCAGGAATAATTCCTGAGTGCAGAGTAACCCCAGAGCATCACTGGGTGTGACCCCTCCCAAACCAACTCGCCACCAAACCCCGAAACATTTCTTTAATTATATTTTTCACTGGCAGTGGTGGGGTGGGGATGTGGGCCACACCCAGAAGTGTTCACAGCTTACTACTGGCTCGGTGCTCAGGGATCACTCCTGGCAGTGCTCAGGGGACCATATGAGGAGCTGGGGATCAAACTGGCTATCAGCGGTATGCAAGACAAGTGCCCTGCCCCCTGTACTAACTCTCTGGTGCCACTGACATGGGCAGAAAGCACCCTGAAAACTCAGAGGCGGGGGGCAAAGAGGGGGAGACTTTCTTCCCACTGCCGCTGGATAGTGCTGGGCTGGCACCCCTGGCCCTGGCACGGTCCTGACAGGCCCTGGGGCCACGTCTGTGGCAGTGGGCCTGAGCACAGGCATCAAGACAGTCTCCAGGCCCAGGCAGCTCTGCCGCACGGGAAGGGGTGATGTGACCTCGAGCCACTTCCTGGGGACAACTGTCAGCCACCTACGCAGGGTACTCACTTCACAGCCAGTCCAGTCCTCAGGTGACGAGCTGATAAGCTCTGTTCGACCTGGGCAAGGCTAGTGGCAATGGTGTGTTAGTGTGTGCGTGTGTGCATGTGTACATGTGTGTGTGTGTGTATGCATGTGTGTATTGTGCGTGCGCTGGCACTTACCCAGGTCAGCGTCGGTGCTCTTTTTCATGTCTTTCTGGAGCCTCTTGGTCTGCTCTTCCAGCCTGCAAGGCAGGGCGCGTGCCTGAGAACCTGGCATTGCCAAGCTGCTTTTAAAAGCAGGCCCACCCCGACACCGGGCTGCCTGGCAGAAGTGGGAGTGGGGAGGGGGAGATGGGGAGGCTCCCTCTGGGACAAAGGGACATGACCAGCTCTGCACAAAGTTAGACACCCAAGGCTAGGCCCTGACGATGGCCACCCAGTCACCGGGCGGGGCAGCTTCCAGTCTCCAGCCCTCCGTCGGGGAGCTGCGGCGCTGCCAGCCCATCCCGGGGAGGGCGGTGGGGGCGGGGAATAGGGGACGGTGGAGTGGCACAGGGCCCTGCCCTTCTCACCCCACCCCTCCTTCTGGGGTGTGCTACTCACTGCTGGAGTTTTCCATACTCTCTTTCAAAGTCTCTCTCCACCTGCAACCCAAGAGATCCGTCAATCGGCGGGGAAATGACAGCCCGTCGGAAAAAGCCTGGCAGCCTGTGAGGATGCCCCAAGCCCCAGCCCTGCAGAGCGGCACGCTGTCCGGTTGGTACAGGCAGCGGCAGCTCGTTAGCGACACACTAGCCCTGTGTGCCCAAATTAATTAGGGTGAAGGGTGCCCCTCCCAGCTGGGCCCACTGGGCAGGCGCCAGCTCCGCTCCTCCTGCGTGCAGTGAGGCACTGCGCGGGGCTCCCCAGCGCACCTCCCTGGCAAGTGCCCGAACGCCATGGAAACCTCTGGGGAGGGAGCGTGTGTGTGTGTGTGTGTGTGTGTGTGTGTGTGTGTGTGTGTGTATGTGTGTGTATGTAGGAAGGCACTCTGGACGTCGTGGTTGCAGGCACCAGCTCTGCCATTTGGCAGCTCTGAGACTGGTCACCAGCTCCCTGCACCAAGAATACGCCGCTGAGCTCTACATGGGGTGGGACTGTCGCTCTCCCGCTCCTGGAAAGAGATGAGCTTCTCTGATCCACTGCAGGTGGGAGTCCCGAGGGGGGCCCCGAGGCGAGGCAGTCACAGGCACCTCACCTGTCTAAACTTCCTAGTGCAAAGACGGCGAGGCCCCAGGGGCAAGGGATACCTGCTTGTCCTCTTCCAGTGTGCCTCCCCCTGCCAGGTGGGGTGCTGGCCCTCACTGTACCCGGGGGTTACCAGACACGAGTAAGGTGACTTGCCTGGGGCTGGGATTTAGCCTGGCTCCAGACGGGAGAGGAAGAGGGTCTTCCTGGCTGCGGCCGTGAGAGGCCTGGCTGGGACAACCCCATGCTTTGCCTCTCAGTCTTGCGGGCTGAAGGTCAGGCCATGTCCCCTGGTCACCACCACGCACGCCTGTCAGTGGTGGACTCTACACTCAACTTCCGGCAGCTGCACAACTCCACTCAGGCTAACTTGGTGCAGTGAGCGGCGCAAACCAGTATTCAGGCCAACGTGGCTGCACAAAGAGGAAGGAAGCCCAGAAGCGGGGTAGGGAGGGCCGGTTAGCGGCAAACCAAGGGCAGGCTTAGTTCAGACTGGAGAGCTGGCTCAAGGTGCTGAGCCAGGGTTGTCAGGAAGGAGCCCGGGCACCATGCTCACACTGCTCAGGGCTGTTTTCTGGTGGGGCCGCAAACGCCTCCCCCAAACAACCACCTCAACCACCTCCTCTCAGCCCCTACCCTCTCAGCCACCTCGTCACCCCCTGACCCTCTCAGCCACCTCCTCTCAGCCCCTGACCCTCTGGTGAGCACCTCATGAGTGCGATACATTCTTCCAGGCCCTCCCGTCACATCAGCTCCTCGTGGGGGAGGATGAACAAACCCCACAGAAATGAGGGTACTCCGACAGGATACCCCACTTCACTGATGCCTAGGGGGTAACATATCCATCTTTCCAGCTGGGAGCCATTGAGTGTTCATCACTCACACAGGGGGAACGAAGATTTTTCTACCTCACAATCGTGGCATTTGGCACAAAATTGTGGCATGAAATAAATCCACCACAGAGTGTGGGGAGGGGTGCCCAGCCTCTTATTGACAACCCTCTTTCGTCTTCACAAGACACTCTTCCCCACCCAGGACCCAATACCCTCACTACCTCCTTCCTTAGATGTCCCCCAAGCGGTTCTTAGCGGAAAAGCTGAAGACAGCACCCATTAAAAGTTCTCGGAGGAGATGGGGGGAGGGGGCTCGGAGTGGGGCAGAAATCGTGCCTCACCCGCAGAGTGCCTGGAAGTGGGGCTCTCTGTTTCAGAGCCGGGGGCCTTGTCCAGACCCTTCAAATTTTGCACTGAATTGCTGGTCCAGCCCTTTCCCCAGCAGAAGAAGATCTAGACTGGCCAGACAACAATGAGCCTCCAGAGGGTCCCCGGGATGAGAGTGCGTGGAGGCGGGGGAAGGTCTAGCACGCTGAGGATTCTCCCAGCACTGTGTGGACCCCCAGATGCCAGTAGGGGTGGCCCTTGTGGCCCTCAGCGCTGCTGGGAGTGGCTCCCACACAGCAGTAGGCTGAGCTCCGGACCACTGCTGCAGTACTGACCACTCCCTGGGAGTCTCAGCTCCCTGCCTCGGCCCTGGGCTCAGGCCGACAGAATTTCGCCATGTCCATGTGCGGAGGGCGGCCCACAGAACAGGGTGCCCAGCTGCCGTTCCTCTCCTGTGCACTCCTCTCGGCGGGCAGCTCTGGCCGGCCAGGGCTAGGAGTCATTTCTGGCTCTGCTCAGGGTCTGCTCCCAGCTTGGCCCCCATGTGCCATCCCACTCAGGGGCTGTGAACACCGGGTGGAGACCTTCCAATGAGGGCCTTTATTCGCCAAACAGATGAAACGAGTGTGCAGGAAGCTCTGGGCGGAATCCGGCCAGGGCGGGTGGGCGGCTGGGGGACGGCAGGGGAGGGTGAGCCGGGCTGGGAGTGGTGGCCGGGGTGCCCGCCTTGCGCAAGGCCCATGTGCGGCTGTGTGTGGGATGCCAGCGAGCACCTGGTCTCCCACCGGGGCTGCCAGGACTTGTACGGACGAGGGTGCCGGTTTCCAGCGGGCTGCGCTGCTGGAGCAGCGGAGCAGGGGCTGAGGGTGTGAGGGTGCGAGGGTACCCCTTTCGCCTCAGACCCCAAGTCAGCTCCTGAGCAGGAAGCCAGCCTCCTGGGGCCATGTGTGGGCTGCTCGGGCAGCGGCTGGGCTTGGGGAGGGGGACATCCTCCACGGGGGCGGGTCCCGGAGAAAGCACCGCCAGGTCCCAGCCCCTCAGAGACACCCGCGAGCCTCCCTCCCAGGCACATCCCTGCAGAGGGCCCGAGTCCAAGAGAGGAAGATCTAACAGTCTGGATGCTTGGTGCCTCTGCCAGAGGGCCGCTGGACCCCACTCAGCAATGCAAGTGTAAACACATGTGCAGGCCTGGCGTAGGGTCGGGGTGGGCCGGGCAGGGCTGGGCTGGTGGGTCAGGCAGCAGAGTTGACTCGCCAGCTCCCAGGTGGGGTGGGGGGTACGCAGGGGGGCAGGCCCAGTGTTTGTGAAGTGAACACAGACGGGGGTTTCACCCCACCTGACTACTGTGGTGAAGTCAGGCAGGAGAGGACAGGCAGGGCCGGGGCCTGACCCAGGCCAGGCTAAGGGAGACCTGAACAGGGCAGCGGGACGCTGGCATGCAAGTTGCCCCAACCAGGGGAGGGTCCCTCGTTGCTGTGGGTGCAAAGCTCGCCTGAGTGCGGCTCACGGTGGCCAGCCGCCTGCCTGGCTCTGCATCTTGGTGCGCAGGCCGACCCACCACCTGGTGCTAGGGCTCTGGGAGCTCCACACCCTGGGCGGGGGGGGGGGGGGGGGTGTCAGAGCTTCTCACACAGCCCAGTGCTCCTGCTTCTGCACAATGCGGGGCAAGCAGGGTCTGAGAGGAGGGAGTGTGGTTGGGAGCGGGGAGCCTCTGTCCTTCCATTCCCATTCCAATGGGCGGCTCCTGCCGAGGACATGGTGTGGGTGCCCCAGCCCGGGCCGTGAAGGACCCTGTGCGAATAACCCGGGTGCAGGAGAGCACCCGGGCAGAGAGAGCACAGGCAGACGCACAATGCCTCCTTTGTGATGACAGGCGGGTGCCCCGAGCCAAACCCTCCTGAAACTCCCTGCAGATAACATGAGCACTTCTTCCCATGACAGGGGTGTCCTGACTTCCCGTAACCCTGGCAGCCACCTCTGCTCCCCTCCCTTGAAGGTGCCTGGGCAAGACATGCGGCATGCGTCACCGGTGCTGGGGCAGCTGGCTCTGGCCCGGTGCGGGGAGCAGGAGGGGCTCCGGGGATGCGACTCGGAGGAGGCTGGGGCTTGCTGGAGCTACGCGGGGCCCTGGGGAACAGAGAGAGCCAAGCGCTGGATTCCATGCTGTGGCTGGGCTGAGTCCTGGGAAGAGATCAAAGACCTGGCCGGCCATTCTGCTGAGCTGCCCGGGCCAGGCCGAGTCCTGGGGGGTCTATAACCAGAGTCGATCAGATCCACTCGCTTCCGAGGGACTCCTGCGGGACTCGCCGCTCATCACTAGTGTCACCCGCACAGGAGAAACTCGGGCTCAGGGAGGGGGAGGGAGACAGGAGGGGGACCCGGTCCACGAAGGACGCCCATGCTCCACAGGAAGAAGGGGTCCAGGTCCCCAGAGGGCCTCCACAGGCACTCAGGGTGTGCTTGGTTTGCGCCTCTGAGCTCCCTGTGGGGAAGCCTGAGATTAGTCACTCCCCAGATTAAAAGACTCAGAGATGTCTCTGTCAACAACCTCTGGCATGGAAGCTGGAAAGAACGATTCTAGCTGAGACTTTCTCTACGGAGAACAAAGGCCATTTTGATCAAAGTCTTGGGGTGTGGGGCGGGGGAAGGCTTGTTGGTTGGTGGACCGACAGGGGAGTGAGTGTGGGGAATAAAGGACCCTGCTCAAAACCACTTCCCTTTTCGAGCTGCCTGGATTAAACTCTGGAGATTCAAAGCCACACCTTCGCACTTCCTGGAGCGGCCTGGGCCCAAGAAAACGCCCGCCCGCCTGGACACACTTGAGCCGAGAGCCTCGCAGATGGTCAGCCTCGGCATGGGAGGTAACTGCTGTGTCCGTCTTGTGGCCTCCACTTGAGCACGGGAGGGCTCCTCAAACGCGCCCATTTCCTCTCAGTGACCTAACTGGATTTCCCAGAGACAGAGCCATCGGGCAGATGTGTGGAGAGTTCTGCCAAACCGAAGCAGCAACTTCCCTGCAGCTCTGAGCCCTGAGCCAAGGAGGGCTGAGGTGAAGAAGACACGGAGCATGGTCAGGGCTCAAATGACGAGGTTCTCCGCCAGTCAGCCAGGCGGGCTGGGCTTCAAGGCGGCGACCCCGTCAGAGACATCTGCAAGTAGGGCTCCGTGTTAAATAAGTGTCTTGCTCAGATGTGAGGGTGAGACGGTTGAAGGGGCCTTTCCTTCCTAGAATCCCAAAACTGCGACATAGAATAATGGAGAGAAAACAGAACAAAGAGACTGAAATCTGACTTGAATGCTCCAGCTCTGAGGGTTGTGAGGTTTTTGTATGTTTTAGAAAGTTGCCATGATTGCTGAGACCTTGATTTCTACATTAGGAAAAATGGAGAGGTTGGATCAATGACTTCTTAAGAGCTTTCAGCACCAGCTTCCTAAGATGCTTTGGTCCTCTTACTCGCCCACTTGGGAGACGAAGCGGCAATGAAGCTGCTTGAAAGGGGTTTGGACGGTGCTTCAACCAGCCCTGCCTGCTGTAGAATTCTTGGATTGGAGAGACAGAGACCAGGACTCTGGAGCTTTCTGCTCCTTTCCACAGTTGAGTTGCCAAGGAAGAAGGGTCTGAGACATGTCCTTGGTAGGGGTCCAGATTTTGGGACTCTCTCAGTAAAGCGCCGGCTGTCACAGCAGTTCCCAAGGTGTGGTTTCAGAACAGGTCTACTCGCCCTTGTAACCCGCCTTACAGAGAGTGAAATGAGCCCAGGCAGATGTGAGAAAGTATCCCCGGAGAAGAGGACCTGTGCGAAGGCCTATGTGAAGGTCTCTGTGAGTGTCTGTGTCTAGAATGACAACATGAAACCCAATTCTGACTCCTTGCCCCACGACTATGATGTGTCTAGTCAGAGCTCTGGTGCAGCAAAGGCCACAAGTGATGGAACTGAGCCTGAGAAGGACAGAATGGGATACTCACTGTTTTGGGGATGATCTGTTTCTTGGGCTGCCCAATCTTGAAAGGTATCCTGCAAAAGAAAGTGAGAAGAGATGGGGTGAAAGAACTGAGGTGCAGGTCGTCAACCACAGGAGGGCAAAGAGGAATGGGAGCGGCTCACCCCAGAGCTCTGGGCCCACACGTCTAGGCCCCCAGCAGCCAGGCCAGGTACAGGAGAATGAGGCTCCCACTTGCCCCTATGTCCCCCTCAGCCCTGATGCCTCTTCCCCACTAATAGCCCACACTTCAGACACACTGCAAAGGTGAAGGCAGCAATGGAAAGCTAGAGTCGGAACCTGTGACTCTAAACCTTGCAGAGTCTGAAGTGACCCACTCACCTGGATGGCAACATCATGGAAAACCTGCCTTTAAAAGCCACCAGGTGACACCCACATCCCACAACTGTCGCCGTTTAAGCTCATCCATCAGCCCAGCTTTACAAATTCATATAAAGAGATCAGCAAGCTGTGAAAATCCACAGGTAGCTTGGTCTCTCAACTGAAAACTCTGGGGTGTCTTTAGGAAGGGGGCGGGCCAAGTCCCCACACTGCCTGAAGCCCTCCCCAGAGATGCCAACACACTAACGGCCCAACTCCACTGTCTCACAACGAAGCTCTTCAGAGAGACACTGAAAATTCCAGATACATTGGTCTTCAGGCTGGGAACTCTGGGGGTCTTTTCAGAGTGAGGGTAGGCAGCCTACCCCTGGCCCCCTGTATTTCGGGAAGCCCTGGCAGCCACACCCACATTCCATAGCCACCACCATATAACCTTGCCCAGTTCAACATTCTGGGGTTTCTGGAGCACGTGTCCGCAAATACAGCACCTCCAAATTCTATAACACTGACAACCTAGTCAATAAGATGGGAAAGTAACACAGAAGCCAACCAAGCTCAGAAAACAAATACATTAACACAGAGGGTTCAACAGGCAATGAACAGCGGAGTAAACCCTCACACAGGGATTTAATGATCCCATGGTGAGATATAACAATTTTCACAATTTTTTTTTTTACTGAAGTATTTTTTTTTTTAATCCACTGGCTGTAACAGGCAATATAAAATAAATTATTTTGTAACCTCCTCAGGGAGCAGGCTTGGGGGTGGCTGGGAAAATGGGACAATGGTGTAGGGAAGGTCACAGTGGTGGTGGGATGGGTGTTGGGATACTGAATGCCTGTAACAAATGTACCATCAATAACTTTGCAAACCACAGGATTTAAATAAAGGGGAGGAGGGGAACCACCACGAAGGGATCGAAGTACCTGCTCATAAGAGTGAGGTGGCAAGCTGAGTCTGATCTCTGGTACCAGAGATGCACATGATCTCCAGTGCAGGAGATCACAGTTTGAGAACAACGCATGTGGGCCCCCGTGAGCACAGCAACGTCCCTCCCCCCAAAACACACTTGTGCAAGCACAGCAGCAAAGGTGAGGGCGGGGGAGGGAGAGAGCACCACGGAAGCCACCTGTTGTTTGCATTAGGTGCTTCACAACCTGTCTGCTGTGGACAACTGGATCCAAGGTTTCTTGGAAAGCAGATAAGAGGTGACACATTGAGGGGCATCTAGGGCCAGTCGGGCTGGGGTATTTCCTAAGAAAGTAGAGAGTAACTAAATGTGGCTACCTGAGAAGAATGTGGCGTCCAGTCCAATTTCCTAGGAAGCTCTGCACTCAAGTTTCCCATGTGCAGTGGAGAAGCCTGGAGCCCAAGGAAGGAAAGCTGAGCCAGGACTCACCTGGGCATTCATTCCAGCCTGAAACCTCTCAGGGTTTCAGAATCTCCCCAGGGACACAGGAGAGGCTGGGAGCCCCCAGTTCTGGGCCAGAGAGTGAGGACTTGGAACCACCAGCTCTGGCGATGAGGGCTTCTGGGGGCAGCAGGAAGGAGTCAAGCCCCCCAGTGGGTGTATGGGGAGAGGGCAGGGTCGGGAGTGTCCTGAGGGTACGGAATGGCCACTCTCACACTCTCCCTTCAGGCTCCAACCCTCAGCCAGATACCCATCCCTCCACCCCCAGAGCCCAAGGTTTCTCTTGGCCCCAACTGACCAACACTGTTGCTAAACCCAATGGTATAATTAACCACCGATAATAACCCCAGACAACGAACCAACCAGTTGAGAGGATGGGCCGGCCTGAGTCACAGGGGTTTAAATTTAATTTCTGGAGGACATCCTGTTTATTGTTCATCCAGGCCCATAATTTGGGAGCATTAACCCTTTGGGGGTTGGCTGATTCACGTGGCTTCTGTAAACAAATAATCTCCAGCCATATAATTACCAGGGGGAGAAAGGTAAGCTGTGGAAGTGAAAAGGAAAGAAAAACGAAATGGCCCTTTCTCAGGCCTAGAGAGGAAGGGTTTATGGGGAGGATGAGCTCCACGGCCTCCACCCGTAGGCCCCCCAGTCACTTTCCCCCAAATCAGGGATTAGAGCTGACACAAAGGTTTTAGACAGTGAACAGTTTGCCCTCAAGGACCATTTTGGTGATGCAGCAAATGAGGTCCTGGTAGCTCTGTGAGTTTCACGGGTGCCATATGAAGCATGCTGCAGCATTAAAAGCTGTCAACCAGGAATCATCACATCGGGTCTCTGCCTCTGACTAGTTTTGTGATTCAAGCAAATCCTCCCCTCACTGGAGCTCCGTTTCTGGTCAGTTGCTTGTGGCTTTCCCAGTGTCAGGGGTTGAATCAACCCAGGGCCTCACATGTGCACGGCCAAGACTCTACTGCTGGGCCACATTCCCGGTCCCACAGCTCAGAGTCTAAGGCTGTAAGACACAGGATGGGAACAGGAGATTCTCTCTGCCGACCAAGAACAGGACCTCTAGAAGGAAACTCCATCCCAAGTCCACTGGGAGCAGGATGGGGAGTCTAGAGGATTCTGAGTGGTCTTCAGAATGATTCTAACTTGGAGGCGAGTACTACAGACAAGGTACCAAAAAATCAGGAATGTAGATTCCATTATTCATGGTGCCACAGCCTCTCTCAAAATCTTAATTTAGAAGCACAGTATTTTTAGAACAGCAAGTTACCATAGAAATTTTCCAGTTCCACCCTCTCAAGCTGTAGAAGAGAAGCAGAACAGAGTGGTTCAGTGACCAGCCCAGGGTCATTCAGAACGAGGATACTCAGGGCCGCTGGCTCCCACCTACCTTCTCTCTCGGGCACAGGCTGACACCATTTTCACACGACCTTGCTCTGTGGATTTCAAGGAACTAGAAGAAAAGTTTTGCCACCCATATCATCGCCTGGTGATATTACATTTGATCACCAGAATAAAATGTCTAGCATGAAACACGATGGGACTTTGGACATTTCATTATCTTTAAGAGACTGGGCTGGAAAGGAGGCACTCTCCAGAGAAGGAGGCATGGAGCGGGTGTTCAAGAAAATGGAAGGTCACACGTCCTGGGCAGAGGCCCAGCTCACCCTCCCTACTCTTCCACCGCAGACACTGACCAGCCCAGCCAACTTGTCTCTGCAAAAGCCATCTTAACAAAATCTTCTGGGAAAGTACCTTAAGAAATCTCTTTCAATTAAAAAGAAAAAATTTGATGGGCTCATTTTGAGTAAATACATTCACTTTAGATTAATCAGAGGAGAGGTTGGGGCCATACCCAGTGGGGTGTACGGCCTGACCTAACAGTGCCCTGGGGACCATGTGATGCCAGGGATGGAACTGGGGGCATGCAGGGCAAGTGCCCTAACCCCTGTGCTCTTTCTCTGGCTGCCTGCAGAGATTTAGGTCTATAGCACAACTCTGAAGGTAGTGCCTGGTTCCTCACAGGCAGTTTGTCTGTAGCATCGTGTATTAGTGAAGGTGCATCTGTTGCAATTAACGAAACAATCAACTTTGCCAAGTCTACATACAGTGGACTTTGGTTCAGGGGCAAAAGCACCTGCCTTATACACAGGTGGCCTCGACTTTAATTCCCAGTGCTGCCCATGTGTACTGAGTTGGTCCCAGCGGCCTCAGGAGAGCATGGCCCTTCAGGCACTGCAGTCAGTGTGCGACTACACACCACACAGAACCGTGAACAAGAACATCCGTTTGGAGTGTGACCACATGCGAGCATTGAGCAGATGTGTTAGCAGCACAGTGAGCCGTAAACCCCAGCCAACAGGAAAATGGAGGCCAGGGTTCGAGCATCACAAGCACATGCATAATGCCCGATCATCAGATCAGAGGGAAGAGGAAAAATATTTCAGAAAAAAGCAAAAAATGAAGCCTGTATGTATTCAGAGTTCCTCAGCTTCTCCCTAACGTCCTTTTCCGGTCCAAGATCTCACCCAGGTCAGCACGTTCCATTAGCTCAGTAAGTGTCACTGGGCTCCCAATAGGTTCCGTCAGCCTGAGTCTCTCATGTACCCTTGGCTTTTCATGACCTTGACCATTTTAAGGAAGTCGATCAAGTGTTTTATAGCATGTCCCTCAACAGGGATTTGCCTTTCATATAGATTCTCATGACTCACAGGGCCATGGGTTTGGAAAGAGGTCAAGGACCTTTCTTCCCACTGTGTATTTAGGGGATGAGTGCCCAGCAGGAGTAACGTGGAGCTTCCTAGGTCTGACTGTAGGTGTGGATCAACTTTGAACCCTTTGGGAGAGGCTCCCAGTTTCCGCCTTAGGAGGTCATGGGACAGCTTACACTTGGAGTGAGGAATTATACTCCAGCTCTTGGAGGATAAGGTATGAATTGCCAGAATTTAACAGAACTTAATAGACTTTTCAGAATTCTTTTGCATGGAAGAGTTGCCTATTAATCCATGTAAATATACTGATCTTATACTTTGGGTTATAATCCAGAATTACTTTATTTTGCTGTTCTGACTCTTCCAGCTTTGGCCCCCAGAAGCTCTTTGGGTTGGCTCCTGTTAGGACAACCCACAGCAGCAAGTTTGTGTTTTATTTCGTATTTCCTTACTTTTGCGAGTCACAAGAAAAAAAAATTTCCTGTCCAAGTATTGGTGGAGAATCTTTTAAAGTCAGTATTTGGGGTGTTGCTGTAGGAAATAAGAGAACAGACAGTAT